AACCCCCCCCTGGAAGTTCCCTCCGCATCACATGTGGCCTGTGACAGTTCTGCAAATTAGAAACGCCACCAAAGATAAACAGCTAAGCCCCTTTCTGTGTAGGGAGCACGTTTCCAGGGCCTGACAATGAAGGGCGGGCAATACAACCCAGCCTCGCTCGCTCCTCTCCGTGCCCGCTCGAACCTTATTAGCAAGGTGCTTAGAGGGAGGGGCATTGTACAGAGGCCATGCGCTCGAACCTAGGCAATAAGAAAGCCAGCCTTCCCGCCCCGCGTTCTAACGCAGAAACTAGAAAATCATCTGGGTCAGGTTTACCCCGCATTGCCCGTCAGTGGCCCTAAAATTGAACCTTCTTGATGTGATGATGTGGTGCCTGATGAGTTTTGTGGTTACCCTCTTTTCAAGCTGTCGCCGCTTCAGCCTACCACATGGCGCTGCATGGGCACAAGCAGGGGAGAGAAGAGTGATTGACATGTCCTGCAGTGGCATAGCCTACAGCGTCAGGTCGTGCTGTCGGTTAGTTACAAGACGAGTTGTGACGCTTCAAAGTTGAAACGGTGATGGGCTCATATGGAGAGAGTATGCGCCGTAGGCTAAAGGTCACTGAGGGGCAGTGGCCCTACCGGAACCTTCAGCGCTGTGATGGCAATAATGACCAAAGCGAGGGCCCCGTAAAGATCTTATCGGGGGCGGACAGGGAAAAGCGATCGACAGCGTCCGCTACAGCCGGTTACCTCGGTACATCGGTGACTTTTTTCTTGGTGCCTGGTAAACTAAGTAGGCTGTACGTTTCAACGTTTGGGATGCCGCCCAGTACGCATGGGTTTGTCATGGAGAGGGGGAATGTTTCGACATCGTTTGGGGGGTCATAGCCAGATAACAAACAAAGCAACGCGCGTTCAAAAGGACAAGGACGACATGGGCCGCGAATTGCCGGCGCTCTGTTTCCCTTGGCCGAGGCTTCGAGGACTTGGACCTGGACCAAGCAAGGGACGACGTGTCACATATGCGCTGACCAACAAAGAGCAAGGAGGATCTACAAAGAGAGTAAAAATGCATTAATACGTAGTTAGTAGTTACGTATGTTTCTTGAACCTCACAAGGCTTGTCTGCACGTAATTGAAGGCTGAATCTTGGTGCAGGGTAGGATGGATAGGGCTGACGTAGTTGGGAAGCACGTGTAGTGTGCGCCGATGACCTACGAGGCCAATTTTACGTTGCTTGCAAAATTGACGTTCTGAAAATAGACTGCCAATGTTGCTGACCTTTTTTTTTCCAATAAAAGACGAGTTCTTTAAATAGAAGGCCGCTGAGTCGGCGCCGACTGCTCTCGCCCGTGTTTGATCGGCACTCGGCGGCTTCTCCCCCGATGGCCTGTCGGTCTCCGACCACTGCGGCCACATTCATTTCTAAGCAGCCAATTCTTCTTCTTCGTCATACATCATCTTGACATCAAAAGAGCACCCCACGAGATCGGCTACCATATCCGGCGCATCTCACAACCTGTCCTCTCTGATTCTAGCGACCTTGTCCTTGCCGCTTCTTCATGTCCTAAATGATGGATGCTGAATGGCCTTTGTCAGCCAGCCTACGCCGGTCGCCTCCATTGCCAATCTTCATTCCATTACTGTTGACGAGGGCATAGTTGAACGCAGTATAGCAGCTTGCATGCAGCGCTGGCAAACATGGCCATGAGCCAATCCGCATCCTCCTTTTTCCAATTCTAGTGTCATCGGCTCCGCATCGCCAACTTAGCTCTCTTTCCTCCCTCTCTCTGGGCAGCTCGGAGACTTCTCCAGTCCGAACACAACCTTTGACTAGCGGCCTAAACAACGCGAGAGATCGTTCAGTCTCGATACTGCCCCATCGTGTTATTATAGCTCCCGCATCACATAGCCGCCTCTCCACGTGCAGCCGGCCACCTGTCTCACCGGCGCTGCTTCTCCATCGCCTTCCTCTCGGCGCATCGCTGGTCGGCCGCCACCCGCTCCGAGACTTCCGTCGAGCTCGTCGAGAAGGCTACGCTACTCCTAGTGATTGTGAAGGACACGGTAGCTCGACTCGTTCCTGTGGTCGCATCGTCGTCTATAAAGATCCCCTCCATGCGGCCCCCCTTGCCGTTGGCGAGATTTGTAGAACTGCATCATCGCCTACTCACACGTACCGCAACCCGCACAGCATTCCACGTCTCACCGGTAGCCGCGAATAGCAGACATATCTTCACCATGGCTTCCCCGACGCGCTTCAATATCGGTGCTGACGAGACCGGCCTCTTGGGCATAAAGCAGACGCCCGAGGCCGCGGCCAAGCTCAGCGCGTTGTTGCAAGAAGACATGGAGGTGCGCAACACCTCGCACTCTAGGGGATCCTGATCGTCCATCACTAACACCAGACTGTATAGAAACACAACGTCTTTTTCAACCCAAGGGGCTATCATAACCATGTGAATGCTCCTAACTATTTGGCCTCCGGTGAAGATGCTAATATAATTTCCAACTAGATTTCTCACCACCTCCTCGCGCTCTATGGCACCGGCGCCACGCCTGACGATATCCAACGCGGCTATGACGACAACAAAACCTATCAGCTGAAGCGAAATGAGCAGGGAGAAAAGGCTCTGAGTGCGCTGCGTGAAAATTACGACGAAGCGACCAAAGAATTCTTCGGCCGCGGCCGATACTACGGCGATTTCCTCCGCTTCTACCAGGGTGAGATCAAGGAGCATGGATACCAGGCAACCGTTCTCAAGTATCTCATCAACAACGAGCAAAACTTTCGTCGTCTCTTTGGCGGTACGTCACTTACCCCCTCCCTCAACCTGTAAATCATCCGTCAGCATCCCAACACGTACCATCCACACAGGCCTCCTCCATCCATACCTCCAGCTCATGTACGGGCTGGAGTGGGCGCAGCCTGCGCTCGTTGCCGAGGGCCTCGCCCAGGCGAGCGTCCACAAGGACGCCTACGGCGAGCTATTCGCCTCGGTCGACGAGAAAGCCCGTAAGAACCCGCCCGCGGCACTTCGTCACCTGGCAGACCTCCTGGACAGCATCGGCGCCGAGTACCCGCACCTCGTCGCCGAGTCCCCGCACCTCGTCGCCGAGTCCCGGTGGGAGGACGGCGACGGCAGCCAGACGGCCGTGCTGAACCGCATCCCCGACCAGGTCGCCGACTACCTGGCCGCCAACGTGTCCGTCAGCGCCGACGACGACTTTTCCGAGCAGGTTGACTCCATGGTACACGCGTGCGCGTACCTTGCCGCGACTGCCATCTTCCACCCGCCTCACAAGCCCAAGTTTGACTTTTTCATCATGTAAAAGCCCACTGTATTTCCTTCCCCGCTCCTGTCCTCGCTAACACGATGCGGCAGCCATCACAACAACCTGACCCCCGCGTTCATCTGGCTCAAGGACCAGGACTGGATCCCCGCCGCCGCCCGGGCCCGCCTGCTCGAGTGGAAGCTGCGCGCCGGCGTGCTCACCTTCCTCTCGCGCGGCAGCCCGCGGCTCGACCTCGAGGCGCTCCGCCGGTACGTGCCGCGCGACGTGCAGCGGGGGGGCACGGCGGTGCGCACGCCGGAGGAGCTGCTGCCGCGGCTGCACGCGGTGCCGGACGACGGGCACGTCATCAAGGTGGCGCGCGCGATGCTGCTGGCGCAGCGCGCGACGAGGCCGTACCTGGAGAGGGCGGAGAGGCCGGCGTGGGTGCGCATCGCGGACGACGAGACGTGGCTCAAGGCGCACTATGCGCTGCTGGACAGCGTGGAGGGTGCGGATGTCGACAGCGGCAAGGAGCCGCGCTGGGTGCGCTCGGCTGGGTTTGACAGCGCGTGGGAGGACGTGCCCAAGATGTAAGAGCGGGCATTGCTTCTGTGTCGTTCTCGGGGGTCTAACCTGTGATAGGTCCGCCTCGGATTCTCGACTGTGACGAATTGCACTACGTGATTTGACGCCGTGGGATGACGTTTTGGTATTTAACTTTTTTTGTATTGTATCAGTAACGCCCCAAGATTGCTCTATGAAAATGACCATGATTGTGAAGAACCAGAAACAACCAACCAAAATACAGCGTGATGATCAAATATGCCAACAATTCTCGCCACCCTACTCCAACCCAATCCAGCCGTCCTCGTCATCGCTAGACGCCTCGTCATCGCCGCCATTCATGTCCACGTCCACGCTCGCGTCCCCGTTCCGCTCACCCTCCGCCGTCAGCGTCTTCTTGCCCGCACCCTTGGTGCCGGCCTGACCCAGCAGGTAGTCGACCATGTAGACGTTCTCGTCCGCGAGGCGCTTGATGTCGTCGCGCATGCGGTTGACCGCGCGCGCCACGACGCGCAGCTCGACGTCCACCCGGCCGCGGTTCGCCGCCAGCCACGCGCCGTGCGCGTCGACGAGCGCGCGGATCCACAGCAGGCAAAACTCCATGTGCGGCGAGTCCTCGGTCTGCGCGGCGACGAAGCGCAGCAGCCGCGGGACATAGACGGCCGGCAGGCCGGCGACGACGAGGCCGACGTCGGTGGGCGGCACCGCCTGGAAGACGCGCCGCACTAGCGCCGCCTCGTTGAGGCGGAACGCCATGACCAGCGCCTTGAGGTAGTCGCGCTCGGCGCCCTCGATCGCGGCGAGCGTCGAGGCCGGCGTGATCTCGACGCGCAGGTCGAACGGGTCGAACTGCACGGCGGCGGCGGCGTCGAGGCTGTAGATGAGCAGGCCCTCGGTGGAGGCGGCGCAGAAGGCGGCGCCGGCGGGCGAGAAGGCGATGCCGCTGACGCGCACCTCGGGGAAGCGCCGGCGGGCGGACGGGTCGCCGCCGCGCTTGGAGCCGGGCAGCTGGCCCTCGGCGGCGCGCGCGGCCTCGCGGTCCGACGTCTCGTCGTCGTCGACGTCGGCGGCGGTGCCGGCCTCGGTGAGCAGCCGGCTGTTGAGGAACTCCTGCGTGCCGGACAGTGAGAGGTTGACGCTGACGGTGAACTTCTTGAGGAGCACCATTGTGGTGACGGAGTAGAGGCAGATGTACTTGGAGTTGCCGCCGGCGAGCACGCAGCTGCCGTCGGTGCTGTAGCGGATGGAGTTGTACGCCTTGGTGCCGGCGACGTTGGCGGCGGTGCGGCGGTCGGTGATGCGGCGGCCGCCCGAGGCGTCGCGGCGGCCGTCAACGCCGGCGACCTGCTCGGCCTCCATGTTCCAGAACGTCAGCTGACCGTCGAGCGTGGAGACGGCGAGCTGCAGCGAGTCGGGCCGGACGGCGACGTCGAGGACGTCGGCCTGCAGCTGAAGCGGCTCGCTGGTCTGCGTGCGGCTGAAAACGGACCAGATGCGCGCGGTGCGGTCCCAGCTGCCAGAGACGAGGCTCTCCCCGTTGGGTGTGAATGCGAGCGCCGAGACGGGGCCCTCGTGGCCGGCGAGCCGGTCGAGCAGCTGCCCGGTCTGCACGGACCAGATGTGTATGTCGAAGGAGTCGAGGGAGCCGGCGGCGACTACCTCGCCGCTGGGGTCGACGGCCATGCAGGAGAAGGAGAGGCGCGTCGGCGCCGTGAAGGTGCGGAAGTTGCGGTAGCGGATCAGGTCCCACGCGCGGACGGAGCCGTCCAGGCTGGCGGTGAAGAGCACGCTGCCCTTCTTGGCGAACTCGCACGCCGTCACCCCCGAGGTGTGCTCGGTGAAAGTGACGACGCAGAAGCCGGACTCGACGTCCCACACCTTGACCTTGCCGTCGTCGGCGGCGGTGATGATCTTGGTGCCGTCAGGCGCGTACGTGAGCGTGTTCATGGCGTCAAAGTGGCCCTGCTGCTTGAGGATGTACGACTCGGACTGCCACTCCCATACGAGCAGCTGGCCAAGCTTGGACGCGCCAAACGCGAGCCACTCGCCCGTCTTGTTGACGGTCACAAAGTCAATGTCGTTTTGCGAGATGCTTAACTTGTGGATGTTGTTGAAGTCGGGCATCTCGTACAGGCCGAAGAGGCCATTGGAGAAGCCGGCCACCAGCAGGTTCGACTCGGGGTGGAAGGAGGCGCAGCGGACGTGCGCGCTGCCCTGCATGAAGAAGTGTTTCTGCACGATGCGCCAGTGCATATCGTCGTCGTCGTCGTCGCCCATGTCCTCGTCGGCCTCCTTGACCCGGTTCAGCGGCTTGACGTATCGCCATTCGAACACGGCACCGTCTTTGCTGACAGTGTAGATAATTTCTTGGTCTGCCGAGAACCAGGCGCCGATGACGGGCTGCTTGTGCCCCGAGAGCACCGTCGGCGTGAAGCCCTCCTCCGCGCCGACGCTCCATATCCGCGCGGTTAGGTCCTTTGACGCCGTGAGGAAGAAGCGCGAGTCGCTCGACCACTCAATGTGCTGGACATCGTCGAAGTGGCCGGTGTGAGTGTGGTGCTTGACAAACGGCGCGAACTCGAGCTCCCCGCCGTCGTTGGTGTCGGGCGTCGACGGCACGTGCCAGACCTCGAGCTTGCGGCCAAGGCCGACGGCAAAGTAGCGACCGGAGGGCGAGAAGGAGAGAGCATTGATCTTCGCCTTGAAGGAGAAGTGGTATATCGATATTCTTCGGGGCACGTTGGTCAGGATGGCGTGGCCATCTTCGTCGACTGTGAGGAGGAGGTTGCCGCGGGGCGTGAGGCCGATGCGGGCAATGTTTTGGCGGTGCGCAAACGGGAGGGTATATGATTTATTTCTGGGTCTCATTAGCATTTTAATTTCAACTTCGGACATTGGGCTCGCACATACTCAACGAGGTTAAAGACAGTCACTCTGTTGCCGACGGGCGAAAAGAGGTGGGTGCCATCAGGACTGAAGAGCAGGTTGCCCTGGCAGTACACCGTACCGAGTAAGTTTGAAAACTGTTCAAGTCAATATATTTTTCCAAAGTAATCCATTGCGTAGTTTATCGTTACGCACCCTGAAATCGGTCTTCATTGTCGTTTGTCGTCCATTATTCGCAAACCTGCGCGCAACTGGCCGTCCAAAACTTTCTAAGCTGCGATCCTTATCGATAGGTCGCCGAAATTTTTGGAGGGGCCGGTCATTAGTTGTTCCAGCCTAGGTACCAGCCACAGGCAGCATCAGCCACAGCCTCCAAATTAGCGGTGGGGTGCACTGACCGCTTTGCTGGTGGCTTCAACGGCAGTACTAGCAGCCATCCAGGGGGCGGCCAGCCGTTGGCAGGAAAGGGGGCCATCTGGTGCTTGCCCAGTGTGCCATCCATCGCACTGACCAGCGCTGCCCGCAAGCCCCCCCCGGATGCACCCAAGACCAGCAAAATTGGTGGCCATGACCCCCCTTGGTGCCCCTGAACACCCTCCAAGCTCCAAACCTCCTCCACCTTTGAACCATCCTTCCAAACGCACCTTTTGATCAATCGATCTCAGCATTTGCTAGGTGGACATCTTGGGTTCTTGTCTGCTGCTTGTCAACTTATTGTTGGGTCACCGCACCGAGTTCCCTCTTTCTAGTTTCTAAACCCCCAAAAAGCTCACTCCCTCATCACATCCAAGATGGCTCCTGCCAGCGCCGAGAGTGCATCGCCAATTGGCATTGCCAATCTGCCCAACCAGCGTCACAAGATTGTCGCCAAGCGTGGTGCCGGCTTCACCATTATGGTACGTCGACGTGTTTTCACATTCCGCGCCCCCTCCTGCGAGCTGGACTGCCTGTCGCCGTTTGAACTCGTCACGCTAACAAGGCCGCCATTAGGTTGCTGGAGAATCAGGCCTCGGAAAGACGACGTTCATTAACACGCTGTTCTCGACCACCATCAAGAACTATGCCGACCACAAGCGTCGTCACCAGAAGCAGGTCGACAAGACCGTCGAGATCGAAATCACCAAGGCCGAGCTCGAGGAGAAGTTCTTCAAGGGTGCGTGCTTACAACTTTCTAACGGTCGGCCTCTCAACGCTAACAAGTATACCTCTAGTCCGCCTGACGGTCATCGACACTCCCGGATTCGGAGACTACGTTAACAACCGTGACTCCTGGATGCCTATTATCGAGTTCCTCGACGACCAGCACGAGTCCTACATGCTTCAGGAGCAGCAGCCCCGCCGTCAGGACAAGATCGATCTCCGTGTCCACGCCTGCCTGTACTTCATCCGCCCTACCGGCCACACCCTCAAGCCCCTTGATATCGAGGTCATGAAGAGACTCTGCTCTCGCGTCAACCTGATCCCTGTCATTGCCAAGGCCGATACTCTCAGCCCGGCCGACTTGGCCAAGTTCAAGCAGCGCGTACGTTGGGCACTAACTTTGATTTAACTACCAACGCTAACCTGCCCAGATTGCCGCCGTCATCGAGGCGCAGAATATTAAGATTTATCAGCCCCCGATTGAGGAGGACGACGATGCTGCTGCTCAGCACGCGCGTAGCCTTATGGCGGCTATGCCGTTTGCTGTGATTGGTTCCGAGAAGGACGTCAAGACTAACGACGGACGCATCGTCAAGGGTCGCCAGTACTCTTGGGGTGTTGCCGAAGTCGAGAACGAGGACCACTGCGACTTTAAGAAGCTTCGGTCCATTCTGATCCGCACCCACATGCTTGATCTCATCCATACCACCGAGGAGCTTCACTACGAGGCTTACCGCGCTCAGCAGATGGAGACGCGCAAGTTCGGCGAGGCCCGCCCCCGCAAGCTCGACAACCCCAAGTTTAAGGAGGAGGAAGAGGCTCTTCGCAAGCGTTTCACCGAGCAGGTCAAGATCGAAGAACAGCGCTTCCGCCAATGGGAGCAGAAGCTCATTTCCGAGCGCGACCGTCTCAACAAGGATCTCGAGCAGACTCATGCTCAGATCAAGTCGCTGGAGCAGGAGCTTGAGTCTATGCAGGGCAGTGCTGTCCGCAGCCACGGCCGCCGCTAAGCATTCTGCGTATGCTTCACGTCTTGTTTGCAGAGCTGTGGCTGTACAGTCAGGAGTTTGCGTTTTCCGTGGCCACACCCTTGCTTGGGGTCGGAGCTGGTTAGGCCGAATAGTATCAACAGAGGTATACAGGCAAGGATATTCTTGGCAGCAGGTTCCAGCGTTGGTGATTTGGTGGTCTGCCTTAATGAACGGGAACTTTTGATTGTGGAGGAAGAGCGCTTGCTTGCTCGCTGTCGGGCCTCCTTGTGTGATTGGCCATGGAGGGCCAAAAAGTTAATATGTCCCTTAACGAGCAAGATTTGTTGTGGAAGTTCTGGTAATGTAGCCTTATTTTATTCCCTTTATTAACTGAAGTCTCGTATATTCAATTTCCATTTGCTCGCACTGTGCCTCCCTGTGAATTGGTGCGGTGGTTGGCCCGCGTAAATGCTATCAATTGTACCGATAGAAAGCCCCCAAATACCTCAATAACGTGACCAAAAAAACTCCTTGCCTCGACCAGAAAGAGTGTATGAACATGAAAGGGAGAGTGAAACAAAAGCAAAAAACGAACTGTACCCGACGTATTCGTTATCTGGATAGTTGCTTTTTGAAGCCCACCTGGCTAGCCAAAGCAATTCTTCCAGCAAGGTCTCTGCCAGTAAGACAGGGCGGGAAGCCAATGTCTCTGCAGAAGAAAATCCTGTGAAGCTGCCAAAGTGCGTTGCCGATGCAACATGTGCATATGTACAAAAGATGACCGCGGCCGCCGATCTTTGCCCCTGCTCACACAGCGTCCATGCTGGCGCGCGTCGTGAGCTGCTCGTTCTTGTTGCCGAGGCGGGATATCTGGAGGAAGGCGTCGACGCCGTAGCCCTCGAGGCTGTGGACGTGCAGGCTGCCGGCCCAGTACTCGGCGTAGACGCGGCTGAGCGGTAGGCCCATGCCGAGGCGCAGGTTGGGCGGGCGGCTGGTGAGGCTGGAGAGGGAGTTTTGCTGGGACGGGGTGTGCGGCGTGGCGGTGGAGGGTGGTTGATCCTGCGGCGACGGAGGCGGAGGGGGGGTAGGGTAGGAGGGTGCCTTCAGGTCGGCGCGGCCGAGCTCGTCGATGTGCAGTTCCTGCATGGTGGCGGCCATGCGGGGGACGCGGCCGAGGTTGGCGAGGCGGGCGGCGGACTGCGGGCCCTTGGAGAAGGACCAGAGGTAGGGGAGCTCCTCGCGGGGGATGCCGCCGCCGCGGTCGGAGATGCGGATGATGACGTGCTCCTGGGCCTCGCAGATGGTGACCTCGATGGGCGGCGGGGGCTCGACGACGAGGGCCCTGGCGGAGGAGGCGGCCTTTTCACGGAGGCGGGCCTGGCGGTCGACGACGGCTTGCACCGAGTTCCGGAGCAGCTCGCCGATGATGTACTCGAGGTGGCTGAGGATGTAGGGGAAGGAGGCGTTGAGATGGCCGTCGATGCGGACCTCGGGCACCTCGGCGTCGGGCCCGTTGGTGGAGCGGGCGAGGGCGGTGACGGCGCGGGCGCAGCGCTCGATGACCTCGCGCGCCTGGCACTTGATGAAGACCTCGCCGATGAAGTCGCTCTCGGAGAGCTTGGCGCCCGGGGAGAAGTGCGGCGAGTGGTAGGTCTCGGTGAGGGAGAGGTGCTGCTCGGCGATGACGCGACGGGAGATACGCTGGAAGATGCTGTTGTTAGCTGGTTGTGGAGTGGATGGGCCGGTTGAGGAGCAAAGAGATCAAATGGGCAGGGGGGTTTTTCTGGGGACATACAGATCTCAAAATGGTATTCATAAACTTGTCGAGGTCCTTGGGATTCATCAGACCGCCACACTCAAGAATGCCCATGGCGAGCTTGGGGATGACCGTCAGGTGGCCCTTGAGGTTCTGACTGATAATCTCGCAGAGGCGGTCGTTATCCTCGAGGGTCTTGATCTCTTTGATCTTGCGAAATGTGTCAAATGCGTTATAGTAGAGGTTATAGACATCGTTGATGTGCGGGTTCGTGACGACGACGTAAGGGAGCTGTTGCATGTCGCGGAGGCGGTGGGCGATTCTGGCTTGGGTTAGCTTCGATTATCTTTGACCATGCCTGGTATTTGGCAAAGTAACGCACCTAGATGGTAACTCTGTCCGTACATAATTGGCGGAGCTTATGAGGCGGGATTCTGTGAGGGAGCGGCCAAAGACCATGAGCTGGCGCAAGCTTATGGGACGAGCCTCACGCGCAACCCATCTACGGCAGCACGTCAGCGAAAATCAACAAGTTTCTTTGGGCCACTTTGCGCCGTTGAATTATGCTTCTTAACAGAAAACACAGTATCGGGTTCTAGACGTACTCGTCGAGGACAGAAACGGGGCGCCAAGCAGCGGCGGCGGTGGCAGCTCCGCGGCCGGCCATCGGACACGGACGCGGCGCGGCGCCGACTCGGACGGCAAGGGCAGCGGTGGCCGTTCGCGCCAGGGGGTCGATGAGCCGCTTCCGCGGCCGGGTATGGCGCATCGAGCTCGACAGCATCATTAACGGGCCATGCGGCGGCAGAGCTCTGTTGCGGTCGAGCGGAAGGGCGGTCCCTGGGTAGGGGTAGTCGGCTGGTCGTGTGTCTTGTGCTGCGATGGAGAGAAGAGCGGGCAGAGCTAGTGTTGGAGGCAAGGCGTTTGCAGGACGGGAGGGGCTTGAAAGGCTTCAATGTTGCGCAAGTAGAAACGGTGTCGTAAATATGGAATGCTGTTGGGGAGGTTTGAAGAATTGCAGAGAGACAAATTGTCTCATGCGCAGTGTAAAGTATGAATGTGTATATGTAGAGAGCTTTTTCCGGGTCGGGCGCGAAGAAGCTTGCTTGTGACTGGGCCTGGCAAAAAACCAGTGACAAGCTTAATCCTGGATTTTTGGGGGCTCTTTCTTGTCACGATTTTACCCCACAGTCAAGCGGTATCGGCTCCCGATCAGGCCACAGAGAACAAGACTCACGAGGGCATGAGGGATAGATGAGGAGATCTTTCAAGAGTAAAAGAATGAGTGAGGAAGTGTAGACAAAAAAGGCCTCAGGTCTAGGAACAGCAACAAGAGAAATAGTCGCTCCCGGAGCTACGAGCTTCCCCTCATTCGGCAACCCTCGTTCCCCGCGTTACAAGATGAGCTACCATGTGTCTATCGACCTACAACACCTACGTGCTATTATTGTCGTCTTGCCATCTCAAGCTAGCTTCTGCTGCTGTCCCGTCTTGCTGCATGCCATCTCACGGCTCGGCCGCTTTTGCTGCCCAATGCTAGGCACGGCTGTGGTGGCGACTGAGTTTGGCGGTGTTGATCAACTTGATTTGCTACTGCACCAAGGCAGCTAGCAGGAAATGAGGCGCCTGATGGGTTGCAGTACGTAGAGGTTGCTCTTTCCCTAGTTACCTACATAGGCAGGATCAATCAAGCCAAAGGCCCAGATGTGTCTGCGTCGGAGACTGGTTTGAGTCTGAATAATAGCTACTTTTCGTCGTCTGGAGAATATTGGCATTGAACGCGCGAGTTTGTCTTTTTTTATCGCTCGTCCGAGGCTTCTTCTTGCAGTTGTGCACCCACCCTTGATGGTGAGCGCCTCGCTTCAATGGGGGCAGTGGGAGAGACGATCGCAGCCACGTTTGTTCCCGGCCTTTCACATGTTGCACATGTTGGCGGTGTCGCCAGTGGTGCGCGCGGCGACATGAACAGGGTCTTCATACATGGCCGTTGTGAAGTCTCAGGCTCATGCAATCCAGGGGCTACTTCGTAGAGTAAGCTGCTCGAGCTGCGTGTACGACCTGACATTGGCAGCCGGATTGGGGCTTGCGCAAGTCTTTTATGTGTATGGTCTTTGACGCCATGTACTCCATGTAATCCTACTATCTCCGTACGAAGCTCGGATAGGCTAAATAAAGGAAATGGCTTTGGACACAACGGCTTGTGGAGGTGCAACAAAGTCGCCTCAAGGGAACACTTTGAGTTTGCCGATACAAAGGCCAACTAGCAGCAACCATTCCACCATTTTGCGGGGGCAAAAGCATCAACTGATAGGTAAGTACCTGAAGATAGGCATGATCAGTGCGGAGCTTTAGGTACTGGCTAACAGTTTTCGCCAACACAAGGCGACAAATGCTTTGGGAGGCTCGGTATTTATGGGACACAGGTACCTACCTACAGGGCGGCTGTGGTGCACGCACAAGGTACCAGCTGTCCCCAGTGTATCCGACACGCCAGGGCCAGGGCTCCTTCAACCTGCTAAATTTCGAGGTACGTGTACGCAGGCAGACAGACTCAGGAGCAATGTCTCTTTGATTTGCATCATCATAGACAGACTCCTGACGCAGGCCAACACGATATCACAAGCTTGCTAAATTAATCAACAAGCTACCGAACCACAAGCCAGCACAAAAAGTCAAAAACCGCCGTTGGCGCCGCTGCCTACATAGGTAAATATTCACAACCTGCCGAAAGTACCTACCTCGCATCGCTAACTTACCTACTGTACCTCCGCCGGAGCAACCACCTTACCTGCCAGCTGCTGCACCCCGCCGCAGCCGTGACGTGACGCCTCCCACTGCTCATCCATCAACTGACCTCATTCCGCTGCTCTTGCATCGCACCTCGGAGCATCCTGCCCCCCAGACGGGCCTCTCTTTTCGTCTTTTTACGGATTCTACGGTCTATGTCTGTAATTGGCAATCATGGTTAGTCTCTACTTACCTTCTAGTTCTGCTCGCTCGCCGTCGCTTGCCCGCTTCTTCCCTGCACCTGCTGCCTCACGATAATTTTTTCCCACCTCTAGCTGCCACGGCGACGCCTCCTGCTCGCCCAGTCTGCGTCGCCTCCCGTGGCGTGGCCTTTGCCTCGATCCCTCACCTCCGCCCAGACGCATTGCTTCATCATATCCCTCACAGCACTTTCGCCGTCTGACCCAAGCACACACACCTCGGCACTCGCCCTGGGTCGCCCAACCTTCAGCATCCAATACCCAGATTCTGCACCCCTCAATACCACTTTTCTACATACTTTCCTCTTCCTCGTCCCAATGGATACCTTGGCCGCTACCTCGCCGCGCCCGCGCGTTACTAACATCACCATCTCAACCCAGAGCTATAACATTCCCTCTCCCAACGAGATGGAGGTCGACGCCCCCGAGTACGTCGACGTCTCCAGCCTCGCCGACCGCGATTCCATCGCCATCATAAACCCCGACAGTGTCGACCAAGACACCGAGGTCCTCCAAGATCTCCCTTTAGCCAATGACTGTAGGTGATCCTGTGGTCAACTGCCAGTTACCCCCAGGTACTCAATGCTAACCTCTACTCCCCAACCTGGTGCAGATGATGCTATGAAAGAACTTGTTCTACCACCCCTGATCGAACAGCCCAAGATCCTCGAGGACTGTGTCAATACATGGACTGTTGAAAGTTGGCGTAATCTCCCAAAGAAGGAGCATGGCCCTATCTTCCACGCCGGCGGATTCCCTTGGTAAGTTTCCAGCACGCGGTCGCCGCAGCATTCGCCACCTATTATTAACGCTGTCTCAGGCGCATTCTTCTTTTTCCCCACGGAAACAACACCGATCACTGCTCCATTTATCTCGAGCACGGCTTCGAGCCCGACGCTGTACCTGATAACTGGAGCTGTTGTGTTCACTTTGCTCTTGTCCTCTGGAACCCCAACGATCCGAGCCTATACACCAACCATGCCGCCCATCACCGCTTCACCAAGGAAGAGGGCGACTGGGGCTTTACACGTTTCGTAGAGAGCAGAAGAATGTTTAACATTCCCTGGGAGAATAGCACAAGGCCTCTTCTCGAAAACGAGACAGCCAATATTACAGCCTACGTTCGTCTGGTCGAGGACGAAACCGGTGTACTTTGGCACAACTTCGTTAACTACGACTCTAAAAAAGAGACAGGCTATGTCGGCCTCAAGAACCAGGGCGCCACGTGCTACCTCAACTCCCTTCTTCAGTCACTATATTTTACGAATGCCTTCCGCAAGGTTAGCATCGATCTCTGCTTTTCAATACTTGTACTGACTCTTCTAGGCTGTCTACGAAATCCCCACAGAAAGCGACGGCGACGGCGATCTAACAAACTCTGCATACACCCTCCAGCGCTTATTTTACCAACTGCAGACGTCAGAGCAGGCTGTCGGCACAAATGAGCTAACCAAGTCATTTGGCTGGGAAACGAGGCACATCTTTGAGCAACAAGACGTTCAAGAACTCTCGCGCAAGCTAATGGAGAGGCTAGAGGAGCGAATGAAGGGCACCACGGCTGAAAATGTTCTCCCTGAAATGTTCAGCGGCAAGATCAAGACGTATATTTCCTGCATCAATGTCGACTACGAATCAAGTCGCGTCGAAGACTTTTGGGATATCCAGCTCAACGTCAGCGGCAACAAAAGCCTGCTTGACAGCTTCCGCGACTATATCCAAGTCGAAAAGATGGACGGCGAGAACCAGTACTTTGCTGGCGACGAACACAAGCTGCAGGACGCAGACAAAGGTGTCATTTTTAACAGCTTCCCCGATGTCCTCCACCTTCAGCTCAAGCGTTTCGAATACGACATCCAACGGGATATGATGATGAAAATCAACGATCGCTACGAGTTCCCTGATGTTTTTGACGCTGCACCTTACCTTAACGATGATGCTGATAGATCTGAATCCTGGACGTATCAGCTCCACGGTGTCCTTGTTCACAGCGGCGACCTCAACGCTGGCCACTACTATGCTTTCATTAAGCCCAACAAGGACGGCTGGTTCTACAAGTACGACGACGACAAGGTCACCAAAGCTACCCTACGAGAGGTTTTGGAAGAAAACTACGGCGGCGAGGAGCGTATTCCTAACGGTCTTACCCGGGCCCCCATGCAGAAGAAAGCACCGACCATCCGCCAGAACAGTGCCTACATGTTGGTTTACATCCGACAGACCCGCGTTGACAAGATACTTTGCCCGGTTACTGAGAGTGATATTCCCTCCCACTTGCAGCTACGATTCGAGGCAGAAACTGCTCAGAAAGAGGCCCGCCGCAAAGAGCAGCGTGAGGCTCACCTCTACATGATGGTCAAGGTCGTCACCAACCAGACCTTTCGCAACTTTGGTGGCACCGACATGGGTCGCTTCGATAACAACAACACCGAAGATGAGTCAGCTCCCAGGTCATATCGCGTCAAGAAGACAACTGTCATGGAAGAGTTTGTGCAACAAGTGGCAGAGGACATGGGCCAGGAGCCCGCTAGAGTCCGTGTTTGGCTCATGGTTAACCGCCAAAATAAGACAATACGTCCTGACCAACCTGTCATGGATTTGAGCCTGACTGTGGAGGAGATTTATGCACGCTCCGCCGCACACCGTGACTCGAGCCTTCGGCTTTGGGCTGAAGTCGCGACTGAGGTTGACAACGAGGGACTTCCCGTATGGCCGTCATACCAAGCCCCCAATGCAAACGGTAGCAGAGAGGATACTATTCTGCTGTTACTCAAGTACTTCGATGTGGACAAGCAGGAGCTCCGTGGCGTGGGCCATGTGTATATGCAGAAGGAGGGGAGGGTCGAAGACCTCGTCCCGCTCATCCACGCCGCCATGGGCTGGGAGGCCAAACTACCCGATGACGAACGCCTTTTACTCTGGGAAGAAATCAAGCCTAACATGATTGAGCCTCTGAAGCCCAAGTTTACTCTCAGAATGGCGGAGCTGCAGGATGGTGACATTATCTGCTTCCAAAAGACGTCGGAGCACAAGTTACAGGCCCGCCTCTCGGATGCGCCAAACAAGGAGCTGACTCCATCGGGCGATCGCATGGAGGACGCCAGGGAGTACTACGACTTTTTAGAGCACAAGAGGACTGTAAGATTCCACGCCCACCCTACCCGATGCGACCAGGAGAAGTATCCGGCGTTTGAGCTCGTTCTCAACGGAAAGATCAACTACGATGCGCTATCTGAGAGCGTGGGGGCATACCTCAAGGTTGAGCCAACACATATTCGTCTGTGGACTGTCAACGCCTCGACAAACAACCCCAAGGTGCCAGTTAGGCGAGGCACCAACCCGACGCTGCGACAGATTCTCAGCCCCACAGGAGGAAGTCTGAATACCAGTCAAAGGAATGACGCATTCTACTTCGAGGTGCTCGAGATGAGTCTAGCAGAATTGGATACCAAGAAGAGCATCAAGCTTACCTGGCTTAGCGAAGGCATATCCAAGGAAGAGCAGTTTGACCTCTTGGTGGCCAAGACTGGAACGATTGAGGATTTGATTCAGGCCTTGGTCAAGAAGGCTAAGATTGCGGACGAGGCCGAGGGAGGAAGGATACGCGTCTACGAGACGAGTTCCAACAAATTCTATCGCGAGCCTGTCCGCGAGCATGCTGTACAGAACCTGAGCGACTACACGCAAATCTACGCAGAGCGCGTGCCTACCGACGAGTTGGACGCCAACGAAGCCAACTTTATCCAAGTGTTCCATTTCCAGAACGAACCCAACCGCACTCACGGCGTGCCGTTTAAATTTCTCATCGTTGAGGTATGTCTTGGTGGTGGTTTAGGCAGGCCATCCGTGTATGTATGCATCCTGCGAAATGGCACTAACACGGCGCAGGGAGAGAAGCTCGTGGACAGCAAGAAACGTCTGGAAAAGAGGACTGGCCTCAAGGGCAAGAGCTTCGAAAAGATCAAGTTTGCTGTTGTGCGTAGAAGTAACCCTTCTAAGCCGCGCTACCTGGAAGATGGTAAGCACATACTACAGTCGCCATGCATGACCGTTGCTAATCATTTATAGATGACGAGCTCTGGAATCTGATTACCTCCGAAGATGATTTCCTGGGCCTGGATCATCTTGATCGAACGAGGTCGGTACGGAACGGATCAGAGGCGCTTTTCCTTCGTTGAGTCGGGCAGGCCGTCGTGTCTCAGTTGCTGGCTGCGTGTATGATGCGCCGTGTGCTAAACAGTGAGGAGGGTGCATCCCGCGATGCGTACAAGGAGCAGTGGCTGGTAGGACAGGCTCCTCGGTGGGTATTGGAGAGGAGTTTGTTTCTTGTTTCATTTTTGTAGCACGACATTACAAGTATAAGAGTATCTTATCTGGGCGCCGCTGAAACTGTGGCATTGGGATATCATGGTTTGAACGGTAACGGCATCGTGGTATGCAGTGCAATATGATTATACCCTTGAACATTGTGCTCACTGGTGCTTTGCTTGTGTCAGGAGGGGGTAATTTGTTGATTGTGCCCGTCGTACTTGACGCTTGAGTGCCCCCCCTCTATCTATTCGACCAACAGTACAAAACATGTCGAAGAATGAGTAGGTTCAACTGTACATTTGGACTTGTGCCTCAGTTTGTTCGCCGTTGTCCCCTTCCTTTGGACTCGCTCGCCCTTCGTTTCAGTTGTCCTTCGGGGTCGTCTTCTCGCACAGGATGGCCTTGGCCCGCACCGCCCACTTCATGATCATCATCAGGTCCGGAGCTCCTGGCGCTCCGACGTCGATCTTGCTACCTTTGCAGCTTGTTTCACTATTCGTGCGCGCACGGGTTAGTCAGCCCTTTGAACGTCGAGGAGGTGGCCCGCGGGAGGAATGTTACTCGTGGAGGTGGCAGAGGGCGTTGCCGTAGACCTTGATGGATCCGACCGCTTTGAGCCTTTTCGCATGGTTTGTCAGCCATCTCATTGTCTTTGTTTGAATGGGTGGGTTGTGTAGCCTTACTTCGGGGCCTTGTCGGCAATGTCGTGGCACTGGCCGTCAACGGGCCAGGCGACGGTGGTTCCGACGAAGCCGGTGTCGGGGTATAAGGAGACCTGTTTGATAGCAAGACAGAGAAAATGAGAGTCAGTATTGCGTGTTGGAAGCGGGCGAGGAGAAGAAATCGGTCGGGGGACGGACCGAGGCGGCGGTGGAGTTGGTGGGTTTGGCGTTGGTGATGCCAACGAGGAGGGCGGCGGGAGCAAGGACTTGGAAGCGCATTTTTAAGATGGTGTAAGAACTTCTGGCTGGATGCTGTTTATACAAAAGAAAAGTATGATGTTATGTGGTACGAGGAACGTGTCCGCCAAAGGGGGTGATTTTGGTGAGATAGTGTTGGTTTTGAGGTAGGAGGAAGTTGAAGAAGGAGCAAGTTCGAAGCCTTTTAAACATGGAAAACCCCGCGTCAATTTCCCCCCAAAAGAAAAATACGAGGAGAAGCTATGAATATCAACAATGCCGTCCAGTTCCAGTTCCCTTGTCAAGTTGGAATACTTCCTCCCCGGTTTACTAGGATTGGGAGCCCTCATCACAACGTCATTGGATGAACATCCTCATTTATTCTGTTCTAACCCAAACAAGCCCCTAGCCCAGGAAGCCGGCTGCGGAGAAGAACAATGTTTCGATGAATTACGACCTACGTATTGTATATAGAAGGGCCAATTATCAACTCGGCCCTCCCTGCTTTGCCGGTTCGGGGAGGGTTCTGGTGGGTACGGAATGATGGGCGCGCGCCGCAGCACCAAGGCACCATCCCTGAACGATGGAGGGGGCTCATCATAGGGGGCCAGGACTGTGTATGAAGTATTTATGGAAAGATGATAATTGGACAAGGGGCGCAACACGTATTTGTTCTCGGTTAGGCATGTCAAGAATTGTTGGTGGCATGGAAGGCGGTTACCAAGTTGTGATGACTCAGCATCTTTGCAGTTAGTCGTGAGTTGGACCCTCCCAACAGCACTGTATCGTACTCGTGGTTCACAAGCCAAGTAATATTCGTGCTCACGCACCATCCAAAATGGTGTCTGCAGTTCCGTTGTCTATTCCGCCGGTTGCCCCGCCGGCGATTTTGCCGGCGGCCTCGCCAGGAGCCTCGCCACTGCAGTACGACATTCTGTTCCAAGACCCTGACCTGCCCGAGCCTCTTCCCTCCTTAGAAGCGATCGAATCTGCACAGTTTATCAGCGAGAAAGTTTCTAGGAACGTCGTTTCAGCCACGGCCTGCTTTGCGGTCAAGTTTGGCTACGAGGTGCAGCCGCTCGAGGCCGAAAACATGCGGTTTGTGCGCGAAAACACCAACGTACGCGTTCCCCGTGTCTTTGCCGTGTATCAACGCGATCGCGAGACAGAGCTACCGAAAACGTACATCGTCATGGAGAAGCTCGCCGGCGACTCGCTCGACAAACTGTGGCACGGGCTCGACGCCGCACAAAAGCTCGACATCGTAGCGCAGCTCAAGGTCGCGTTCGCGTCGCTGCGCAGCCTGCCTCACCCCGGGTTTTTCGGCAGCATAGACGGCACCAAGCTGCGTGAATTCCTGTTCGACGACATTGACAAGCCAACGCCCTCCGTCAGGTCGCCGTTTAAGACGGAAGATGCGCTCATCGACGGGCTGCTGGACCGGTTCCTGGCCGAGGATCCTGGGAGGCTGCGGCACAAGACCGCCTATTACCGACTCGTGCTCCCCAAGATCTTCAAGGGCAGCGGTCAGCCTGTGTTTACGCATTCTGACTTGCAGCTGAAAAACATCATGCTGCAGCCGGACGGGCGCGTGGCGATGATCGACTGGGACGTGGCCGGCTGGTACCCGGCATACTGGGAGTATGCGGTCGCCATATGCGCGCACGCGATGTGGCCGAATGACTGGCCCAGCCACGTCGGCCTGTTCTTGGACGAGTACCCTAACCATTTCGCGTGGATGAATCGACTGCGGATGGAGAGGTGGTAGGTATGTGGCGCTCGGCCTGAGATGCGGCGTGTCTGCTGCCCGGCAGTGAGGCACAGCCAGTAGGCTTGGTCCTCTCATTCAACCTTGCAAGTGATATGATATGTGTCAAGATGACGACATCTGCGTAAAGTGTAAGCCAGTGGCAATCAAAAATCAATCGAATTGCGTAACGGAAGAGTCATGGTTCTCTTTTTAGAAACAACAAGAGAAAAGGTGACATTTCCATCTGCTGCTTGCGTCCCGGGTAATGATGAATATTGTACATTTTATGGACCCAGAGGCTGCTTCCACGGCCCCTCTATGATACACTGCTAAATCAAGATGCCGTCTTTTCTTCACACAAAGCGTACAACACCTCTGCCGCCGCCCCCTCATCTCCTCGCGCGCGCCGCCGCCGGGCCACGACCCGCCAGCACCGGCACCGGCTCCGCCGCCGCCTTCTTCTGTTCCTCCGCCAGTCTCTCCATCAGGTACCCGTCGATGCGTCGCTGCCCGTCCACCACGCGGCCCTCCTCCAGCCTCCTCGCCTCCTCCGCCGCGCCCTTCTTGCGCAGCTCCGCCAGCTCCTGCCTGCGCCGCCCCGTCATGCGCCACTCCGGCGGGAACCGCGGCTTCTCCTTTTTCGTCCTGTGGTGGCGCGTGTCGAGGGCCACGTCGGCAAAGGTGTCCTGCGGGTCCTTGGCCTCGGCGACGAGCGCGAGCACGAGGTCTTCAAGGTACCGCTTGTTCTGCGCCTGGTGCTCGTAGCGGCTGCAGCTGATGCGGACCACGTCCTTGTCCGGGTCGAGGCGCGCGCCGGCGAGCTTGCGCAGCTTGGAGGTCTGCGTGCGCGTGAGGCCGAGGTCGCCGGGGGCGAACTGCACCACGACCTTGCTCTCCGCCGGATGCGTCTCGCCCATGTACGTCGTGTACCGCCACCGGAGGACCTGGTCGGCCCTTGGGAGTTCAAAAGGTTTCGCGAGTTCTAATTTGCACCCCCCCTGTTAGCTTCAATGTTCCAATTTTGATGGGTTTGAATTTGGCCTACTCGACAACAGTGGCATCTCCCACACGGCCAGCCTCGTGTAGTGGCGCATCTCCCGGACCTCGTCCAGCTTATTATGCGCCATGGACATCATGTCGTCCTCGTTGAACTCGTCGTGCTCCTCCGTAAAAGTGTCCGGGTCGTCCTCGTCGTACCAGAAGTTGCGGCGGTCCGGCCGGCCGCCCGAGTCGTCCCGCACCAGCTCGTCCGTCAGCAGCTTGTCCTGCGTCGAGAAGCCCGGCGCGTGCCGCAGCTTGTCGTCCAGGTACGCCTCGATGGTCGCGTGGCCGTTGAGCTTGGCCAGCCGGTCCAGCTGCTGCAGCCCCTCGGGCGTCGCCCGGTCCGCGAAGGCCTTGTCGAGCTGCCGGAGTTCGACGGGCGCGCCCTCGCCGCTGCCCTCGTCGCCGTCAAAGGCTCGCTCAGCGCGGCGCGGGGAGCTTGTCGTGAATGCTGCCGCGGTGGCCGTCGGCTTCGTGCTGGCGATGATGGCTGTCACGCGGTGGCGGGCCAATTGCGGTGCCGCCCGGCGGCAGGCGGCGGCGCATAGGCTCGCGACGCGGGGAGCGGACGCCATCTTGACAGTATCGACTGCGCGCGGATGGCAATTCCGTTTATGTGTCGTGTTTGCGGCGTTGCGAAGAAGAATAACGTCGTCGTTGAAGCTTCCAAAATTTCGGCGGAGCAGTCGCCCCTGGTGGTCAGCAGCGCTGCCGAAGTTCAGCCTGTCCTAGGTGCGGATAATCACCGGCTAACAGCCTCACGCAGGTTTAGTGCAGATCAGCTGTTAAGGCGTCACCTCGACTTACAACGTCACCAAACTTACCTGCTACATGCAACTCAGCTTGAAATCATTGATAAAATGTCTGCGGCAAAGGTCACCAAAAGATACTGCCTCGTCACGGTCGGCGCGACGGTCGGCTTCAGAAAGCTGACCGCTGCGGTTCTCGAGCCCGATTTTTGGCGGCATCTGGCCGGTCACGGCTTCACGGAGCTGCGCGTCCAGTGCGGGCCGGATGAGCCCTGGGCAGCCGCCCAAGTCGAGAGCCACAAGGACGATATCCCGCAGTCCCTCTCAGTCCAAGTCTTTGCATCGAGAAACAATCTCCTGATGGAGGAGATGACGCTGTGCAAGGCGTTGGGCAAGGGGCGATCCAAGGGCCTCATCATCGGCCACGCAGGTGAGCGAGCCTCAGCATCATCGCAAATGCTCTCTCACGCGCGGCACTAACGGGGCAAGCAGGCACGGGGACGATACTGGACGCGTGGAGGATCGACGTCCCCATGGTGGTCGTGCCCAACACGGAGCTCCTCGACGACCACCAGACCGAGATGGCCCGGCACCTGGCGCGGGAGGGCTACGCGACCCAGGCCAAGGCAGAGTACGTCCCCTGTTCACCCTTCGCAACGATGTGGCCTATCTAACCTGACCGGCGCAGTCTTGCGGATCTCAAGGAGGCAGTGGATAAGGCGAAGCTGCTCGCGGAGGAAAACAAGAGCCGTAACCCGCCGCACGCCATCTCCGGGAGCAAGCCGGCGATGCGGCTGTGGGACATGGTCCCGGAGGAGGTGCGGGAGGAGCAGAATCAGCAAATGGCCACCGACTAGAGGACCCAGGCGCATTTTCTGATGACGTGTCTGCAACTATCATGACCCCGGCGCAAAAAGGAAAACATGCTTCAACTTGATACCCCCATAACATGACTGCGATGGTTTCTAGAATTCATTTTGCTTTCAGAGGCTAGCTTCTATCCCTTGCTTATGCAGTTTTATTTTAATTCAAAGCACAATTCAGCTCTCATGGAAGGTTCTGCATGTCCCAGACCTTGACGGTCGCGTCGTTGCCCGCGCTCGCCAGCCGCCCGCCCTCGATCCACGCCACGCCGCTGACGCCGTCCTTGTGCGCGTTGGCCGCCTTGATGCGCTTGCCCTGGTTCTTCTTCTCCAGACACCAGACGAATACATTCGTGTCGAGGCTGCCGCTGGCCGCATGCGCGCCCGCGTCGTCCCACGCGATGCAGGTGACGCGCGCCGTGTGCGCCGACCACCTGTCCGCCGCCACCTCCCAGCCGCCGCCGACCTTGTACACGTAGATCTTGCCGACGCTGTTGCCCGCGGCCAGGTGCGCGCCGTCGCGCGAGAAGGAGAGCGCGGAGACGGTGCCGGTCGAGTTGGTCAGGGTCTGTGCTTCTTGCAGCGCGCCGCTGGCGTCCGCCGCGTACACCTTGACCGAGTTCTGGTCGGCGCCGACGGCGACAAAGCCCGCGGTGGCGGCGATCGCGCCGGGCGCGTACGCGGTTGGCGTTTCCTTGGCCAGCTTCCCGTCCTTGTACGCAGCGACTCCGGATGCCGTAGCGACGTAGACGATGCCGTCAGCCGCCGCCACGCCCTTGGGCTGGGCAGGTAGAGTCACGCTCTCGCCGAGGAAGGTCTTTGCGGCCTCGTCCACCGTCCGGAGCGTGTCGTCCCAGCCCGCGCTGTACGCCCTGCCGGAAGCACCGGCCAGCTGGGCAACCTGGTTCGTGTGAGCCTGGCCGTCAACGACAGCGGCGGTGCCGGTCTTGACGTCCCAGTGGCAGACGCGGCCGTCGAAGCTACCCGTCCACAGCGCCGTGCCCTTGTCGTCCGACGCGCGGATCATGGTCGTGATCCCCTTGTCGTGTCCCTGGACCACTCTGACAGGCTGCTCCTTGCCCTCGTGCAGATACGTGAGCTCGCCACGCAGGTTCACGCTGATGATGAGGCCGTCGGTGCGGCCGTGGGGGATGACCACGCCCACCTGCTGGTCGCCCACGCTGACGCCGTCGCCAAACTTCCACGACTGCGTAGCCTTGCCCGACTCCACGTCCCAGAGGCGGACGGTCTGGTCCGCGCTCGCCGTGGCGATCCTCCTGCCGTCCTGCGACCACGAGACGGCGAAGACGGAGCCAGCGTGCTCGCCCTCGCCAATCTGCCTCCCGGGCTCGCCCGTCTTGCCGTCGTACAGCTGGATGCGCCTATCCGCGCCGACCGTGACCAGCGTGCTGCCGTCGGGCGAGTACGCGGCGCCGAGGACGAACCCCTTGTGCTGGGCGCTCTTGCCGTTGAACTTGTAGGGCGCGCCGTGGTAGAAGACCATGTTGCCATCGTCGCCGACGGTGGCGGCGCGGAAGGGGCGCTGGCCCTTGACGGCGACGGCGTTGACGGCCTTGCTGTGGCCGATGACCTCGCCGACCGAGTTGCCGCTGTCGGCGGTGATGCAGCGGCCAAACTGCTCGCGGCCGTCGCCGACGGCGATGACGCGCTGCGACTCGCCGTCCCACGCCACGTCGTTGAGGCGCCTGGAGATGATGCCGTACTCTTTGCCGACGTTGTCGATGTTCTCGGGCTCCCAGATGCGCAGCGTGCCGGCGGCGTCGCCGCTGGCGATCTTGAAGCCGCTGGGGGAGAAGCGGGCGACGGTGGTGGCGGCGGTGTGGCCGGTGTATTCCTTGCAGTCGTCGGGCGAGTCGATGGATCGGACAAAGATGGATTTTCCAGACTAGAGGGTGTGTTAGAAGTTATTCGGGACGCGCGTGTGGCCGTGGACAGCTCCGAAACAGCTGTCGAGTTACTGACCGCGTAAGCTATGCGCTGGCCCTTGCTGTCGGTCGACAGCTGCGTGGGCTGGCCGCGGGTCGTGGCAGGCGCCGCAGCCAGAATTTTGTTGAGGGTAATGGTGGGAGAAGCCATATCTCTGTGTGTGATTTCACAGCGAGGCTGTAGATGTTCTGTTGTGCCTGCAACGGGCTCGTGTTTGAGGAACGTGGGGATGAGCTTGGAGGGGCAACGGCGAGAGGGGCAACGGTGACGTCTCCGAGGTTTTGGTGGTGTAGGTCCAGACAACAAGTCAAAAATTAGGAAAAATCTCGAAGAAAGCGGCGAGCAAATTTAAAGATGCGATTCAATCTATATATGTTTCTAAAAGATGATTGATATCCGTATTTACAGTACGACGTTGTTGAGCTGCTGCCTGCAGGCACCAGTATAAGCTGGACGGTGCTCGAGTAAGCAGCAACGAGCACACAGCACCACTACAATCATCTTTCGTAATGCGCATCTTAACGTCGAATAACATTCAGCAAATCATTTGTCGGCGAGTCCATGTTCAGCGACCAGACCATCGCGCCCGCCAAGCCCTTTGACGCCGCATAATCGGCCTTGATCTTGAGACTCTGCGGGTCGTCGTACGAGATGAACGTTTTCGTCTGCGGGTTGAACAGCCACGGCGTCTGCGACGTGCTATCCCACTGCCGCACCCACGGCGCGCTTGCCGTCGTCGGGCTCGAAAGCACACCCTGGTCTCGGAGGTGCTTCCACTGCCACGTGCCCGAGTTTGCCGTCGCGCCCGCGCAGGCGTCGTACCACGGCGCGTCCTCGCGATCGCCGAGCGGCACCACGTTCGACTGCGGCTGGTACTGGTTGTTCGGGTCCTTCCTCATATCTACAAGCGCCGTCGTCGCGCGCCCGTAGAACCCGTATCCGGCGTTGAGCTTCGCCGCCGGCCACCCCGCGGCCGTCCAGGCGTCGATGGAGGACACGAACGACACCTGCAAGCCCGGTCCGCCGGGCTGGAAGTTGAACGGCGCGTTGGGGCCCGTTACGTTGTTCCAACCGCCGTTGATGTCGAACTGCATCAGGCTGCCAAAGTCGACCACCGCCGCGTAGGCCGAGACGTCCTTGAGGGGGCCGGAGGGCCCGTCAAAGGGCTCGACGCGCAGGGCGAGGGTCAGCAGCTTGCCGCGCGCGCCAAAGGTCGCGTCCATCTGCGACCGCAGCTTCTTCAGGAAGACGAGGTAGTTGGCGGAGTCGGCCTGCGGGTCGAAGGCGTTGCAGTTGTCGCCGAGGCGGCCCGGGTACTCCCAGTCGAGGTCGACGCCGTCCAGGTTGTTGGCCTGGATGTACCGGATGATGTTGCGGATCATGTTGGCGCTGGCGGTCGCGTCCTTGAGGATCAGCGAGAAGTAGTTGGAGCCGGTCCAGCCGCCGATGGACATGACGGCCTTGACGCCCTTGCTGTGCAGGGACGAGACGACTTGCGGCAGGAACCAATCCCCGTCAAAGGAGAAGGATCCGTCGCGCGCGGGGATGGCAAAGGCAAAGTTGATCTGCGTGTACAAACTCAGGTCCATAGAGTCGATGTACTGCTTCTTCCACGAAGGGTAGTAACCAACGACATTCTTTCCCAGAATGCCAGTGGTGGCGAAGGCCAGCAGGACGGAAAGATACTGAGTTACGCGCATGATGAATGCTGGATCTGATGATGGAACTCTGTGCAAGCTCATTTACGTGCGGTTGGCCCGGTACATGTATATTCCTACGATTCGAGGACGCTGATGGCTCTGACGCATCATGTCCTCTCGGCTTTGCCAAGAGCATCAACAGTCTCAGAGTAACGTTGACACTGCTGAGCAGCCAGCGCATTTTCCCATAGTGCAGGCAGCAGTATCGTTACAATCGTGACAGTATGCTTTCATTCCTTGTAGATTAATCGCAGTATTTACAGATTAAATACGGCGAAGAAATAGGGTCATGTGTGCGCATGCAATGCTGATCCCCCGCAGCTTACGGTGGCTTACTATGCCGATGAGTGGCATCAGAGCGACCTGCAGGTAACTCGAACACGGGCCCGAAGACTTGCAAATCATACAAAAGAAAGAATCTTAGACAGTTTGTGCCTTCATACATTTTATTACCGCTATGCATTTAGTGTATCAGCACTGGTAACTATCGACAGCTGGAAGGTATCATTGAGGTAATCAAGCTTAGACGACACTAGGCATTGTTACATTGCAAAAGCAAGTTCGAATTGATTAGATGCGCAAGTTTACTCTTTGAACGTTACATGACGATATTGATGCACCACCAAGATCCTCCTCCGTGCCGGAGAAAGGCACCAAGCCGGCATACAACGGGCCTGACTGCCGTATTGGCCAAACTAGGCAGGTAGCCATCATGTATGTCTCTGAGATGCGGTGCTTGGTGGGGTCACACGAACAAAAGAAAAGATGCAATTAATACTGCAATTTGGGAGCTTATGCAATGCCCCGTCCATAGATGATGACTCCATTGAAAAGAGCGCAGCCCGTAATTTGGCTTGTCCGGGATGTGTGTACAGGGCGTGCCAGCTGATGCTGCTACGACACTCGAAAGTATCTTAGCAATTCTACAGAACTCCCCTAGTCCAAGTAGTAGGATATGAATCTGCTACGGGAATGTTGCAACTATTATATATACATCATCTCATTCCCTACTCGTGTCACCACTCAAGGACGACAAGGACTAGTGACCTGGTCGCTGAAGGTACCAGACCTGACAGCGATGAGGGGCAAACCCAGCGTTGATTTCGACTTGTCCTTGCAAAATCCATACCTAAATAGCCTTATTATTATCAAATATTTTAGCTAAACGTATTATGTGCCTTATTAGTAGTAAACTATTCACAGTCGTGGCAACTACGCCGACTTCACACGGCACGGGCGAAAGCGGGTCGCCGCCACCCATCGGTCCTCGGCTTCTCTCGATCCAAAATCTCCTAACCCATCAACCCATCAACCTTCTCTCATCACCAACATCAACCAACACCAACTCACCCTTCCCTGTGGAACGTCAACAACCATGAACCCCCTCTCCGTCCTGCGCCCCGCCGCCCGCCGCCACTCGCAGCAGCAGTGCCGCCGCGCCCTGTCCGCCTGCGCCGCCCGCTGGCAGGCCTCGCCCTCTGATGTCTACGGCAGCGCTCGCATGCCGCGCATGCGTCCCGACGACGCCCCCTCCGGCGATCTCGCCGTTGGCGAGCTGCAGGGTGCCAAGTTCCGCGTCGAGCCCCTGCGTCGCGTCGGCGAGACGGACGCCACGAAGCGAGCCCGCCTGCTATGTACGTTTCCTTCCCCCTTTCCTTCCCCAGAAGAAGACGAAGACAACGGACGATTAAGGAAGGAAAATGGCTGACCAACCTTTGCAGACCAATCCCGCAAGCGTGGCATCCTCGAGTCCGACCTCGTCCTGTCCACCTTTGCCGCGCAGCACCTACCCACCATGACCCCCGCGCAACTCACCGAGTACGACCTCTTCCTCGACGAGAACGACTGGGACATTTACTACTGGGCCACGCAGCACGAGCCGTCCTCCTCCACCAACCCGTCCGTCGCCACCTCTTCCGCCTCCGCCGGCGCCGCCACCTCCGCCGAGGTGGAGGAGGCCGCGGCGAAGCATCCCGAGAAGGAGAACGACCAGAACGTGGTGATGATGCGCGAGCCGGGGCGCGGCGAGTGGGCGCAGACGGTGGGCACGTTCAAGCCCGCGTACAGGCCGGTGCCGGAGCGCTGGCGCGACAGCGAGGTGCTGCGGCTGCTGCGCGCGCACGTCCGCGACAAGAGCGTCGACGGCGGCGACGGCAAGGGCATGGCGTTCATGCCGGCCCTCAAGGAGTCGGACTTTGCATGAGGGGCAGCCGCCGCTGTAGCTGGTTGAATTGAGATGGACTTGTACACGACTGGTGGGGGAAGGAAACGGCCTGTATAATACACGAAAATAGACGCATCGCAATTTTAGCTCCCAACTTGATCAAGAATCAACAGGTATCAGGTGCGGACGTCGGTTTCTTTAATAATAATAACGCGGCATTTTGAGCCGCCCTTCTTTATTCACCCTCATTTCATACCTTTCCCCGTCCACATAATTTCATCCAGCTCCCCAAAAACGCCAAAAAAAAAAAAAGGCAACCAACCAGAGAGTTTTCGCCGGTCCTGCTCCCCCCATGTAAAACATAACAACACCTAGCCATCCGTATATATATAAAAGTATGCTCTTCATCATAAAGGGCGCCCAAAAGCAACAAGTTCGAAAAGACGCTGAAACCCATGCCCATTTGTCTTGGCCCAGAAGGCGGGGGTATATGTAAGCAAAAACACCAGTCCGATCCGTGATCTTTCTGAAAACCCTCACGACCCAGAACCGCCGCCCCCTTCCGGGAGCAGCCTGCCCAGGCCACGCAGGACCTCCATGACGGGCATGTCGCGCGTGCCCGCGCTCCCGCGCGCCTTCGGCGAGGCAGTCCGCCTCCCACTCGAGCGTCGCCTGGACGGCGCGCAGGCGCGCCCGCGCCCGCGTTCGCGCCTGCGTCAGCGGCTCCAGCTCCGAGGCGAGATACCGGTGGACTCGGCCCTCGTCGGCGTCGAGGAGCTCGACGGCGGGGAGTTGCGGCGGCGGTGGTGGTGTTTCTTGCGTGGTGTCGTCGGAGAGAGGGAATAGTTGGGGCTGGTCGGCGGATGGTTTTTGTATTGATAACCAGGCGTTCTTTTCTTCTCGTAGTCTGGACGTCCCATGTCAGTTCATTCTGCTCCGATTCTGCAGCGCAAGGGAAAAGGAGGGCTACCTTTGTATTCGAGCTTCCAAGGAAGCCATCTTCTTATCCAGCTCCATGTTTCTGGGATTCGGTTTCAGCACCCTCGTCGCTGGCGCTACACTCTCGTCTCTCCCGAACCAGTTATAGAACTCGGGCCTCGTCGAGAATTCCTTTGTCAACTCGTCCAAGATCGCCCGCGCTGTCCCCGCCATCCCAAGTTAGCAGACATCCCAATGCCAAAAGCCCAAGAGAGGAAGATCTCCCCTTTCAACACTTACCTCCCAGCGACGGATCCGTGCTCGGCACGCCCTGCTTCGGCTTCTCCGGCAGTGCCCTCGCGCCGCACCACGTCAGCAGCTGCTTCATGCGCAGCGGCTCCGACAGCCCGTCCGCGGCGATGTGCTTGTAAAAGTCGCGCGCGTCCACGTCGCGATGCGGCATCGCCGTCTGCCCGCTCTCGATCAGCGAGCTGGCCCTTCGGCCGCGCATCTCAAACGAGCTGCGCCGGTGGCTGCTGCTGCTGCTACTGCTGTTGCCGCTGCCGGTGCCCTCGGCGGCCTTTTTGCGCATCTCCTTGTTGCGGGCAATCACCGGCGTGTCGCTCGTCGGTAGCGTAATCGTCGTCGTGCCGCGCGGAGGCGACTGCAGCGTACTTCGCTCTGGACGCCGCGGCTTGTCGTCAGCATCGCCGCGTCGGCTCGTCTTGGGGTCGCTGCTGCTGGCGGTGGCGCGTCCGGCGCTCGCTTCCCTCCTCGTACGGTCCGCGTCGCGCGACGGCGACGCCGCCGCCGTGCCCGTCCTCCTCTGCGAAGTCGATGCTGCTGCTGCTATCGTTGTCTTCGTCGTCGTCGTAGCAGCAGTGCTCCTCTCCCCCGCCGCAGGCTTGTTGCGCGGCGATCTCCTCACCGGCGCCGTAGCCGTCGCCGCCACCTCGTCCGTCCTCGCCTTCTTCGGCTTGCGCGTAAACACGAATCCATCGTCGTCTTCAAAGTCCTCCGCGGCTGCGCGTTCTCTAATTAGCATCGTCGTCGTCTTTGTCGCCGCGCGGCCGCCTGGGCCCTGCTCACCCGCTAGACGCTTGCCCGTCCGGCGGTCGGGTTGGTTGCTCATGCTCAGGTCAAGCGGCGATGTCCGGGTGGCCACGAGCGTCGTCATGGATCAAGATATGCAACAGATTCTGTAGTTTCTCTTCTATCGCAGATACATGGGTGCTTTCGGAGGGCGCGCGGGCGGCCCTGTGTGCGCGGTTTTGCGAAAATTCGTCGAGAACGTTTCTTCGGTCCGGGGCGTGGTCGCGTTTTCGGGCCGGCGCGCGTCAAGTCTGGCCACACCTAGAGTCGCACAGGACGATTTCCCGGTTCCACGTCGCGTAGAGTAATTGCGTGCGATATAATTGAGCGTTTTATGAATTTCAATCTGTTGGTCGAGGAATCGCGAAACAGTTACTCTTCAAAAACCTCGTGGTGGTGGTGGCAGGCGGCGGCGTTTGTTGTTTACCTTTGGAGGTGAGCGGCGATTCCACTAGTTGCGCTAGTCCATATTAGGTAGCCACCCCTCTACCAGCTTCAACAAGCCACCAGCAGCAATGCGTAAATTGCACAACTGCAACAGCTACGCAAAAGTCTATCAGACTGCCAACTCATAGCTTGCAATTTGTAATAATACTTTCTATTCAATGTAGCTTCCCATCTAGCTACTGTTCGTGTACTGCCTGCAGAGTCTTTTACAGGTTGCCCGCAGGCTTAAAGGCAGAGATTCCCCAACGCCAAGGCCGGAACAACCAACCAACTCCTTTTCATGTGGCCTAATCCGGGCCATCAAAGAATAAAGAAGCCATAAAAATACGTACAAAAATCGCGGCAACATTACCGCCTCCAACAAGAAGAAAACCAGTCGAACACATCAGTATTCAAGTAGATTGAAGGGCAAGCCATTGACTGGCAATGTGCCCACCCATCCAGAAAGAAAACAAGAAAAAGAAAATGCAAAACATGCCTCTCTCGTCGTAAAACGTGTAATACAGGTACAAAAACATCTGTAGAACAGATGCAAAGCAAAAATAGGTATAAAGTAGAAATGTTGGGGATCATATGTTCGGGGCACCAGAAGCACCAGAGACACCAGAGATACCAAAGGCACCAGAGGCACCAGAGGCATCAGAGGCACCAGGAGCACCCGAGACAATAGGAGCGCCAGAAGCACCAGAGGGGCTAAATTCACCACCACAGCCTGGTACGTCTTAGGAATAACGACGCGGAACACCTTGGCCAGCCATGACCTGCTGTTGGTTTGGCATCGGCCCGCCCATGCCGTAAGGGTTCATCTGGGGAGCTGGAAAGGGTTCCATGACCGGCTGCATGAATGCTGCTTGAAGGCCCTGTTGCTGGCCCACGGGACAGTCCTTGTGGGCGAGCAGGAGGGTCTTCAAGTTCACCACCTCCTCGCGAAGAGCTGTTATTTGGGATGTCAGCGCCTCATTCTCGGTGCTGAACATCTCAACCTTGCTCTGGAGGTTTGCGAGCCACTGTTTCTTGCGCTGACGACACTTGAGGGCGGCGACGCTAAATCATGCAGTTAGCATTGTACAGTATTAGCAGTAATGTGGAAATGAAGATGACTCACCGATTGCGCTCCAGAAAGTTCTTGCGCTTCTCCTCGTCTGTCATCTTAGAACGACCGGCGGAGTCGCCATCGTCCTCATCTTCAGACATGTCAGAGGGCTCACTGGGAGGTGGAGCGGCGCCCTTGGCTTTCTTGGCCGGGGGGGCCTTAGCAGGAGGTTCATCGGCCTTTCGACGGCCGGTAGTTTGAGCTTTCTTGCCCTTTCCGCGAGCTGGTTTCGTGTCCTCATTCTCCTCGGAGCGATTGCTGGCCTCACTAGCGCCGCGCGTATGCTTAGCCGCGTTGCCGTTAGCCTTAGGGACATTTCCCGCGGCAGGCTGTGCGAGATTAGCCGGCGGGTTGGTGCCTTGCGGACCGCTTCCGCCTTGTGCAAGCATATAGAGGCCATTAGCAGCGTCATTATCGTGCCCATCAAAAGGACCCGAAGATGGTTTGGTCTCGGCCTTGGCCATCGCGCCGTGAGGGACGTCTTGAGGTTGCGTGGCGATTGGCTGCTGGGCTGGGGCCTGTGGCTGTGGCAGAGTCTGCTGATTTTGGCTCTGACTGCGTTGGCGATCCCGCTTAGCAGCCGCACTCAAAGCAGTACGATGAAAATCAAGCGTATTGGGCGTGGCGCCACCACTGGCGAGCTGAGCAAAGAGAGCTTGGGAGTTTGGACTGGGGGCAGGAAACATGGAACCACTGCCACCAGGTGTCAGGCCAGAGCGCAAGGACGACTCGTTGGGTGTGGGAAAGCCGCCGCGAAGATGACCTTCGGTGAAGTAATCGGTGGCCGGACCGGAGAGCATGGCAGGACTAAGGGGACCGGTGCGCAGAGAGCCACCGCCCCAGTTGAAAGGTGTGGTACCGGTTCCGGGCAGGAGAGCCGAGGGTGAGGTTAAGGCGGCGACGGAGGGCAACTTGGTACCTCCCGGCGTCTCGGGACCACCACCTCCTCCAAATGACTGCTCAAAGGGATTAGGCTCCAGGCTGAGGGAGCCGCCGGGCTGGGGCGCAAAGTAATCCGGGGTATTGGTTTCTTGTTGGCTGGGTCGCGGTGGAGGCGCGAGCGGTTTCGCGGGCGCAACATTGGACCCAGAGTCGGTCTTGGATGTCGTGTCGGACTTGGAGTCTGTGGTGAAATGAGAATCAGTATGGGTGATGATTGAGGATAGCTGAGATTGGCGGAGGAAGGTCGCGATGGTGGTCTGGCGCAGGTGGTAGTGAGGGATGGGGTATGACGTCGGGGGCGGAGAGAAGGTGTAAATGGGACTCGAGGGAAAGACGTTGAGATGAGGCAGTTCCGAACAAGGGCGGAAAGGTGCGGAACCCTATATATAGAATATAGAAGCAAAAAGGGTACATACCTTGACGGGGCGGCGACGGTTTCTTGGAGCGAACAGGAGACTTGGCGTCAACTCGAGTTGATGAGTCCGGTCCAGAAGTGCCCATGGCGAGAGATTGATGATGGCAACGACGTATATATATTGTGGGCTGTAAAGAGAAAGGTAGAGGGGGGTGTGGAGAAGGATTGAAGGCTGGGATCTCGACTGGGCGGCGCAAGAGTGTTGTCGCGGCAATAGAGAGGACGAGGTTGGATGATGAGGTCAGAGGAGGAGTCGAAAGCAGCGGAGCAGAGTGTAAAAACGACCGAACGTGGCTGGCTGGCCGCTCACACACCTGTCGCAGAAGGCGGCGTGGGAAAAGGGTCAGTTAGTTGACGCTAAATCTGTAGTAAAAATTGAGGGCGTATTTTGTATCGTTTCTAATTCCAGACTGCCAGTTTCTGGCACTCGAGGCAAAACGGTGATGATAAGCCCGTGTCGAGGGCAAGAAAAAAATCAACCCAGGCAACGGCAAGAATGACGGGGCTGGCGGCGGTCGGCAGCACCAGGAGCGCGCCTCTTTGAAGAAGAAGCGTACAAGGGAGAAAAAAAAATGTTCAAGCGCCTAAATCAGTATCGTACACATTAACCTTGTGCAGAGCAGTCGCGGCTGACGGGGGGGCGCACTGCGGCTTAGGATGTGCAGAAGTGGAAGCGAAAGAGAGTTGGTTTGGCTTGGGGTGAAGACGTCAGAGATGACGTTGTGAGGCAGGGCGGCGGGCGGGAGAGGAAAAGGAAACGAAGAAAAATTGATGAGTGGGGCCCTCCTTCTCCTGGGGTTGTGTCCATGTCGGTACTAATGTTCCTTGTACAGTACAAGCTCTCTTTACAGACGGTAAACGCACTCGCTATTATACAGTGCAAAAGAACGAACAATGCTGGCCCGAATAGGATTGCTTCTTCTTCTTCTTCTTACTCTTCTTTAGGCCCAACATTTCCCCCATCACGGCCCAATCACCATCCGATTCATTGTCGATTGCCAGACCTCTGCAGTCTGTATGTACCGATGGCGCGACTTGCCACCTTCCTCGCGCCGCTTTAGCTTACAAACCATAGCGGCACTGTGTGGGACGCCAAATCATCTCAAGCTGTCCATGTACCCGCTGCATGTACACCACAAGAACGCGCCTTGTAGCCACGTCCAGATGGATTTAAGCATTCATCGCTAGCACGTGTTGGTTGAAAAGTAATTATTTTAGGTGAGATTTGTTGGTAGAATATTCTCGCTTCCTTTAACTTTATGCTTACGCTTCTTACCTACATAGGCATCTCCGACTAATAACTAGTTACATTGCTCCAGCCAGTACAAACCTCACAATGGCTTACACAAACACACCACCAGCTACATAAGTTACCTTCCAAGAGACGCCCTGGTGGCTGCGCAAGGAGAAAGTCCGTGTGGCCTTGTATGATCTTGATTTGAAATCAGGGGCTAAGAACTCCTTCTTCTTTACCAACGTCTTTTGCTTCCTCTCGACTGCTTATGTTGGCTGGCTTGTTGCGCATGTTGCATGTGGTCGTTATATATCTGGTGTATGTAGGTCTTCCTGGTGCTGGCGTCGGCCGGCTTTGCCCCAGGCTGTATGTGTAAGGCGCAAGAGTCAAAATAGAGGACCAGAGCATGGCGAATTCCCTCTTTCCAGCCTACATTCTGCGATGCAGCAAACCAGGCAAATCTACCAGTCTTTTCACAAGACACGATAATCGTGGTTGCTCAGGATACTTCCGTTTATCAATCCAAAGTACTTCGCACCATGTCTACACAGTGTACATAAGCACAGCATACAGTGCGTGCCCCATCACACGCGACCCACCTATCCTCTTCACTCTTCACTGGCCCGAACCCCTGTAACCTGGCTGAACCCCCCCCTCTGTCCTGTCTCCCTGTCTCTCCTGGCTGGGCCGCCACTGTGCCCGCGACTACTGCGGCATTCATGGAATGCTGCCTCTCGACTTTGTGCGATGCGAAGCAGCCCTCGCTCAGATGGCCCGCGGCAAATAAAACGTGGGCCTGTGATACCCTCAATGCTTTTGTTGCACAAACGAAGAAGGAAGACTTCTTGGCGATTCCCGACAAGCCCCTTATCACCGAGGTCAGTCATACAAGTACTGTAAATCACGGACAGCTGCTGCACTGTACACCGCCCGTTCCTTCAAGTTTTTTTGGCGCCCGCTCCCCTGGCTCACACTGCAAGCCAGCATCCGTATCCCAGTCGTGGGCGATGAGCCTTCACCGTCACCGCTTCCCGTTCGCTTCGCTGCACCCTCGGCCAAGTTTTTATCAAAAGCTTCCCCTCCTGCAAATGTCTGCCGCTCACGACAGATGATCCGTGCCAGGAATGCACTTCCCGGCACACGGTTCCCAGCTCCGTGCCAATGCGCTTTTGTTGCCAAATGCCCGGTGACGTCAGCGGATGGGACCTCTCTTCCACACAAAAATCACTCCAAGGCGCCACGTCGCGACGATCCCCGGCCTGGCCCAATCTTGGTCCTCCCGGCCCTGTAAACAACACGCGCCTCTTGGTTCTGCAAAACTTGGCAAGCCTTCAAGGTGACTACTTTGTGATGTTCGCCTTAATTAAAGATTCACAGGCGTCTCCGGCTATTTCCTAGTTGCCCACTTGCAGAACTAAATTAGGCGGACGGACTAGATGTAATTAGTCGTGTTGATTATGAGTCGCAGCTTTTTTAACAAGTACTTGCCTAAAAGAGGAAGAGGAAGAAGACGAACAAAATCTAAAACAGTTAAAAATATAAGGAGTAAAAGGGATAAAAACAGCAGAAAACAGCAGAAAGAATAAAGGGGACAAAGGGGATATAAAGAATAGGAAGGAGAAGGAGAAGGGTGGTGGAAAGGTTGAGAAGGATTGGAGCCATGGGAAGGATGGGAGGGATAAACGGGAAAAACAAGACAAAAAGGATAAAAAAAGTAATCAAGGAAACGGACGGGGTAAAGGAGATAAAAGAGGTATGTGCCGCGTCGACGCGCCCATGTTACCAGCACCACAGTCACGCATCGTGCACAGTTTTCATCATCATACTCGATTTCGAAGTTCGGCTATTATCACCCAGAAAATCAACAACATTTTTTGCAAGTTCGACGTGGTCGCGGCAATTACCAGGCATCACCACCACCACCGCCGCCGCCAGAATGATCCTGCTGGTTGCCGTGATCCCAGCCGCCACCTGCAACAGCATCGCCGCCAGCATCTCCATCAAATCCTCCGCCACCATGGTCCTCCTCAGGCTGTTCAGCCGGAGGCTGCTTGCATCGGACTTTGGTGTGTCCGAACTCCTGACAGTTGGAGCATTTGACCTTGGACCCTGTTCTGCTCGTTAGCTTGCATCTGAATCAAGACGTATTGCAGTTTACTCACAGTCTTTTGGCTCCGGGCAGTCGCGACTGAAGTGGCCGGTCTTTTCGCAATTTCTGCACTGTACATTGTCGAGATTTGGCGGCTGATCGCAATCGGTCGCAAAGTGGCCTTCTTGGCCGCAATTTCTGCAGCCACGGCCGCCGCCCTTGGGGCAATCCTTCGCGAAATGTCCAGCTGAATCAAGTTAGCGATACTATACCGAGCTGGAATTCAGGTGTCTGCTTACTCTCCTCGCACTTGCGGCAGGTAACGTTGTCGAGGTTTGGCTCCTCTTCGCAATCTGCAGCTTTGTGGCCGGATTTGCTATCGCACGGTTAGTGTTTGGTTACACAGTTCCATGAATAAACATACCCGCAGTTCTTGCATGCGAACCAATCCTTGCGAGGTTCGGAGCAATCACGAATTCGGTGGCCGTCTGCACCGCAGTTGTAGCAAGTCAGGCCCTTGACTTCGCGAACAACCTTTTCCTGGGTGCAGTGCTTCGCCATGTGGCCGACCTCATCGCAGTTGGAGCACTTCGGCTTGCCACTGTCAACAACGTCACCCGCATCGTCGAGGCGGGACAGGATCTCTTCGATTCCTTTTGGCCAGCCCCCAATCTCTCGGGGTCGCTGCGGCTGATCCGAGAATCGATACGAGATACTATACTTCTTGCCCATATTGCCTTGTAGGTCCATGTTCGTAAAGATCTCAATCAAAGATCTCTCGGTAGCAATGAGCCAAAGGTTGATGTTGCTCGCAATGAAGGCCTCCTGAAGCTCGCGGAATGTGATTCCACCATTCAGAGCTTTGACATAGGCTTGAATGCCGTCCTTGGCATCATCGGCATCCTGCTCCGCGGCCGCTCGCTTGATCATCTCCCAGGCAACATCAGCGGCCATGTCGGCAATGCCACTGCGGTCAATCTTTCTGGCATTGGTGCAGTCCTTGCGCATGTGCCCTGATTGTGTTAGCCAGTATATTATGAATGAGCATGAACAGCATACCTTCTTCGCCGCAGTTGTCACAGCTCATAGGGGGCTTGGTCGGACATTCTTTGGCCATGTGGCCAGGCTCCTTGCAGTAGTTGCAAGTCATTTGTGGTCCGTTCGGGCATTCAAACTTCCGGTGCCTGGGGAATGGTTAGAAGCAGAATATATCGAGAATATGCAAGTAACTCACCCCTCTTCACCGCAGGAGAAGCACTTGTCGTCACGAGGAGCAGCATCCTGATCGTTGTACCTGCGTATGTTAATGGGATAATGGGGCGAGGGGAGAAAAGAATTACCCGTCGTTGGCACCACTGGCAAAGGCATCACTGGTGCTTGTTAGACAGAAATTGAGGGAGGGATACGGTACTCACCCGGCTGCACTGTCGTTGTACTGATTGCTATCAGTGGCATAGTCATTTGCATTGGATACATATCCGGCAGAGTGGTCATTCCAGCCACCATTATTTCCTCCCCAGTGGTTGTCGACCTCGGTAGGGCCCTCGTTCCGGCCTGACATTTTGAAGATGCCTTTGCGCGTGGGAAGTTGAGCAGGTAACGATAGTCGAGTCTTTTCGTTACAGATGAGGTGCTCTTTTTTGAAGAGGGAGTAGGTGCGATGTTCAAGGAGGAGGAATCCGGTGATCTGAAGGCAACTTTCTATTGTTGTGATCAAACGGAGCTGCCAGCTGCTGCCAGCTGCCAGCAGGCAGATGAAGCTGCCGGGCCGGCAGGCTGCAACTGTGTTTGCTGTTTGCCTTCCATGATTGAGCTTCAAAGTGAAGAGTGCTTGTTGAAGGCTGCTTAATATGCCGCCTATCACCTATTGGAGACGCATGTCACTGACGGTGCGGAAGTGACGCGGAGTTTAAAATGCTTCAGTTGAGCTATCTCGACTCTGCAGACGGTTATGCAAATGGCTGCCCGGCGACATGGGCAAGTTTAGAACCACCAAATCGAGAAAACCCCAAGCAATGAATCATACGCAATTCGTTAAAAATCAACAATTACATTTTGTAAATCTGAATTCTTATCCTCGTCGTGGGCTAGCTTACTAGCATTGTATTTTTCGAGGCGTTCCATCTCTAGGGTAGGTTAGTAGCATAGGGGGGGCCAAGCAGCACACGACTCGCCGCACGACGCGCTGCATGTCCGCAGTGCCTCCACTGCTAGTGAAAAACTCAGGCCATGGATAAAAAGAAAAAAGAAAAAAACAATGCTCGCAAAGCCCAACTTTCGATGAGCCCAGAAGCGACACGGCGTCCCCCGTGCAATTACTCGTGTCTTGGTAATACTCTCGCTGGTATAGGTCAGCTGGGCAAAGAAGCTGTGCCGGGCCGCTTTCGGAGGGCGGCTCGCAAAGAGCCGCCGCCGTTGAGGGGTCCGGAATTTGCCTTGGCCAAAAAAATTCTCCCCCATAATTTGATAGATTAGCTTTGGTACCCAGGCATGTGAGGGCCGCAAATCTGCACTGTGCAGTTCCATGTCAGACGCCCGCCCCGCATACAGTGCCCGGAAAAAACTGCACACCCCGCCATCCCACCCTGGTGACTGGCTGGTTCTGGCCCTTTATCTCAGGGCCGGCGTACGATTTTCTTTCGTTAGCCTTACAAATACACAACTCGAGAGGGGACGCCCGGACTTTGCCGTATCATCTCCCCCTTGCCCTCTCCTATTTAAGAAGAATTCATCCGCCTCCCAAGCCAGAGCCCATTGTTTTACCCCCTACTCTTCAAGCAGGGCTCTCGATTCCTACCGCTCCATCTCGCACAGTGCCGACGTCACAATGGCTCCCTTGATCGCCACCATCGACCTCAACGACGATGCCGTCTTCAGCGTCCCGAGCAAGGCCGCACACAAGGCCTCACCGGTCGGCAGCCAGCGCGCCCTGCTCCTCGCCCCGCCGTCCCTCGCTTCCCACGCCGACGCCCTCGCCGCCGTGCTCACGCAATACGACCGCACCATCACCGACCTGCAGATGCTCGACCGCCTCGCCGCCGGGCTCGTCCAGCTGCCCGCCGCGCGCTACGACCTGATCCTCATCCTTTCCGACGCTGCCGCCACGCTCGCCGAGGCCCTCACGCTGCTCGACCGCGCCGTCGTGGGTGCCGTCACCGAGGCGCTCAAGCCCGGCGGCCAGCTGCGTGCCGAGAAGGCGACCGAGAACATCGAGGCTACGCCGCTGGCCAAGGAGGCCGTCCTTGCCGGGCTGGTCGGCAGCGGCGCCGGAGGCTTCTCCAAGCCCGACTACGGTGATAATGACGGCGTCGTGTCGCTCAAGCTAGGCTTGCGCAAGAAGACGACTAACGCGGCGGCTCCCCCGGCTCCGGTCCCGGCGCCCGCCGTCGGCAGCACGGTTCTCCTCAACGGCCACGCTAGCAACGGCACCGCTAAGCCTGCGGTCCCTGCCGGTGTCGGCTTCGACTTTGGCGATGACCTCGACGACGACGACATCATCGACGAGGAGACCCTCATGACTGAGGAGGACCTTAAGCGCCCCATCAACATCCGTACGTCATCCTGGATCATGACAAGCCCCCCCCTTGTCCCCTCCCCACTATTTTTACTGACAGTATTTTCAACACAACAGCCATCGAGTGTCAGCCCAAGCCCGGTAAGCGTCGTCGCGCGTGCAAGGACTGCTCGTGTGGGCTCGCCGAGCGTCTCGCCGCCGAGGACGCCGCCCAGCGCGTCGAGGCCGAGAAGACGCTGGCCAGCTTCAAGCTAGACGCCGACGACCTGGCCGAGGTCGACTTCACCGTCCAGGGCAAGGTCGGCTCGTGTGGCAACTGCGCTCTCGGCGACGCCTTCCGCTGCGACGGATGTCCGTACATCGGCCTGCCGCCGTTCAAGCCCGGCGAGGAGGTGCGTCTGCTGAACAACGATGTGCAGTTGTAGGCAATGAGGGCGAGTACGAGGTCGATGGATTGACAAACATTTTTACCGGCGTTTGGTGTGGTTCGCTACTTGCGACTGGCGGCGTTCTTTGCATTGATGATGATGATGCTACTACTACATTGGGCTTTTTGGGTCAAGGTTTAAACGGGCTTCTCGTGACTGATGAGAACAGGATTTGGGAGCGACATAAAATGGGCTTTTTGAGATACACACACACGAGGGATGTTGTTGATATGTCCCCATACCAGATGGGCGTTGCATGGCGAAATGGGTGATAGATTATAAACGTGCGAAGCTATTCATAAACGTGCAAAGTGTCTTATTATTTATACACGTGATGCAATATTTGAACATTTGTAACCAAAGAGTGTAATGTGTTGACCCCATCCCCGTGACCTGCGAGGCGCACTTAAATAAACAAGTATAAACATCTCCCAAGATGAATGTGTATTGTTCACGTCTCATCATGCGGCCTGCTTGCCTGCTTACCCTTTGACGGACTCGCCGCCCCCTCGTCGTCGCTGTCGTCACCTACCGAGTACTTGTCCGCGGGCAGGATGTTGCTCTGCAGGGCGATGCCCTCCTCCTGCGCCTCGATGTCGCCCGCATCGGCATGGCGGCGGCGCGCCGAGGCCATCGGCTCCTCGGAGCGGAGAGCGCTGTACGCGGCGCCCTTGCGCCGCTGGCGCCAGACGAAGAAGACGAAGCCGAGGGCGCCGAGGACGACGAAGACGAGGACGACCTCGCCGGAGCGCCGGTAGGCGGCCCACTTGGCCTCCTTGAGCTTCTGTTTGACGGCCTCCTCGCTGGCCTTGGGGTTGGCGGAGCCGCCGACGGTGGTCTCAAGGCCCTTCTCGCCGTCGATGCGGCTGTCAGCGGGGGAGCCGCCGATGCTGCGGATGTCGACGCCCATGAAGCGGTCGACCATGTCGCGCGAGCGCCGCGGGTAGTCAAAGGGCACCATGTGCGAGGCCTCGCGGAACACGACGTAGGTGAGGTTGCGCGCGCTCTGCCAGAAGCCGGCGTCCTTGCCCTCAAATGTCCAGTTGCGCCGCGGCGCCCAGTTGCCGGGCGTCACCTCGAAGCCCTTGCCGCCGTTCCATTCCAGCTTGTCAATCATGTCCTCTGTGCCGATGTGGTTGCAGATGAGGTCCTCGGCACCGGAGAAGATCAGCACCGGGATCTCGGACAGGAGCTGCGGCATGAGTTCGACCGAGGGCTTCGAGGTCTTGGGCTTGAAGGCCACGCTGACACCGCCGTTACACTCTTGCCACCCGGTCTTCTTCTCGGGGTTGATGTTCAGCGCATGGACGACGTCGTCGCGCCGGAGGTAGGGGGCCACGGAGGCTAGGTCCGGAGGCCAGTTCATGCCGCAGCTGGGGTACGAGTCCTTCAGACGGACGTCGTACATGTTGAAACATTCCCCGTCGTTGCCGCCGCCGCCCTTTCGGGATGCGAAAAGAATCTCCGTGAGGATGTCTTCGCAGTCGCTGTAGGTTACCTTGCCAGGGTCGCTCGCCATCATTGTATGACAGTTACGTTGCGCGCCCTTGAGTTTCTCGGCCTCGCTCGAGTCTTTGTCGATCAACCCCTTCTCGAAAGCGAATTTTAGATACGAGTCATACTGCTCGTTGGGAGACATCCATGGGTTCCCGAGCAGAATGCCCTGCAGACTCCATTTATCAGGTCTCTCCTTGTTTCGGTCGAGAATGGCGCGAGAAATGTAGGGGATATACTGTCCGGCATAGGACTCTCCGGCGATGTAGATCTAAATCTTGTTAGCTCGCTACAATCCCAACATGTATGAAGCACCTACGTCATCGCGAGAATACTCGGGAAAGATGGCAAAGAACTTTTCTAGAAAGACGACAAACTGTCTTGCCATCTCGGTGAGCTCGTGCACGTAACTGTCGGTGTTGGCATAGCTGAATCCTGTCCCGACAGGGTTGTCGACAAATAGTAGATTGGCGAATTCGTTCCACGATCCATTGTTCGGAACAAGCGTATTCGTGTCCTTGAGACGGTACGGCCCGATTTCCATCATCGCACCATCCTCAGAGCTGCAGCCCGGCCCACCATTGACCCAGATTATCGTTCTTTGTTTATTCGCAATGTGCTTGTTCTGGAAATGCCAGAAGAAGAGGTTGCCGTTGGACTCGGGGGTGATTTCGATATGTCTGCGATGGAAGCTTGCGTCAGCGCGTGTTTCGGGTTGGGTTTGGGCGGCAGCGGCGCGCAACTTACCCTGCGTGCATTTTGACCGGCGCCTGGTCCTCGGGGACACCGGGAAGATTGCGAACAAAGTACTCAGCAGCCGACTTGTCCGCTAGGGACGCCAGCGGCGAGAGGGCCAGGACCGCAGCGACCAGCCATCGTCGGGGCCCCGGGATGGAAGCCATCGAAGCCATCGAAGCCATCGCCCAGGTGGCGTTTGCAACGGCGTCGGTGCAAAGCTATATATATTAATCGATGAACACGGTCGCGTACGATTGGTTGTGATATTGGGCTATTTTGGTTGTCCGGATTGTCGTGTGATGATGTTGGTGTCAGAGCATGGAGCTGAACCCGACCAAAGAGGCGAGGTGGCATTGTTCATTGAGCCCCGTTTTGGGTAGGCGGCCAAGGCGCGGAGCCGCATATTCGTAACGCGACGACCGGAGCACTCGCTTTTAGGAGAGTACTTGATCAGTAGGGGCATTTGGATTTCGATGACTGAATCTCAAGAAAATGGCAAATAAATTTTCATAGTTCTGCTGTGTTTTACTTGTACGAAAAGTGGTCACACGTCACGGACACTGCCTCTCTTGCAGTGACATTTGCCATGAAGATGGATCGATGCGGGCGGGCTCCACCAGCTCGGGGCCTCTTTTTAGTGGCTGAGATTTGCGTCGATTTTCGTTCGATTTTCGTTTGCTCTCATCGCCATCGCCAATCTGAGACTTCAAAGTATGACTATACCAAGAGCTATTTATTGCCGAAGCTAATACTTTATGCAGGAACGTATCAAGCTCATACAGACGAGATGGCATCCACCGCGAAGACAATCATCGTCGAGCATCTTGACCCAGAGCTCGGTCCTTGGTCGGAGCTCGAGTACAAGTGCATCGCCAAGGAGAGCCATGAGAGAAGCAGCGAGTTTATTCTGTCTTGCCTGCCCGACGGATTCAAGGTTCCAGAAGACCTGGCCAGCAGCCCTGCATTCAAGGCCGAGCATCGCGGTGTAGAGGAGCTATATGCGGACAGCCGAAACCGAGTCTGCCTGCTGGATCCCGCGGCCGCAAAGGACTTGTCTCCTGAAGACGGTGACAACTTTGACGTGTTCTTGTTTGGTGGGATTTTGGGTGAGATTTCATGCCCCTAATTCGCGCGCGTTCTTGTACCCGCTAACATGCCATAGGCGACGATCCCCCAAGAGGTTTGTCATGTTTGGCCTCTTCAAGCTTATATCCGTATTGACAAAGTTAGATCGCACTTCGGAGCTCAGAAAGAAGGGCTTCGAAGGACGCCGTCTAGGCCCCAAGCAAATGACCACGGATACTGCCGTTCGCGTGACGAGGATTGTGGTTCAGGACAAGAGTAGGCAACCCTCAATGCCAGCCTGTGCCGCGTTGGCTAACAATCTCAGTCGCCCTCGACAAGATTGAGTACCTCGACTTCCCCGAGCTCAAATTCAACAAGTACGAAAGCACAGAGATGCCTTTTCGCTATGTCAAGGGCTCAGATGGAGAGCCCATCATGCCAGAGGTAAGAGCCAGCCTCGGCCTTCGTTCGGTTGTCGCTGCTAACACAGCCGCAGGGCATGAAGGAGCTGATACGAAGAGATGCCGATAAGGCGGTTGATGATTTGATTTGATTCTCTACCCCAACAAATCAATGTAGTACAAATTGCTACCCCCAATGCGTCAGGTGAACTGCGACCGCGCGTTACACTGGGCACATTGCGCCTGCCGGCAGTTGACACAATATACGCAACTCGCCTCTAGAAACATTCATGCCGTCCGTGAAACTACTTACCGATACCGATAATCTGCTGAACCTCATCTATTCTTGGCGCGCCCGGACCCGAGGGAGCGAGGTCGCGGCATCCTGCCTCGGGTAGTGACCCATCCGATGACAGTCCAATCAGTGCCGCAAGATTGACAACTGCCCGATAAACACGGCCCAGGTTTTGTGTGCATCCCCCGGCGCGTTTAATGAGCTGATTCTGACCGGTGTGCCTCCTTCGAAACGAGCCCAAGACCGGGTGAATCGTCGGATGCGGTGCGTTCCACCTCGAAGTTGCGCAGTGAATCTGGGCGGTGCACTGCGTTTTGAGTGCATCTGATGTCGGGAGATCTTCCCTCCGTGTCAGATACGGGTTTGCGGGAGGCACGCACCCGAAGAGCCGTCTCAGCGCAAAGAGCTTGGCTGGTTGGTGGTGTGCGGTGGCCTCCGTTTGCTTTTGTTTTCTTTGTTGTCGACTTGCATTGCAGCCCTTTTGACGGTCCGCAGCCTCATGCGAGGAGGGGGAGGAGGGTGGTGTTTGCACGCCCACTTCCAAGTCTGTTTAACTGACCGGTATCAGAAAGGGATCGCTGCATAATAGCATTGTTTCGATGAGCGGTTTTGGCGAGGAGTTTTGACGAGTGCTGGGCAGACATGCGTCGGAGCTGCTCATCCGTCTTGTTGATGAGACGACAGCAACCGGATCGCTATCACCCTGTTTCGTAAACATGCCAGCTCTAAAAATAAATAAAACAATAAAATGTAAAACAGAATGCCGGATGCATATTCAGTAAACAAAAATAAAATAAAACTGTCGTTCATACAGGCAAAAAAATGGATGTTCCTGCGGGGGGTCGAACCCCGGACCTTGACATTTCACCATAGAGCCAAAAGAAGTTCCTTGATCTATAAGAGTCACGCGGTAACCACTCCGCTACAGGAACTACCCAAACAAAAGTTGTCTTAATTGGGTCTAAAAAGGCTTGACAGGATGCCCCACCTGAGCTACCAACGTAAACGCCCCAAGCGCCTATGAATTACTCTTTTTTTCGTAGTTACAGTGCTCGGGCGACAAGGGATAACGCTAAGAATCGAGCTGTCCCATGAGCGAGCGAGCTACATTACTCGATTAGTTTCTACCCGCCCGGATGCTGCGAGATCCGCACCCCAAGTCGATATTCATTGTTTCCCTAGTTTGCAACGAGTCAAGATGCCCCGATTCATGCGTGGGTAGCGCAAGACGAAGTCCTCCTTCCATCGACCACGGGGGAGGAGGGCACATGGCACATGGCACTTCCCAGAGTCCCCGGAACGGCACAATGATGGGTTCCGCATTGATTCTGTCATCATTACCAGTGGAACCGGGTCGTTGTTTCTTTCGGGGCCGCCGGAATTAAAGCTGGATAAATGGTTTTTCTTTGGTTGCCCGGGATATCCCTATCACCGAAATCACACAACCTACGCTGTGACGTTTCATCCGCGGTTCGTCTGAGCAGGGAACGCCCTAGGTTGGTCTTGAGACGAGGAAAGAAACGAAAGAAGGAGGCATCAATAAAAAGGCTATACTGAACAGCCGATTTTGGCTCATGTGAGCTTTGCCTACGAGTTAGGTCGGCGATATCCAAGCGTGGCTGAAAGCCAACTGGAGCCATCGTCGGAGTTCCATTCGTTGGCCTGGTGTATTGGCCGATTGCCACGCGGACAAGGCAAGGCTGGTCAAAAGATTGAATGAACGCTGTAGGTTGAACCTTAAAATGGGACCAGCATCGCAATGACTTATTTTGGGAAGTCTTCTTTTGATACCGGGGGGTGTTTCACGAGGCCTTCTCTCGGTGTCAAGGCGGCAAGCGCCCAAGCCAAATCACGAGTTGAAACGTTGGCGGGGAAGAACAAAACACGGGCAACTGTTTGGGGCTTTTCTGTCAACTTGATGGTTATTGCAATTTGGTTTTTCTCTCTTCCCTTTCGACATTTGAGTTCAAGACAAATGAGCAGGGCGAGCTCCAGTTAGCTAGACTGAAAGGCGTCATCAGCTTAAGAATTCCTAGTTGTAGTGACAGTTGACAGCAGGCTAAAGGCCCCATGCCCCCAGTGCAGCCTTGCGAAGTGGTCTCATTTTCCTCTGGCGTGCGGCTGGGCGCGAGTCATGGGCGTGTTTCATTGCCTGGGGGCTGGAATTTTTAGCGGCACGCACCCTGTGACGGGGCCGGGTGCTTTATTACACGTCTGTTTTCAGTATCCCGTAATATGATCGTCTTCGTCTGTTCACATGAAATGGGCGGGCTGTGGAGTCTTGCCGCCTATAACCCGGCGAAGGGATAACGGATATTACCAGATCGCCTATGGCTATTTTGATGTATTATAATCCAGGATCCAGGACTGGCCTCTCCAAGGATCATGTCATCACGCTCCCTGTTCTCTGTTTTAACTTGCACATTTGTGTATACGGGAATTCGTCTCTCCGGTTTACGGGTGAGATTGTCACGATTCTGCACTGCCGAGAACAGAGTTGTCGGCTACGCCATTACCCCGCGGGGTCGAGGAGCAAGGGTTGTTGGCAAGGTTGCAGGTGCTGCGAACCTCGGAGCAGGAGAGTCGCAGAAGCTGGCACACGTGTATTGCACATATGATACACCGAAAGCGGCGCAAGGCAGGCGGCGGCGAGGCGTTGGAAGCACCCCCTCAAGTCGTGTGAGCAAACGTTTTAAACAGGACAATCGCGATTGGGCTTCTAAAAAAAGAGATGCACTGGCGCGCCGTTTTGCCAATCCAGGTTGTTGCGAGAAGCAGGGAAATTAGAGGGGCACGTCAAAGCAACGCACGGGAGGGATCGAGCGAACAACCACATGCAATAACCAGGAGCGACTTCAGATTGAGTCTTGGCAGGGAGCAAGTCGGGAGGCATTGACGATGAGGGGATCGAATGTGAGCGTTCGCTTGTGCCGAGGTGTGATGGCTGAACCCCCTCTTTTTGCCAGTCTTGATTACAACGGCGAAAGCAAGGATGAATAGCCGAGAAGGGGACCCGAAGCCTAGCACTCGGACGCTAAGAAGCAAGACATACAGCCGCCTTTTTGCCCGTTTAGGCCTCGTCTGATGGCCAGCAAATTGGTTCGAAGCCCAAGAGGCTGGTCGGGCCAGGCGGACAGGGAAGGTACACGCAGGACCTTCAGCGGGCGGCCAGTGGAGATGGGTCATCATCCATCATCCATCATCCATCTATCTGGGCCGAGGCCCACAGAGAAGACAATTGACTTTCCCGCTGAATAAGAACTTGGACGAGGTTTCGAAGAGAAAGCGGGCTAAGCAAACAGGACATGTTCGGGGAACTGTGTCGAGTCACGTCGGAGAAGAAGAACCGGCAGCGTGGTGAACGGCCAAGAAGGACCAGACTTGAGATGAAACCTGGGCGAAGGCACTCTGGCACCCTATCCTGTCAAACAGTGCAGGACAGGGATGGCATCTCGAGTTTGTCGAACTAGCTGATAGGATCTCCGCCCAAAACCAGGCCCGGGCGACATGCTATCCCCCACTTGGGGAGCCAGGTCGATTCCCTGTCGTTGAGCGTTGGATTCCCACACCACCTTTTTCTCTTGACGATAGCGAACAGGGTCGTCCGTCGTCGTCTACGGATACAGATGTAAGACACGCAGCCATCAGCAGCAACCTAAACAATGGGCTGGGCTATTTCGCCAGGCACATGGGTGCTGCTCATTAGTCTGATTTACCTGGAGACCCGGAACGAACAGCATGCGCGCCCTCGGCTCGACCGTTTTCGTCTGTTTGGATGAACAAGGGTATCGGGAAAATGAGGCCCAGTTGTTGTGACCTCTCTTCTGTATGGTGTACGTATTCTGCCTCTAGTCAAGTTACCCTGGGGCAAGGAGCAACTGCCGATGGACGGGTTGTGTGATTCCGAGTGCGGCCGGGTGCCAGAAAAAAAATCGTCATGTTTTGGAGGGGAAGATGGTCAGGCGGGAATGAGACGTTGAAATGAGCAAAAAAAAGGAGGCAACGCTAAGAGAAGGAGAAGAAGGAGAAGAAAAAAAGCTCGGCTCCGGAGCCAGCTCCAGGGCCGGGTTGTGGGCGAGCGCAAAGGGAAGTTGATCGCTGGATGATTTTTATTGAATTGTGACAGATGGAAGAGGAGGAGAGGAGGAGAGGGCTGAGAAGTAAGGGTGCTTGCTGATAGCGGGCGGGTCGCCAAGGGATGGCGGGTTCGATGATTAAAGCACAATGCAGTGCAGCATGGTCGCATAACGGTGCATTGAAGTCGCGATGGTCAAAGAAAAACTCGACGCAATATACAGATAGTCAAGCATACCATACCGAGAGGCATTGAATGGCGTGGCTACAGGTACTGTAGGTACTGTACGTATTGTACGTATTGTACGTATTGTACCAGTATCTTGGTTGCTGTCGATTCGGTTATATGCCAGGGACGAGTACCGGAAACGGAGCCACTTTCGTTCCGGCTCGCCGCTCCAAACTTGCGGTGGCCGGCTCCGAAGTCAAGCTTGCCAAGCCCATCCATCCATCCAACTCTGACACCCGCAGCAGGTCAGCAGCATGGGGCCACCCAACGCAGGCAGCCGCTAAAATATATCTCTCGGAAAGCCAGTACCGCTACAATCGTTGTGGATGATGATGACTCGTTGGCTAACGGGCGGTGTCGATCGGGAAGCGTGGAGGTGGCAAATGGCAAACAGGGGGAGGGGGTCAAGTTGCGGCAGGGTCAGAGCAGGCGGCGTACAGGACAAAGATGTCTGGACTAAAATCTCTTCTCTTTGCAGCACGGCTACCCGTTAATCGAAAGAAAGGAAAGAAAAAGGAAGGAAAAAACGCCCAGGCCACCCTTCTGCGGCGGCAAGCTCCCGCCGCCGGCCGCCATCACCACCACCACAGCTGGGGGGCGTGGATGCATGGATAACTAGATGAGTGGTGATCCGGACTTGGTGCTTTCCCGCCAACCCGGGCCCTCAATTTCCGCCCCAGCCCATATCGAACCAGCAAGAGACCGGACGCAGAGGGGACGAGCGGGCTGGCTGGCTGGCCCCCGCCGGAGCGCTTCGCCAGGCTCCCTTTATTGGAATATCCTGGATTTGCGTGCCTCGCCTGCCTTCCTCCCCCCGGCCTCGACCTGAGAGTGACGTTGGGGCTCGAGCCGCCAGCTAGACTCGTCCCAGGAAGGCGCCATGGAGCTCCCAAGAAACTCTATTTCGGCCCATCTGACTTCTGCTCATCCTCCAAGAGCAACGCCGCGACACGCCACAGACGGATTTATCACACACCTCGAACTCGAGAGACGCCCCCCATTTTTTTCCACTCTGTGTTCGCCCCCAATGGATTCTCTCGTACCGGCCGTACTGTGACGATGGCGGTCCGGGGCCCTGCAGTCGAGGTCTTGGACGCAACACTTTCATCATCCGTTTTTTGGTCCCGGCTCGACCTTCACGTCCCGGGAAGCTCGAATCGGCCATCTCACGTAGCCTTGCTGGTCCTTTCGGCCCACTGAAATGCCCGTCACCTGTTTCCTCCGCGATGCGATTACCTTCTATTGCCCACGGCCCTCATCTCCCTCTCTCCACTCGCAATCCTGAGTGTGCACCCATCGACGTCGACTTTGGCGCTGTTTGCTCGCCGATGCTCTCTCGCCGTGGTGCCGAGGCTCCTTCTCATCATCCAGGGTAATCTATGAAACGCCAGTTCGACACGCCAACAAAACATTTTACGACAGGTTCACAGAAGTGGTACGTTTGTGGCTTGCTAAGCGCAACTAAAGCAAATCAATTAGGCCAACTAGAACAACTAGGGGAAACAGGATTCCCCCAAATCCATCCACTCGCTACCATGCGAATGGTGTTATTCTTGCTGCCACGCGAAGAGCTATCATTTGTTGGGACCAAGTGGGCTGAACTACTCACGCTGCAGTTCACTAGATCAAACTCAACTTTAATCAAGGGTCAACACGTTGGTTCCATTCTTGGGTGTTCTCAAACACCTGAGCTTGTTGGTGCTGCATTGGAGCTGCAGTCATGGTTTAAACTTCGACTGTGAGTATGTGGCGGAGATTACCATACGGCGGCTGGCATGCTCGCGTGGGAGCTGCATGTAGCCGAGCAGGGCGCCGCCAGTATATTCTCGGTCTGCAGGTATACGTCGTACCGAGTTGTACGGAGGCGTGCAAGCAAGCGTCTTTGCTGCTTATTGCTCTTTGGAAGAAAGAGAGCGTTGACTGGATCGGATATCAAATCAAGAAAGCACGCCAGACGCCCCGCCGAGTTGCTTGAAACTGGACAACTGCAGCTCTGCCTGCGCTAGTCTCGATTCACATGCTGCCATCAGCAACATTCGACGAGACCGGAGCTGCTCCCCCTTGCTAGCGGTGTTGCTGCCGGCCGCAGTTCGGCGACCAACTTACAGATAGATGCCCGGTCACAACTGCTTCTTGTCTTGGTCTTGGTCGAGACGGATAACTAACACACAGGCCACTTGCCGTGGGTAAGGGTGTCGGGGGAGGGGCAGCCAAGGCCCTTGGGCTCACACTTATTCGCACCTCTTCGAACTTTGACAATCCTTTAGCACCGGCCAGTCCCACAACGCACCTGTGGTTCCTGGTCCCACACATTTCCGACTGGGAAACTCTCTCATCAACTTAACTCAACGTTCTTCGTCTCCCTTGCCAGCCGCATGGTGCCATCCAGTACCCTAGGCCGGCCAGCTTGCTGTGGCAACCTATCAAGGCCGCTTGGCCCAAGTCCTTCCCGCCCCTCGACGACCACCCACGTCCCATCTGTGCAATATTGCCAGTTCCCGGTGGAGTCCGCTTGTGAGATTGACCGGACTGCTTGCACCAGGCCATGCCGTACGTATAGTTTTCGGGGAGTACGATGGATGGGTGAGAAATCACTGGACACTGCACGCTGCATGCTGCACTGCACACAGAGTTCATCTCGCCTCCCTTTGGCTCCGCCTTCGATACCCAGCGTCCCCGTTGTGGCTCGTGGCAATAATGCCATTTCCTCTACTCAATCTACACCCCTTTCAAGCGCCATATGTCCCCAGTGAGTGTGTAAGACGTTTCTCTGGGACGGAGCGTTTCTTGATCTGTACGTTCATGATTCGCTTGCCTGCATCATCCCGGCTGCGCTCCTTTGCAGTTCTAACAAGGAGCCAGCTCCCTTCGTCGCATAATGTTGCAGGAGACTATGGAAAATATTCCCCAGGACGTGTGTCCGTGCTCCTTCACAAATCACACCAAAATCACACCAAAACCCCAAGACAACCATCAAGACACAACGATCCACACTACTGATGCTGTACTGGGATGTACCCTGTTCCCGGAACTGCCGACTACCGCGAGTCATCGCGAAGGAGCCCCGCTGCATGCTTGCGATGTGGCAGACCAGCTGGCCTGGCACAGCAGCAACACACACTCTCGTCGCCTTGGCTGTCGCATCCTACCTTGTGGTCATTGTAGCTGGGGGTGGGAAACTAGCGCTGTCAAAGTGTCTCCCGCTCTGGTCATTATTGCCTTCCGCCATGCATCCACCCTCCCGCGGCGGTACTCGTTGATCGAACTATCTTGTTGGCATTACTCCCAGTACGGATACCTACGCACAGTGCCCCCCCCCCCCTGCTTACCAAGAGCCATCTCACTCTCGCAAGCCATGCAACTCACCGCCGTCCTTGCAATCTACGTCGAGAACCGAGCCTGGCCCACTCCCGTTGTGTTTCTCTGGCCGATACTCCACGAAGTTCACTATCGAAACCTCATCATTCCACTGACTCTTATGCGAGGCTGACCCAAGGTTCTACCACTCTCCTTGCCAAACAAGGATATACTCTGCACCATTCCTCAGCCTCCCTCTTCGACGTCGTTTTTGTTTTGTTCTCGGACACTCCTTTCATACTTCATACTTCTTCACTCCTTTACCCACGGACGTCTGTCTTCCAAGTATTGTTCTGTTGCATCTCGACGCGACCAGTCTTGTCTCAGGGTGCCTGATACGCCAACCCTCCCCCCTCTCCCCATACCATATCTTGCTTCGGATATTGTCGATAAAAATAGCCTACACGGGGCCTCTATTATTCCCTTCTTCCACTCCTCCCACTTCATCTACATACCCTTGTCACGCATAGCCACTTTCTACTGTTTCAAGACCTTGGTGGCCCAAGCTGTGGAGAGGCCTGGCCGTCTTGTTTCGCTCGGTCCTGCAAAGAACTGGGCCCTCAGAGAAAATAATAATACACGTGTAGGGCAGCAGAAACCTTTTACGCCCTTGTCGTCCCAGACGTTCAAGTGCATAAGCGGTCGGATTGTTTCGATCTCTTCTGGGACCATTAAGCAGTCAGTGCGTGAGATCTCCTGGGCACACGTCGATCGCATCAAATACGTCGGATGGCCCGTTTCTGACCTGATCAGTTCCCTGGTCCATCTTGGTTTCTTTGAGGTATTGGCTTTTTGCATGCTGGTTAACTTGAGTTCACTATCAGCCTGGTGGATTATCAAAGTCAGCTTCTGCCTCCGACCCTCTTCTCTCTTCCCTTTTAATCCTTTTGTTCTTGTTCCCACGACTCTCCTGCTCGGCTCAGTGAGTCTTGCACAGCTTGAGGCTTGACAGTTCATTACTCGGATACCACGGAGAATCAATATTGTGCCGAATCTTCCTTGGATCTTGCATCGACTCGTCTGAAAACTTCCACCACAACTCGACCCAGCGTCACCATGGACGTGACTTCACTTCTCAACACAGCCGGATCCGGCACCTCGTTGAAACCACCACGAGCATCCGCATCGCCCTCCATTACTGAAAGTGGACATACAGTACCTTCTTCAGCGCTGCCTACACCATCGCCAGAGCGAACACTAGGACCTGCAGAATACGACGGAAGCCCTCGCCAAAACTCCTCGCTCTGGGCAACGCGGGGATACTCGTTACAACTGGCTCTCGACTCAAAACCACGAGCAAGCTCGGTCTTTTCTTTCCAGGCTGATGGTCGCGCCGAGACGGAGAGCGACGATGGTCACTACAGCAGCTCGAGAAATGACTCGGTCTGTTCTGCAGTTGTCTCCGCCTCGTCCCATTCCCCCCGCAACAGTCATGCGCGCGCTTTATTGTACGTACGAAAAGACTCATCGACTGCGTGGATTCTAATGTGAAATAGATCACCTCGATGCAAACCCGCTCTGTCCAACAAGGCAAAGAAGTGAGTATTTGTTATGCCTTGACGGTGGCATTGGCTGACAATGTAGATCAATCATCTCCCCAGAGCAGAGCGATGGAGAGCACGGCGGGACGGAATCAAAGAACTCGTGCCTAGGCAGTCACAACAATCAGTGCACCAGTGCTTTCTCAGCCTCAACACCACAGTCTCGAGTATCGTCATTTACAGCCATTAGCGCTTTGCAATCCGGAAAGGAGGCGACATTGCATGGCCGTGGGACTTCGCTGGATCGCATGGCAAGTCAAAGGGGCCCTGAGGCGGACGTCGAATCGTAAGTATTTCCTCCAAGCACTATGGCATCGATAAGAAAGTGAAGGCAACCATGGCGAAATCTGGTAGTCGAGCCGCAGGTTGCCACCGGCAAGCGAAGGCATAATCCAACAGCGACAAGTGCTGCTGATGGATTGCCAAGCCGGCATTACTACCCCGAGGTTTCAACTGCTTGTTTCAACGAGCATTCAAGGATCTTTTCTAATGTGAAGTAGGCGATCATTACATGCCAACGGCAACGTGGCTGGGAAAACGCACAAGCGAACCATGTCTGCGCCAGATATCGCTCAGTGCTCGGTCGCGAGAATGCCACGCCACGCCGCGCAGCCCATGATTTCCGAAAGTACATGCTCGCGACCCGGTGACGAGCAGCCGACCGAGGACTCACGTTGTAGCTCTGTGGTGATGGAAACCGGCGCTTCGATGAAGCAGGACCAGGAAGCCTACTGCATGTTTGTCAAGGACTGCGACACGGGCTCGCAGCTCCGCAAGGCCATCTCTCACCTCTTTGGACGCAACAAGGCGTGCACGCTACGCATCCCCAAGCATGTTTGGGTGTATTACTGCCGCAAGCACTACCAGCGGATCCGATACCGCAACGCGAAGACGTATCCCCTCAATCAGATGGAGCTCGTTAAGCTGCAGATTGTGCGTCTGCAAGCGTGGAGCGAGAAAAACAGGAATCAAAACAGCGGCGCCTACATCCGCATGTGGACCTTGTCTCTACGTAAGCGTGAGCAGAGTCGCATTGAAAACGGCGGCGGCGCCGAGGACCCTGTTGTCCACGACGCCCGCAGCAGCGCAGGTACCGCCGTGCCGGATTGGCTCATCCAGCGCGTCGCTTCCGGCTACACGACGGAGGCGATCCTCGAGGTGGCCGAGCGTCTGCACAAGGAAATTAAGGATGGCCACCTCGCTCAGGTGCCCGAGATTGAGTTCCTCCCGGATATTGTCGAGGCCGACTCCGGTGCCAGCTCAAAGTCCTCGCGTAACGGCCGTCGCCAGGGTCGCATGGCCAGCGGTGCCAGCAGTGCCAGCGGCATCAAGACGCCCAAGCGAAAGGCGCCCGAGTCGCTCGACTTTGGCCGACGCGAGTCGTCAGTCTACTCGGACGGCCGCGGCGGCGAGTACTACCCGCCACCCCCGGCACAACACAACCTCCACCATCACCATCACCACGGCCACTACCACCACCAAGCACCGGCAGGTGAGGAAAGCTACGACGTGGTCAGCCCCTCGGGCAAGCGCGCTCGGCTTGTTCGCGGCCCGGCGCCTGCCCCGTATGGACCCCTACGGCCCGACTCGGCGCAGCTGCCGCCGCTGGCGTCTGCCTTGTCGTACGGCGAGATGCAGCCTCCGCAGGCCGCCACCCGCGCGCCCAACGTGGTGGTGCCGAGGATCCAGCCGCCCGCGTATCGTCGCGGCAGCCACCACAGCTACGGAACGGCCTCGCCACCTGATGGCTACTATCCCGGCCAGTCCATCCCTGGCGGTCCGCCGCGCTGGGACAGCTACGAGTCATCGCCACACTCTGCGCGGAGCGACGGCGCCTACGCCCTTAGCAGCGGCGAGTTCCGTCACGGCGGACCGCCGCCACCTGCTCCGCACCAACCCCTGCCGCCGATCAGCGCCCAGCTCGAAGGCCGGTTCCCGCGCTCCCACGCCCAGCACGACCAGCATCGCGGTGGCAGGCCACACCACTGGCGGTCCGCAAGCGCGTACGTCCCTGGCGATCATAACCACCGCGGGGTGGCGCCGCCGATGCCTCCGGGGCGGCCGCTGAGCTCGGGCCACGAAGCCCCGCCGGTGCCTGGTTACGGCCGCGAGTATGAGCAGGTACCACCGCCGCCTCCGCATCACTACGGGTCGGAGCATGAGCAGTATAGCTATGCATGGCCGCGGGGGCACCATCAGCCGCCTCCTCCGCATGCACCTCGGCACGCCGGACCGCCGCCTGGGCACGTTGACGAAGCATGGAGCCGCGAGGGACGAGCTGTTTACGGGGGACGCCCATGATTTAATTTTCTTGTTTGATGCTTTGACGATTACACTGTGCTCGGTAAGAGCTTTATTGAGTCTCTTTGTTTCTCTTTTTTTTTTTCGTTCTGGGTGGGTACATTTAATCTGCATACGCGCCTCTCTTTTTTGTTTCTGGAGTTCTCTGGGTCTTTTCAAGCGGCTTACTTTTTACGGGAGGGCAACAAGGAAAAAAACGAAGTGTGTTATGACTATGTCAAAGATGACTTTTATGGTCATGGGTTGGTTGGCTGATGTTGGGTTTTTTGCACACGAGAACTTGCCGTTTCAGAGGCAAAAATTACTGGTCATAGATTCCTTCTTTTTTAGTACTTGTTCTATATTGTTGAGCATCTTAACAGATAATGTATAAGTAATAGACGACCACGGAAGTCAATTTTCATATTTCAACAACGAACGAACTGGACTTGTAGTTTCCTGGGCTCCGGATAGCCGCATCTATACATATCTGTGAGTGTGATTGTGTCCCACGCTCAAGGACGGTCCTCGACGCCCTGCAGCCCACGGAACATGACCGCGCCCCCGTTCCACGCGCTCAGCGGCCCCGTGTTGCCGTCCATGACCTTGACGAAACCGAGCTTCCTGTACAGTCCCTCCGTGCCCCTCCTCGCCGTCAGCCACACCGCCGGGCCTCCTTCCTCCGCGTCCTCCTGCTTCGCGCCGGCCTCCGTCTCCGCGGCGCCCGCGTCGTTGGAGCCCCAGGCCTTGCAGCGCGGGCCGCACGGCCACGACGGAGAGGTACCACGCCGCTCTTCGGCGCGGCGAGCAGCGCACGCGCGGCTCGATGCCGGCGAACGCGCGCGCAAACGCCTGCGTCCGCCGCAAATCGAGCACTCCGCCCCTACTCCTCAGCAACCAGGACAGGTGGTGCATCCCGGTGTACAGCGTGTGCAGCCACGTCCCTGCTCACCCACCCAACCAGTCAGCAAAAACAGTCCTCCCCGCCTCCACCCCACGTCGAGCGAAGCGAAGGGGAAAAAAAAAAAAAAGAGAGAAAGAGAGAAAGGAAACGTACGGGGGGAGAGCCAACGCTCGTAAAAAGTGACTTCGCAGTCCGGTCTCTTGATGCACACGAAGCCGACGATCTCTTCCTCGGCGGAGGCGTCGACGAGGGCGCTCAGGCAGTAATACAGGCTCCAGAGGCGCGGGGCGAGGATGTCGGCGAGGGTGGCCTGGACGGCGGCGGGGTGCGCGCGGTGGTCGTCCCCGAAGAGCACCTCGAGAAGGTTGTCCGCCGGCGCGCCGGGGCGGGAGTCGGCGAAGGCGGCGTAGTAGGCGGCGGCGAGGCCGGGGACGTCCGCGTGGACGGCCGGGCGGAGCGTGTAGGCGGTCTTGCCGGTGCGGGGAAGGATGGTGGTGGTGGGTATCGCGGCCATGATGGGCACGGGGACTTGTGCCGTCTTCTGGAGCGTAGATAGTTTTTGTAACCTAGAGGGAGGAGGAAGGGGGCAGAAGGTGATGAGTTGGTTCAAACGAGGTTATGTTGGTGAGGAAGGTGACTCAGACGGTAATTAATAAGGGCCGACAGCGCCGGGTTCTTTTGTTGTTTCTTTTTTGGGCAACCCCGATCTTAGTGTCGGCCAATTGCTTGATTAGGGTGCCAACGGATGGCGATGCGAGATTGATTAGCGCTGGCCATGTGGCTTGCATTGTCAGCCTGATTTGAGTGAGACATGGCGGCTGCGAGAAACGAACAGAGAAGGGATCGCTATTGTCTGCGAGGGGCTGTGAGCAAGGACATGCACGTCAGGCAGCAGGACATATCGGAGTCACAGTGGCACGTCATCATGTTCAATCTGATATGTGTTTCGATTTTGTGCAATCTGAGACAGTAGACTACTCAAATGGTGTTCAGAAATAAAAGAAAAACAGAAAACAATGAGACTCCTCGCGGAGACTGTGCAACCAATGCCTACTTCTCTAACTTTCCAAGAAAAAGGGGGGGAAATCATGCAGAGGTAAAAATGCAGCAAACAACCCGCCATGCACCTCACAAAGAGGTATCCAAAACGCCGATAAATATGAGGGAGAACAAGGAAATATTAGACAATAAGGAAAAGTGAAAATAATAACGTCCGGCTCCAGGATATCGCATACTTCATAACGCTGTTGAAATAGCCCAGGCAATGGTCATGGATCGGCCAATGCTCGCAGCAATGAGAATACAACACGAATACTGCTGGGACAGGTACGTCACAGAAGATCGTTGCTGCAGACAAGGAAATGTCATCAAAACATGTCAAACGTAACAATATAGCAGAGAAAGCAAAACACGACAATTTTTGAGGCAGATGGCGGCATCACATCTCAGGCCTTGTCACTGTCATAATCTGCAGCAGCAGCTCATGGTGTGTTACCCACGACGAGAATCAACAGCATGCCGTTGATCAAACACGACGCGGTAAAGGACAGCCACACGGCGAGGCGGGTCATGAGGGCGGGTGTCTCGCGCCGATACAGTGTCATGCCGAGACCAGCGCAGGAGCAAAACAGACTGACCATGACGCCGACGCTGACACCGACATCAACCTCGACGCGCAGCTTGCGCTTTCCGGTAGAAATGAGGATGGCGGCGACGCCCATGAGGATGTATGCGGCCGTAAAGGAGGCAATGGTGCCCCAGAAGAGCACCCGCTCGCGGTACTGACGGATCTGTTGCTCATTGATGCTGGGAAACGTGGCGTAGTGCATCGAGTAGCCCTCGGTGGGAATACCGTCAGAGCTAGAGTATCCGGCCTCCTCGTCCGAGTCGGCATGGCCGGCGGACGAGTAGCCGCCACCACAGGCGGACCGGTCGTCGCTGAGCAGCGGGTGGCGCTCCCGCTTGTCCCGGAGCTTGAACCAGGCTCGAATCTTTTCGTAGGGCATGGTGACAATGGCGTTAACATAGCCCATGCCGGGAAAGGTTGAGTCTTCGTCGGGGTTGATGTAGATGGCGTAGCCCTCGTCGCCGGCATCACTTCCATCATCATACTCGTTCCAGTACTTATGTTGCGGTGGCGCTGGGGCGGCGGCGGCGGGTGGTAGGGGATCGAAGCTGACGCGGGAGACCCGGGTGGCGGAGCTGACGGGCGAGGGTGGCAGTTCGACCGAGGATGGAGAGCTAGGTTCACTGAGGGCGGGAGCGGCATTGCGCAGGTCGGCGAGGATCTCGGAGTGGCGTTCGCGGAGGGGGGCAAAGTCGCGGCGGGTAAAGCTCTTGAGGCTGGAGAGGACCTGGTCATTGAAGCGGGCGTGGAGGGTAGTTGAACCGGTCCATTTCTTGTACTTTTTTAGTATCTTACGAAAGGCCGTGACCTGCGCCTTACAGAAGCGCTCGAGGGCGTAAATGTCGTCACCGCAGTGGAGGAGCCCGCGCTCGTACTTGGCGAGGCGTCGCTGGCGCTTCATGGCGAGGTTACGGCAGGGAGGTTCTTCGTCGTACTTTTGAATCCATCGGTGTGTGTTGGCTTGGAGGTGCTGCATGCGACGCAGAATCTCGTCGGCCTTGCTGGAGACGAAGAGGTCAACACGGTCGTGCTGGCGGCAGAGCTCAGCGAAGAGGGCATTTTCAAACTTGGCGAGGGCGGGATCCTCGTAGCCGGGAATGACCATGGCGGTTGCCTGGTCGCGGGTGGTGTGCATCTTGATTTCATGCTTGAGGGAGTTGTAATCGAGGTTATCTGAGTAGCGTTAGGGTCAAGTTTGTGGTTGCAAGGGTATGGGGCTAGATTCAACGTACGAAGACTCCATTGTGGTGCAGACTCGCGTTCGAGCTGCTCGCCGTACTTCATCACGGCGGCAGCAGCAAGAGATTGGGATAGGGAGTTGTGCTTGCGAGAGGGCCAATGGCTGGCAGAGGAGATGGATTCGGGACTGGTATCGGGTATCCGTACCTAGCCGGCGGACTGGGAGGGAGCCGATTGCAATGCAGGCTGGGTCGAATCCGTGGCAGTTGAATGGCGTTGCGGGCTTCCAATATGGCGACGTCACAAGTGGGCTGGCGGGCAGGGATGGTCGGCCAGGTTTAAAAAACAAGGGTGTTTGATGATGGGAGGAAAATGAGGATGAAACGGCGAGCAAGCAAGGCGAGATGATGACGATGATGCAAGAGTGCAGAGCAGCGCGATGCGGGGATAAAGTCAAATTATTCTGACTGTCGGTTGTGGCAACAAGTTGGCGAAGGTTAAAGCCAGTAGTCAGTGGTTGGCTTTGGCGTCCTTTGGTGATTGGTGGTTGGTGACGAGGGAAGGAGGCCTGAGAGGCGCTGCAAACGGTTGGAAACCGAGATTGGTGCGAGAGATGAGCCCGAGGCGACGGATGAATTATATGAGAGCACAAGTGACCAGTAATCTGGACAAAGGCTCGTGTCTGACAAGAGTGAGACAGAGGCAGAGACGAAGATTGTTGTTGTCGGCCGGAAGTGGAATGCACAAAGTTTAAAAGCGAGTTAGGTGACAATGAGGGAGAGATGAATTGGGCCGAGTCAAGAAGCGGTGGGAGAAAAACAGAAGTGGAATCGGCAATTGGGAGGAATTGTATGTATAGAGGGGAATGGAGAGGAAAAGATGAAGATGGAGAGGAAGAAGAAGAAGAGAGCAAACGAAGCTGTTGGGTAGGTACGTAGAATTTGATGTTTTCTCCAGGATAGCCTTATTAGTTAGCGCAGGTGGTACAGTTACTCCGTGCTGGTGGCTGTTCATGTCGCCTCGCCTCAGTGGCCCACTGGAGGAAGAAGAGGGGACCCTGGAGGGTGGTGTTATAGCGGGTTACAGGGGGAGCTATAGCGGAGGGAGGGGGTGTCTGGAGGTGTCTGGGTATGCTGGAGGTTGTGGAGGACACCACTTTGTACAATGAAAGAGGGGCGTGGAGAGGTGGTGTTGGGGATGTGTTTTTTATTTTTCTTCTTTGGAATTTATATGATATCTGTAAAGTGGCATCTTTTATTTCTACGTTTGCCAGTAACACAGCATGAAAGTGGCTGTCGTTGACAAGATGTCAAGGCCAAGGGCAAGAGGGGGCAGGACAGGCCAGCCGGGACAGCAGGCGTGTTTGATCATGATCAATGGCTGATCAGACACCAAAGCTCCGACAAAGTCGGTGGAGCTCGAGACTAGGATCACCCTGCGCCAAAAAGACTTAATCTTGACTTTACTTTACTAGGGTCGTATGATTTACGTATTCTGATTCGCCTTGTTATCTACCTACACTGAACTGGTGCATACCTAGTTACTCTACTTATCAGTTCTCCAACTCTCCCGTTGCAGCAAACACAATACCTACGCACGAATGCACTGATTTTGGGAAACAAAGGCGATGGTCGCGTCAATATATTGAATTATATTTCGTCTCGTAATACTGCTGCATCCTTGACGCCGTGTGGGGGGCGGACAAAGGGTCTGGACCTCTGTGACGGAGGCTGGACAGATGGGCGGACAGATGGGCGGCCTCGATGGATTGCAGCCGAGGCGGCGAAAGAAAAAAAAAAACTTGCAAGTGTCCAGGCTGCTGGATGGTGCTAGGGGTTGACTCGAGCCATTGGTGTGGCCTGTGGAGACTAGGTATCGGACCACTCAGAGTCGACGCATCAGGGTCGCTGTGCACACGTTACCGCCATTGGTTCTTTTTCACTAGTGCCTGTACCTGTACTACCACCCTATTGCTGCAGCTATTAAGTTAACCAGCGAGGACAGCAAGTCTGGGTGCATTTCCAGCTCATACGAATTACACTAATAGTTATACTTCGTAAGGTAGGGAGGGCATCATCATATAATGAACCATATAACTGTACTTACATAGTTGACCGAGGCCATTGTGAAAGCGGCATCAATACGCCGCATGGACTACCCGGGTACCATCCACACAGTCACCCTACTAATACAGACACCGCACGTCTTTATCAATTCATCGTTATCTAGACATTGAGAGTTTTCGGTGATTTCATCCAGTCATGCTCATGTGTCAATTCCATCTCTACAACGCTCGTTTATTATGTCGGTGCAATATATGCCCTTCCCCTCCCACCCCTCCCTCGTCCCGCACGGATATCTTCCGGAGTCGCCCCGACGAGAAAAATCCCGAAATCCACTCTCAACTGTTTCCTCTGTCTGTTCGTACATCTCGTACACTCCGTGGACCGTAGATGAGTAGTCATGAAGCGCTTCCATGGACAGCATGACGACGCCGACGACAACGCCCCGCCACCATGTCCGTTTGCTGGCATCTGGCATTTGCCGACTTGGCGGCCCAGTCCGACCAACCGAAGCTTTTATTTTATCATTATCGACAACGAAGCTTGAGCGGTCAGAAGGAGAAGAGGTATTCCATCCTCGTCTGCATCATTCTCATCGACTCGCATTGGACGGAGATCCAGAGGGGTCGTTCCAATAACCCACCTTAGCTGTCCCCCCAATTGTCCCAATGTGCTTCCCAGACGTCCCAGGAGCCTCGCCTCGCCTTGAGACCCAGCTGCCTGCCAAGCTGCCGGGACTGCCAGCTGCCTGCCAGCTGCCAGCCTGCTTGCAAGACCCATTTCGCCCACAACCTGTATGAATACACAAAATTCCCCTCCTCTTTTACCTCTCTCATCCATCTCTCAACTCAACAATGTATGGCGATGCCCTCTCTGTATCCATCGCATCCACTTCCACCACATCCACTACATCCACCATGATCGACTGCTTCGTTTTTACTTTCCGACCAGTCCCTTCTTTCCTATATCCACCCTCGGCCGCCGCCACTGCCTGCCGCCAACGGCCCCGTCTCGCGTCCACCATGAATTTTAGCCTCCATCCTTCTCAGCTCCCATCTCGCAAACCCGCACCAGGCAAAGCCAGCAAGCCAACGCCAACGCCCAAGCCAAACCCGTTCCTGATTGGAATCCAGAAAATTTCCGCCCCTACTACCTTATTCGAACTCGCCTGCGAGCCCACCAACTCGTCCTCCATGCAGCTCATCCTCATCCACACCCACATGCAATGCAATGCAAGCCAAGGCAGGACAGGGCAGTTAGTTCCCACTGCCATGCACGCAAGCCTTGCACCATTGTCCTCTTCCTCTCCATTCATCTCGACAATCCATGCCAACCCACTCCAACAATCTATACTTCTCCATCGGCTCCATTCAGTCTTTTCGTTCCTGTGCCCCTCTCTGTCCTCTCATCTCTTCAAGTATTCCGTTTCCCTCCCCGCCTAGCTAACCACTATAGATACGACTAGATACGGAGCCCCCCCCCCCGACCGACCCATCGTCGGTGACTGAGATCAGCAAGGTCGTCCGTCACCTCCTCAACACCATCGCCACTCCCTCAATCCAGCGTGGACAGTAACAGAAAAATCTTCCAGATTCCTGGAAATATTTCCATTCGGTTTAGCTGCCGTCCTATCCAGCCAACCTTGTCGTCCACCTTATGTCCTGCTCACGCGACCACGTACCCTTTTCATCCCAGACATCCATACTAACGAACACTCCAACATGCACGCCCTAGTATCTACCAACATACATGCTTATTGCATCGCAGCCTGTAACCTCTCTGCCCGGCCGCGACCGCACTGTCGCACTACCTAACTAATGAACGATGCCTACTTACATAGTAGCTTTTTTTCGTCTCTTCGTCTTTGGCGCCACCCGATACGGATCCTTGCTCATCCCTCCGCTACCAGCATACCAATCAGCCTACCAAGACCGAGGATTAAGTCAATAACTAGCGCATAGACAGTGAAGCTATGTAACTTGCCGCGATTCATCCATCGCCTGCCGGGGAGGATCCGCATCCTCCTGTTAATAACACAATGTAGGTTAGTAGGTATCAAAAACGCTACCAGGAACACTAACGCGTACTACTGCGAACCGCCGGCGCCTCGGTCCAACGACACTCCTGGTTATCTCGCCTTTCTTCTTCCGAATTGCCGTTATTCACATATTGACCAATTGCAGGCCTGCCTCTTCTCCAATCAATTGCGGCGCTGCAACCGAGACCTCCCGTTTATATCACCATACAAGACGACATTCAACAAGACCACGCTGCACAGAACAATCTCGCGTTCTTAACCCCCCTCTATACGTATGTATCTTTATTACTTCGTGCAAGCCATCTGCAGTTTCCATCTGCGGCCCCGTATTTCCCTCCAGCCCCGAGACATCGGTCTGCAGCCTCACCCTCTCTGCGCCGACGCAAAATCTATCTCTCCTCCAATCACCTCTTGCCGACATGCAACACAATCATGCTTCACTGCATCTCTATGCCATCTCCTTTCGGAAAGAGGGCACACGACCACGTCAACCCCCTCGATCACGCGCAAGCATCACTATTGTCCTCTATCCGCTGCGATATCGCACATGCAGCCGCTCGTCGGGGTTCGTTCACGAAGAGACTGACTTTCGCTCCTCGCATTCCTCAGCATTGCGCTTGTCTCATTTCGGCACCGCCCCAAGGGCCAAGGGCCAAAGGCGGGCAAAGGCGCCGCCTCTGGCAAATCTGTGGTGGCGTCTACTGGCAATAATGCCATGAGTGTGGACCCTAGGCGACGAGAGCAAGGCCGTCTGCTATGAACCTGCGGGCCTATACTACGATGGCGAGATTCGCTCCTCCTTCTTCACAAGGCTAGTTCCCATGGTTAGCACCCATCCCGTACTCTAATACGGAGTACCCAGTGGAAGTACGTGCTGCATACCTCGCGCCACAGTTGCAGGGAATGGCTTGCGTGCTTGGAGCTTCAACATTGTTTCCTCCCACGTGCTGGCTTCTGGTCCGCACCGGGTCTTTCAGTTGCCAAGTCAACCCTGCGAACACGGAGGACATATGTACATACATACGCGCCTGAAACCCAGCGACATGAACCTGGTCCCTGTCGGTAGTGGACGTTGACGTTTACGGCCCTTCATCCGGTGCCGCTGCAGCGCCGTCACCGACTGCAAAAAAGACTACATACCGACTTTGCACAGCCCAACGCAGAAATCGAGCCCAGCGTTAACTCGTTAGCTCCAACCATATTTACTGTCGTGTCGACCCCCAACTGAGACCCGTTTGCAAACTTGCCCGCAAAAGAAAAAAACCTCCTCCGATGGACCCCTAAAAGTGAGTAATACGTACCAGTCTACGGGAGTAGCCTCCAGCAACAGGGTCTTGGTCACGCGAGCACATCTCGATTGCTTGCCCGCTAATGTAATGTCACTGCATGCACCGTAGGGAGGTTCTAGGCTCTCATGCGGGTCTCAGCTTGATATCAGTTTGCCAGGCCACGAATATTCGTAAAAGGAACAACTAATATGCCATCGTCAAGGCATTGGTGGATATACCTACTATTCTGCCATCGGCAAGACGGCAGCCTGCCGCCCATCCGGTGCCGGCCTGTCATGGCCCCGTCTGGCTGTCTGTTGATTTACTGTCAACGTGTCATGCTCGCATTTGCCTGGAAATGAAGTGAGGGGAGACCCCTACCTTGCGGCCCTCTCTCTCCGCCCATACGGCAGTTAGGTGCATGGCAGCACTCACCAAGTAAGTGCCTGCTGTATCTCATGCTCTGCACATTTACAGCAATTGATCTACAAGGGAATGGTGTTGTGATGCCACCACCAACCCCGCCTCTCGTCTTTACGCTAGAAACGGCCATTGCATCATGCCTCTCTGGAACCCTTGCAGCGGTGAGTCTAATTCACCTTTAACGGGCTTGGCAGGGAATACTGAAGAAAAACGAGTTTAATCCGTCTTCTCAAAATTACAAGGAAATTCTTGCAACTTTGTGACGTGGCGGGTTTCCTCAGCCGCACTCACAAGAAACGAACCGAGCAAACCCCCAGCCAGACCCTGCAAACCCATGGCGATGGGGACGAGGCCCCCAACAAGCCGCAAGTCCGTGTTCCTTTCACCAGCCTCACACGCTCGTTGTTCCCACATGGGTTGGAGAGAGGGGCAGGTTGCTGATAATGCAGCCGACAAGCAAACGGCCGCCTTCTTTCCTAGTTATCAGACCCGACCGAAACATCCCGGGTGGGGATGAGTTGGGGCCGGCCGTGCCCAGAAATCTTGATGTTACGTTTCCGTTGGTCCATTCAAGTAACTGAACTGAACTGGATAACAATAAGGCGTCCATCATATTTACAGTTGATGGGTTCCCATCACAACCCACCCACCGCTGCTTTTATGATTAAGCCGAGATGGCCGACATTCTTTCCTTCAGTCTTTTATCCCGAGCTTGCTGGTGAGCCAGCGCATTTTGCGCCCCCACGAGCCAGCAGCCTTATCAAGTGTGTGCCCGAACAGGGCCGAGATTGCAACCAGCGGGCGGGCGGGCGCCACCGACACTCGCCGCACGCCAACAACGGCGGCGACGACGACGACGACATTGGGCTTGGCGATTTGGGCTGCCCAGTCCGGCGGTACTAAGGACAGAATGTGACTGATCATCTAGCCAAGAGGTCGTGAAGCAGGAAAAATGTTTCGTGGCTTTGCTCATCGTCCTCCGGCCAACAGGGTCATGGCGTGGCTTTTTTCATCCTCACGCCAGACACCGCAAGTATACCAAGGAGCAGAACAGTGTATGGAAATCAAAGGCGAGGCTCCATGGCCATTGTCTTTATTTTTATAATCGTATACTTCGTGATTTTGTCCGACGTTGAAGCCCAACACGCTGTTGCCAGTCGTGGGTGCCCGTCCATGTATGTAGGTTTGTCTACTCCGTACCGAGTTTCTAAAACCAAGTAGAAAACAAAAAAAAAATGCAATGCACCATCGCTACAATGCAATATGCGTATGCTCAAGTATGTATGCAAAAGAGAAGCAAGAAACAAAAAGAAGAAGAAAAGGGAAAAACTGTAAATCTGAAGCAAGTTGCCAATCCAATATTGACTTTTCCGGCCCGTCGTCACCATCCACAGCCATGTAATAATATATACACGAAGTAGATTCACCAACGCCGCCTTTCCACCCTTTTCCTTCGGGAATCAGGAACAAGACGCGCGTCTAGTCCTGGTGCTCCAGCACCTGCGCCGCCTCTAGCACGCCGCAGATGCGACCATTCTCCGTCACCGCAATCACTGCGCCCTCTGCTTCGCCATCCTCCTCCTCCTCTTCGCCCAGCCCGCCGACGCTGCTGCCACCAGCCACCGCGCCGCCGCTGTCACTCAGAGTTCCCCGCAGCAGGATATCGCGCGCCTGTCGCACCGTCGTGTCGGCCGACATGGCCAGCATGTCGTGGCACGAGACGAGCAGGCCGGGGAGGGATCCCAGCGGCTCGAGGAGGTCCTCGTCGCACAAGGCGCGCAGGCGGCGCGGCGCGGTGACGGCCTCGCCCACGCGCACCCAGCCTTTCTTGGAGGCGTACGCGGCGCGCAGCAGGCTAGCCGCGGGGCTGTCGGCGCGCAGCAGGGGGCAGTCTGCGATGGCGTCCCAGCGGACGGCGATGTGGCGGAGCGTGATGGCGGGCGGCGGAACGAGCAGGACCTTTTTGAGGGGAGGTGAGGAGGAAGCGGGAGGGGTAGGGGTAGGGGAAGATGATGCTGATGCGGCGGCGGCAAGGCCGATGGCACCGCCAGGGTGGTTCCGCGCAAACGCCGCCGCGAGGTCAGGTTGTAGCTCGCGGGCTGCCGTGACGGCGAGGGCATCGCCGACGGCCAGCGCGGCGGTGGTGGAAGTCGTCGGCGCTGAGACGCCAAACGACACGCGCTCCGGCTCATGCACGGGCGCCGGAACGACCACGACCCCAGGCCTCTGCCGCACAATTTCACACGTGCTGTGCGCGGAGGTGATTACGATGGCCGGCATCGACTGGTCGAGGTGTGGCAGCAACGCGAGCAGCTCGGGCGTGGCGCCCGAATAGGTGACGAGCAGGAGCGCATCGACAGCCGGGTCGACAAGCCCAAGGTCGCCGTGAAGGGCCTCGGTCGGGTGCAGGAAGGCGGCGCGCACGGCGAGGCTCTGGAACGTGGCGGCGAGCTTGCGCGCTATGAGGCCGGATTTGCCAACCCCGATGAGAACAAGCTTGCCGCCGTTGCTAGTGGTGCGGGTTACGGCGGCGACGGCCCGGTGGAAGGAGTCCCGCGCGAGGGGCTCTGTCTCGTATAGACGGGCGAGGTGCGCGAGGGCGAGGGCCTCGGTCCGGAGAACGTGCAGGCCCTCGCGGAGGCGCTCGTCCTTGTGTATATCGTCGTCGTCTGCGGCGTGTTGTTGTTGGTCAGCGGTATCTAGGCCGCTGCGCGGAGTTGTGTGTGAAGCGGTTGATCGGTAAGAGATGCGCTGCCCGGCTAGCTGAAACGGCTCGGAGGGTTCGGTGAACGCCGGAGCCGCGCCGTCGGCTGGTGTTACGGATGGCGTCGGCGGCGATGGTGGGCGGGTAATGGGCCGCTTGGAGCCGTTGAGGACGATGACGGCGCTGGTCTGGATAGGGCGATGCTCGCCCTTTCTCGGCTCTCCCATTTTGTCGTCTTGCGTTGTTTTTTGTTGTTGTCACTCTCGGTTGTCAATGCGCACCGCTGTGGTTTGATTTCCAATTTTCGTATGCGCCCCGCGGCGGAGCTCCGAGCAGATTCTGTCCGGCGCGGTCAGGGCTGTTTGCTCAATTGATGCAGCGAAACGAACAACGTTTGCAATCGCGGTGATGTGAGTAACGAGATAAAATGTTCTGGAAATGTTCTGGCAGGAAATATAGGGTGAGCTGTATATGTCGTAATGGATTGCAGGGCTAGTGCGGAACGGTCGGACGCATTTTGATAACCCCGCCACCTTTAGATCCTGATATCGATTTCGGCGTATGCCAATCGTGCGAGTCGCATGCACGTCGTTGTTTCGGGGTTGCAGGCAGACCGGAACAAGACGTGTTTGGTATCAGAGCTTCGGCGCGGATAGTGATCCGGTCAAGAAGTAGCGGTAATCCGCGCAGCTCTAGCGCAGGTCGGCAAAGGAAGGTCGAGATCGCGACACTCGGCGGCCGAGATCAAAACGGCACTTTTCGATGTTCGGTATGCGGATCGTAAGGCGAAATCTGCAGCCATTTTTCGTCAACGCACAGCGACCAGGGCGCTATACCCAGGAAAGTGGTAGCGGTGGGCACTAGACGGACCATCATCTGCGGAGCTTGGCGGTGACGTGCTTCACTTTGATGGATGCCTGTGGGCGTGACGTTGTCGATGCCAGCCATTGGTCCTGCACGGAGAGATAGCGTAATGGAAGATGGAGCAGATAAGCTGGGCTGGCGGGATGATTTGTAACCGGGCTTGTGTCCATCCGACCAACTTCCTGGGCTGTTTGCTGGTTGGGGGCGGGACGGGTCAGTTTTGGGCCCGTGGGCGGCTATTCAGGTTGGAGCGCTTATTTCGAGAACGAGATTCTACGTTTTTTTCCAAAGATGTATTCTACCGTTATCAAGTCTTGTGAGCCTGGAAAGAGCGTGAGCATCGATGAGCATCGTATGGCGGTGGAGGTGGCTGCTCCGCCAGCAACCCGAGGGGCCGAACCGTACATTGACTTGCTCTTGTTGACCTTGGATTGCCACCTCCCATTGTCGTTGCCAATATTGTCGTTTTCATTGTGTCTCGTTGATATTGATGCGTTCGTAGTGGTGTAGAGGCTGACTCGTTGGTTGATGCAGTTTGGTTGTTTGCGTTTGCCAGCCACCCAGTGTCTTGAGTCGGATCGTGTTCGGTGGCGCCCCCACCAAAGCAAAGCACCAGCTGGCGCGGCGCCAGTTCCGCATCCATCCATCAGCAGGCTGACGCTGAGCCTCGTGCGTACTTCAAACAAGGCACTGCCCGCGTGGCCAGGTCAGACTATGCACACTCAGGAATATCACTCATGCATTAAGAAAACGGATTTGCAGCTGGTCTGACTTTCCTCCTTCTTCTTCACTCACATTTTCTTGCTTCACCGTCGCTCCATCACTGCGCCTTCCGCTCGTTTCACAGACAACCGCATGGCAGGTCGCAACGTCGACACAACTCGACACCACAATCGACCATGGAACTGCCCGCCAGCAAACCCCTGCTCGAAAAGGGCACCCCGGCGGTAAGGCTCGACAGACCATTGGCGAAGAAGCGCAGGTCGCCATCTTCGCTATGCGGCAACTGCACCATCGTTCTCGTCTTGGCGCTTGCGTGCGTCATCGCCACCCTCCGCGTGTTTGGCACATCCACCGACCTGCGTCCGTGGTCGCGCCTTGGGGACTGGGGCGTCTACGAGTCTGAAGATGCCGACGAGCCTCCCTCCGGCCTACCCGCGCCGCATGAGACGGACCGCTATCTAGTCGGCGTTAGCAAGGCCGACATTACCGGCCCCGTCGTCGAGCTTAACATGATGGGCTACGCCGACGCGAATCAGATCGGGAGCGGCTTGCGCCAGCGCCTATACTCGCGCGCCTTTATCGTCGGCGACCTGGATAACCCCAAGGACCGCTTCATCTACCTCGTTCTCGATACCCAGTCCGGCGACACGGCCGTGCGTTTCGGCATTCTCAACGGTCTGCAGAAACTTGGCCCATCATACGCCATGTACAACCACGACAACCTGGCAGTCACTGCCACGCATTCGCATTCTGGCCCGGGAGCCTGGCTAAATTACCTACTGCCGCAGATCACGAGCAAGGGCTTCGACAAGCAGAGCTATCAGGCCATTGTGGATGGCTGCATACTCTCCATCCAGCGAGCGCATGAAACTCTGGCTGCGGGCACGCTCAGTGTCGGCAAAACCAAGATTTTTGGTGCCAACATTAACCGCAGTCTATTTTCCTACCTCGCAAACCCGGAAGAGGAACGCCAACGGTACAACATCAGTGCCGAAGACGACGGCTCCGTGGAAAAGGACATTACGGTTCTGAAGTTCCAGAGAGCGGCCGACGGCAAGAATATTGGCGTGCTGACCTGGTTCCCCACTCACGGCACCTCGATGCAGGCCAACAACACGCTGATCACGGGCGACAACAAGGGGCTAGCGGCGGATCTATTCGAGCGAAGGGTCCGCGGTGGAAACGACGAGACGGACGACTTTGTGGCCGGCTTCTCGCAAGCCAATATGGGAGACGCAAGCCCAAACGTTCTCGGTGCGTACTGCGAGGACACGGGCGAGCCGTGCGACTTTAAAACGAGTAGTTGCAGTGACGGACGCCCTGGATCATGCCGCAGCCGCGGGCCTCTTTTCCTCAAGAACGACTACGGAGCATCGTCATGTTTCGAGATTGCTCGGTTACAGGTAGAGGGCGCGATGAGCGTGTACAGTGATCTGAAGAAGACAGAGAGCAATGTGCGAGGCGTGGGCGTAAAGGCGGTTCATGAGTTTCACGATATGGCGGGATATGAGTTCGTGCTACCCAACGGCACCGCGGCTCGAACATGTCCGGCAGCGTTGGGATACTCATTCGGAGGGGGTACAAGTGACGAGCCGGGCCATTTTGACCTGATCCAGCACGGCAGTAACATGACGAACTCGTCTCCGATTTGGCGGGTGCTGCGATGGCTGCTCAAGCCGCCGAGCCAGGAACAGATAGACTGCCAGTATCCCAAGCCCATCGTTCTGGATGTGGGAGAAGTTGGCCGACCATACGAATGGACGCCGAATATTGTTGACGTGCAGACGTTCCGCGTGGGTCAGCTGTTAATCATTGTCAGCCCGGGCGAGGCGACGACGATGGCCGGGAGGCGGTGGAAGGAAGCGGTGGAGGCACAGAGCAAGGAGCAGATGAAGGACGACTTGGCCGGTCAGGAGCCGATTGTCGTGATTGGGGCTCCGAGCAACAGCTACACGCATTACATCACGACGGAGCAAGAGTACAAGTAAGTGGATTTCTCTGGCAGCACATCAAACGAGCGGCAATGCTAACCACCAATCAGTATTCAACGATACGAAGGCGCTTCTACGTTGTACGGGGCGCATACATTAGCGGCGTACGTCAACCGCACGCTGGAGACGCTGCACTACCTTAAGGCGAGCCACCCGACGTCGCGGGCGGGGCGCAAGGTGCGTCGTCTGCCGCCGGACAACAGCGAGCGGGCGATGAGCTTCATCCCGGGCGTGGTGTTTGACCGGACGTGGTCAGGAGGGTACGGGAGCGTAAGCCAGGACGTTGACAAGAGCCGGTTCCGACCAGGCGAGACGGTGCGGGCGCGGTTCGTCGGAGCGAACCCGCGAAACAATCTACGGCTGGAGGGGACGTATGCGGCGGTTGAGTACCGGGCTCCGGGTACGGACGAGGAGGAGGAGGGCGGGTGGACCAGGGTGCGAGACGATTCGGACTGGGGACTCGCGTACCGGTGGAAGCGGCTATCGGGGATTCGGGGCACAAGCGAGGTGACACTGGAGTGGGAGGTGGAGGAGTGGGCGAGGGATGGGGAGTACAGACTGCGATACTTTGGGGATGCCAAGACGTTTGGGGGAGGTATTACGGCTTTTGAGGGAGTGAGTGGTTCATTTCAGGTTGGATGAGGTGTTGAGGGGGGCATATGGCGGGCAGATGAACAGACTGACTACGATATAAGATACCTAAGGCTCTGAGGAGGTGAGATGGTTAGATAGACAGATAGACAGAGCGCGTGATTTGATTTACATGTACACGGGCGCAAACGGGGATTGGAATCTACAAGTTGGAATTTATAAATAACTAGTTTCTTTGGTTGAAAGCAGGGCACGAGACAGGAGTGTGAGGAGCAAAGAGCGACAGACCAATAAAGAGTTTCGATGATGTGTGATTGGCAGGGCGGATGAGACACGGGTGAGGCTTATAGTGCGGTGGTGGCGAGGGGAGGAATTTGAAGGCATAACGCGGTCGAGTGCCTTGGCAGGTGCTAAATAGGTTAACTACTGGTAAATAACAAGAGGCCAAGCCTCTGGGCGTCGAGGTGGAATTTGATGGAATGAGAAGCAGATAGGTCAAAGCAGAGGACGGGTTGGCCGTGGTTCTAGGTTCTAGGTTCTGGGTTCCTGGCTGGTAAGGCTAGTATGTACATAACCGTAATAGGTGAATGAATAGTGAAGGTTTACGCCATCCAAAAACGGCCATTCCGGTGCAAAGCCTAGACGGTTTTTGTTGGTAACGTCAGTGAGACGCGGATAAACAAGAGTCTTGGCGATTGATTGATTGATGAAGAGGACCGCGTCCGTCCGTCCACGGGTCCGTCCGCCTCGCGTCAGTTTTTTCCGAGCGTCAATGCTAATGCAAGGCACGGCCGGGTAAGGGGGAAAAAAAAAAAAAAAAAAAAACCCCCAAGTAGCGGAAGGGCATGTTTTGTCGCACAAACTGGGGGTTTGTTCAAGGTGCCTGAAACCAGCAACGCGCTGGGGGTCGTCGTCATCATCGGTACGGGCAGGCAGGACAAGGAGAAGGGAGAAGGGAGAATTGGGCCACGCAAGCCCACTGATCAGCAGCGCACTCGGTCAATGAATTCCCTTTCCACAACCCGGTGCGGGTTCTCGTCTCTTTTTTTTTTTTTTTCTCTCTTTTTTTTTCTCTTTTTTTTTTATAGTTTGCGCTATCAAATCGGCGGAACCAAGCAGCTGTCCGGGACACACAGCGAATCCGTGGCGTTCAACTAACAAGTCAACGTCACCCTCCCCAGCTGAAGTTGTGGCGTTGGTTGCGGTACCTTCAGTGATCCTGCCCTCCCTCCCTGATCCGGCCAACCCGGGTTCATGCTCCGGCACGCAACAGCCGTCAACGTGTCAAAACGACGACAAAACTCTTCAGGTCTTTCGTACCCTTCATCTCTCCTTCTCCTTCTTCCAGTTCTTTCTTTATTAGCGAATCTCGTCAGTCTCAGCGTGCATCCTCCTCCTGTCCCACAGCCCACTCTTCCAGTCCAACCCGTCTTTCTATCATCACTCCTGCTGTTGTTAAGCGCTTTGTTGCTCGCGCCGTTTCAACCTTGCATTTCCCATTCCCGCCCCGTTCAAACCCGGGCTAGTCTGTTTATCCCATTCTCAAGGTTTCCGGTATGTGATGTGCCTCTGCTGCCAAAACATATCATATGTCCTATCCCGTCCGTCCGTCCGTCCGTCCGTCCATCCTCATTCCAGCCACCCAAGGCAACCACCAACCACATCCGGTCGCTTCGCCACGAACCCTCTTGATAATCCCTATTTTTTTTTTCTCCGTTCACTCCACCATGTATATGTATATTCCCTGCTCGTACCACATCTCCTTTTTGCTCAGGTTGATTGGATCATCATGATCCGCGTCGGCCCCCCCTTGCACCACTCACACACACACCACACACCCCTCAGTGGCTTAACGCGGATACCCGGATTGAGGCAAAATAGCTGGTTCAGCGGCTGTCGATTCTCATAAACAATGGACCATGCCCGCCGTGTTTGGCTCGTGCTACAAGAAAAATCTCCATAGTTTTTGGTCCAGTGTATGTGCTGTGCAGGAGTAGTTGTGGGTGCATGTCGTTTGTCCTAGGCACTGAGCACCACCAAGTACAGGTAGGTGTCTCTGTCTCTGTCCATCCTGACTCTCCTCTGGCATGACGTTGCTCCCAGGCCATTGATTGTCTTTGTGTGCATGGTCGATCAGTATATGTAGATACAATGATAGATAAACGCTCATGCACCTGTCCGTTGTCCCGCCTGCGCCTCCGCCTCCCGCTCTCGCCCTTCTCAGCCTCTCTCTCACTCTCCTCTCACTCTCTCACATTATTATTATACAGACAACACACTCCCTCGGCTCCTTCCTCACTCGCCTCGCCCAGAGCCAGCCCCGTCGTCACTTATCATCTTCTACTCCCTTTCCATTTGTTTTCCTTCTTCATCTGTTTGCCTTGTTTTAGATAATCATCGACAACTACCCTTCCTCCTCTTCCACCACACCACCACAAACCATCTCCCGCTTAACTCACAGCCTCCGCCAAGCCCATATTTAAGTTTCATCAGCTTGTAAAAGGCAAAACCGACTGGCCGACAGCAGCAATCCACCACGTGCATGCATCCATTGCATTATACTCACTGACACTCTCTCTCTCTCTGTTTCTCTCCTCTCCCCCAGACCATCGCATCTTCTTTGAGCTTTTACCCCGCAACCCTTGCTTCAACTCTCCTCGACTTCTCTTCTTCTCTTCTTCTCTTTTTGGTCTTCTTGGATACACCCGGCTTTCGTTCCCTTCCTTTCTCACCTGCCTACATACCATCCATCATCTATCCATCCATCCTTCTCATGCATTAAACACCTTCGACACCCTCCGCCCCCAAGCTCGCTGCAACGCCTGATCAGTGACCCGGCCCGACCAACATGGGAGTCCACGAGCCTGCCCGCTTCCTGGCCCCGGCATTCCCGCCTCGAAGCATCAAGACCGTCATCCTCTCCTTCGTCGGCACTTGCTTCTTCTTCTCCTTCTACCGCCTCTCTCGCATACCCGACGCCCGCTACTACCCCCACTACATCTACGACCACATCGCCAGCTACCTCGAGCCCGGCGTCTACAACAACACTCTCTATCAAAATGGCACCGAGGCCGCCGTCCATGCCCACTGGAACTTTAGCCAACCATGTCAGAACTTTCCGAGCACAGAGGACATCACGATTGTCATGAAGACGGGCGCCACCGAGTCCTTTGACAAGATGCCCACCCAGCTTCTCACCAGCCTCCAATGCATTCCCGACTTTTTGCTCTTTTCCGATTTGGTATGTTTTATTTTTCTATAATTCAAATCTCTCATCAACCATCCTAACCAAGAACTCACCAGGAACAACAAATTGGGAAGTACCACATCTACAACGTCCTCGACCGCGTCGAAGACATCCTCAGCAGCGACCGCGCCGAGTTTCTCCTCTACCAGGCCCAGCAAGACTGTCCCATCTCCCAGAAAGAATGCACCGCCGACATGCCTGGAGGCTGGGATCTCGACAAGTACAAGTTCCTCAACATGATCCTCCGCACATGGGAAATGCGCCCCTCCAGAAAGTGGTACGTCTTTGTCGAGGCCGATACCTACATTGTCTGGTCCAACCTCATCCACTGGCTCAACACCCGCATGGACGCCTCCAAGGACATTTACGTCGGTGGCATCGCCTTTTTGAACAATCTGCCCTTTGCCCACGGAGGTACCGGCTACGCCATTTCCGGTGTCCTGCTCGAACGGCTGGTCGCCCATGTCAAGGACATTCCCGCCAAGGATCTAAACGACCTGGCCATGCATACCTGCTGCGGCGATGCGCTGCTGGCCGACGTCATTGACAAGCTTGGAGTCTCCGTGCTGAGGGCATCCCCCATGTTCAACGGCGAGAAGCCCAACACGCTCCCCTTTAGCGGCCGTGACTGGTGTCAGCCGCTCTTCACCTTGCATCACATGAACTCGGAGGAGATCAGCGGCGTCTGGCAGTACGAGCAGACGCGAACCAAGACAGAGCCCATGCAGCTGCGCGACATCTACCACGCCTTTGTCGGCCCCAACCTGGTGCCGCGCCGTCCGCAATGGAACAACCTCGCCGATCAACACTGCTTCTCCAAGCCCGAGGACGGTAAAAACGTCATTGAGAAGCACGCGCACGAGTCCGCCGAGGCCTGCTCCCGCGTCTGTCTCTCCGAGGGGCTCAACGTCGATGCCGACGCCTACGAGAAGCTCAAGACGGACGATGAGCGCGACTGGTACCTGCGACAACGCTACCGCCGACAGACGGCCACCAAGCGCAAGAGCAAGAACCGCTCATGCTTTACCTGGCGCTACCGCGGCGGCACCTGCTGCACCAGCGACACTTTCCGCATGGGCTATCCCGTCGCCGCCAAGAAGGAGGAGGACGCCACCAGCGGCTGGTTCGTCGACGGCATCGAGCGTTGGATCCAGGATCACGGCCAGTGTACCGGAGGCACTGAGTGGGTATCGCCCACCTGCGTTGGCAAGTGGTGTCCGGACGAGATTGAAAAGACCAAGAAGCAGATGGAGGATGATCGCAAGTCAAAAGAGGAGATGCTCAAAAAGTTTGGCCTAAAGCCCGCCGAGCCGGGCGAGCCGAATGCGCAAAATCCTGAGGGCCTAAAATGAGCGACCACCAGTCCAGTGTTTATATCATTCGTATGGCGTTTTGGATCAGGTTTTGGATTACAGGGGCTGGCGTACTTTTTTCTCATACTTGTATACTTGTTTGAGTTATTAACCAACAAGTTAATAAACAATTGAACTTTAAGATTTCATTTTATTTGGCGACTGGCAACTGGTGAGGTTGAATACAAAATAGACATGAAGTTGAAGGCACCAATACCAGACTGGAGGCATAAGGGGATGTTGAATTAGCACTTGAATTCCTTTCATGTTACAAGAAAGAAAGATGGAGGAAATAAAATCAATAGCAAGGTAGCATGACAAAAAGAAGAAAATAATATCCAACAGGGCAAAAAAAGGATAATCATTCTCCGGTACAGGGAATCGAACCCTGGGCTGCTCGGTTCCAACTTGAGAGCGAGCGATGTTAGCCACTACACCATACCGGACGTTTTCTCTGTATGAAAGCCGCTCTCTTATTGATACACAAGAGCTCATCGCCATCCCCCACAGCGATTCTTCAGTAGTGTTTTGTGGTGGTTTTTGCGTCCTTGTTGCACCGACTTGGGTTGCGGGCGGAACCGAGGCTGCAGATGCCACACGTTGTCTGGGACGGCTTCGCCTTCTGCTTAACGGGGCCGTACAGATGCTCCCCTCTTCTTCGTAAATGGTGGTGTGCGGGACAGCTGGACGTTTTTAAACGTTGTTGGTGTGGTGGTGTACAAGGCCCGACTGCAACAGGGACCGTCCTTTCCAACGCAGAACAACTCGTATGGAGGGTCCGGAGTGACGGGTATCGTCGTCTATATTCTTACAAGGGTGCATGTGGTGAAAATGTCCACCTCGTCCATCTATGCTTCGAAAAGCAACTCTACCGACCCAAGTCTCATAAAATATATCACAAATGCTCCGAGCTCAACCCAAAATGCTCTAATGCAAAGTAGCCTCCTGCCCAACGCCAAAAATATCACTGTGGTATCACGCCTCAACGTTACAAACAAAATTCCCAACCACTCGCACGTCTACACCCACGGCGAGGTCGCCAGGTCCGCCGTCGCCGGGGGCGTGGTCGCGACCGGCGTGCTCGCCGAGCTGGGGGCCTTGGACGGGCCGTGGCGGCCGCAACGGCGGCGGTCCTTGGGGGAGCTCATGAAGCAATACGCGCGGGCGCCCGCGGGCGCCGGCTGGGCGAAGCGCTCCTTGACCTCGCAATACTCGTAGTCGTCGCCCATCCAGCGGCGGATGTGGCGGTGCAGCTCGCACCTGGCGATGCCGCACTTGCGGCAGTAGACCTGGCCCTTGACGCGAAGCTTGTCGAGCGCGTCGTGGCGTTGCTGCTGCGGTTGCGTCTCGGGCGGTGACGACGACGGCGAGGTGCTACCGCTATTTGCACTGCTGCTACTGCTGCTACCGGTGCCGCCTCTGCGCATCTGGATGTGGCGGACGTCGCGCCATACCCACTCCAGGTCGTTGGGCCCGTTGTAGCGACTGCCCAGGGGCACGCGGCCGTTCTTGCGGCGATGGATCGCGTAGAGCGTAGGGTGGGCGAGGCCGAAGCACACGGCGTCGATGGGGTCGAGGAAGTCGAAGAGCGTGTAGTGCAGCTCAGGCGGGAGGCCGAGCAGCCCGCCGGCGCCGTTGCCGTACCACGAGGACGGCCCGGGTCGGGGCTGGTTGGGCGCAAGCACGGCGTCCTCGGGTTCCTTGTCGGTCGCCGAGTAGGAGCGTCGCGGAGGCTGCTTCGTCTTTGGAGGCGGCGGCCGCAGCAGCGACGACGAGAAAGCGAGGGCTTGCTGTATGGTGGGCGTAGTACGCAGGACGGCGTTTTCGGGGATCGTAGCCTCGGTAGGTATATGCTGCGTAGTGGATGGGGAGGAGGGTGAGGCCGTCAGGGAGGCGGCTTGAAGAGCGGCGATGACGTCGGGGACGGCAATATCGCCCTGGAAGTCGGTGACGGAGTAGCCGCGGCGGGCGGGACGCTTGGGCGGGAGGGCATCGCGAGGAGAGTGCGCGCTGCGCTGAGCGTGCGTCGCGGGGTCGGCGAGCCACTGGACCATGGTAGGGCGGGTGTTGTGATTCCTTTCTTTATTATTATGGCTGGATGGTTATCTAGAGGTCGGTCCTGTTGGTCGGGGGGCTGGTCAAATATAACCGGCCGCCCGATGCGGTTTGCCCGTTGTCGTCAAGCGACTCGATGAACAACGGGGGGACGTTTGCGTTCGTCGTGTGCGTGTGCCAGCGGGCGCGGGGTGGCGGTGGTGGCTGTCGGCAGTGGAGGGTGAGACAAAGCGACACAATTTCTTCAGCTGGGTCCGGCCGCCTCGCGTGGAAGAAATCGCGTGGGAGGGTTCGTCTCTTGTCTCAGAAGATGTTGAAATATGCAAAACCGCAAAAACCAAAAAGATGTTTGCGGTGGCAAGAAGTGCAGGTATACGCGGGGAAGGAAGCGGTCAGGGCGCTGGCAGGGACTGTGCCCTTATAAAGGAACAGGGGCTCGGGAAGAGAGGCAAAGGCGCCGCTACGATGATTTTTTCTCTTCCAGGTACCAGGACAGCGAACTTTGACCGAGGCATGTATTCGTATGTACCTACCTCTGTGGTGGTGTGATGGTGGGTGGGCTAACCTGCGTACGGCGACACCGTGGCTGGCTGCCAAATATAGGGCCTGCCTGTTAGACGAGGAAGAGAGGTATGCATAACATTCAGCCACCGCCTCATTTTCCTTCAGAATATGCACGGTTAATTTCGGAATTGTGTTGTTATTATGTCCTTTTTTTCCTCTGAATTCAATCCTCCTTGGGTTTCTATCACGGCCATATAAGCAGACGACACACCTGGATGCCCTCGTTTGCGGCGTACAAGTACAGAACCTGACCCACTGCAACCTCGCCAGCCCGGTACCTGTACAAGTATGAAAAAAAATACACCAAAACCGTCACCAAAACAGCAGTGGAGAGGCAAGTCCCACGAGCCCCGGCTTCTGCGTCATGGCCTCGCTCCTCATTCGTCTGCCGTCCTTGACTGGGAGGTCCCCATTTGCTTTCCTCCGTCGATCCAGGTCGGCGATCCGAAGGAAACACGGCCGAGGAGCGACAGGCTTCAAATTAGGAGCAAATTGATGGTTGCAGCCAACTTTCGAGGCTGATGTCCGAGAGCCTGGTATTCGTATGCGCCGCTTGCCACTGAATTATTGGGTTACATAGGTACTACCTATTGGTGGTACAGGGACATCTATGATTGATAGACATGTCTAAAGAGCGCGTGACCACTTCAAATCCAAACGCCCGAAACATGATACAAATACGTCATACCACGACACTCCACCTCGAATATCAAGGGTCCCCTCCATGCTGCAGTACTTTTCGCATGTTGCTTTGCTTCATCTCCTCTTTTCATCGGTCATCAAGCTTGGATCTTGATGTTAGTTGAAGCGACTTCGACATCTGGAGCATTTGATGTCATGGTCACCACAATGGTTCCATAGTACATGGGTCCTCCCACCCCATTCAGCCACTCGTAATGATTTCGTCGCTGTCGGCCGTCGTCTTATCGGAGGCTATCTACAAATCCAAGATAGCACCTCCACCTGCTACGTAGGGTCGTGGCGGCCGCGTCTTCGATGTCGCCGGGCCGGCGAGGCCTTGTGTCACCCCGGAGCCAGTTGCCTTGACAGCATGCCAGCTCCCGGCTCAAGGACCTGCACCATCCAAAAGCATCGGCATCAGGTACCTAGTAAACAGAAATCGCCAAGTGCCACTAGTTCATTCCTCACTGCTTGCACTGCGCTGTCCAATGTCCAGCTCAGGTCATGGATGCCCTCATAGATCAAGCCACAACTCAACCACACTCCCTGCCATATCCAAGCCAGAAAATAAAGTAACAATTCAACTGTCGGATGCTGCCGTGTATTGTTTCCATGAGAAATGCCCATCCCCCGCCCTTACCACGCGTGCGTTCACCCACCAACCGCTCGCGTCTAAATCGCCACCCAGATCAGCATGATCACCACATCCATGCCCTTGCCCTCGCCGCCGTCGTACTTGAACGTCCACATGCCGTCCTTCTTCTCGTCCCAGTACGCGCCCGTCGCGCTGTGCATACCCCGCCGGCCCACGTGCGGCTTGCCGTCCGTCGCTGTCGGCGCCGTCTCGGTGCTCGTCGACACGTGCGGCGCCGCGTCCCGTCCGTCCGCACCCGCGCGCGGCTTGTTCAGCGCCGACGTCGGCACCAGGTGCTGCACGATGGTGCTGTTGCACGCGAACTTGAACGACGGTGCGCCGGCGCCCTGCGGGGTCGACTCGGAAATGACGGCCTTGAGCATCGAGCTCTGCGTGTCAACCATCTGTTAGCGACTTTGTCTTCGGGAGGAGCGTGACTTGGGGCATCATCCAAGTTGGGGGGGTTGTAGGGCATTTCCTCACAATGATGTTGGAGTTCCACTGCTCCGTCTTGGCGTGGTCGTAGAACTCGGCGCTGCCAATAGCACTGTTGCACACCTGTCGCGCTCAGTTAGCAAAGACGTGATTCCTGTCATGTTGTCGAGAGTCGGTGGCGGGCAAGTTCGTGCGTACATCGGTGGCAATCTGCTTGAGGCGGTTGAAGGCGACGGGCTGTGATGGCCACAGAAGTTAGCAAAGCTGACCAACAACCATAAAGGGGGCTGCATCTCCTAGCAACCTCGCCACAGATTCACAATACCGGAGTAGACATGTTGGGCGACAGGGTATGATGTTGTCGCGTGCGTCGAGGGAACGTAGGCGGTAGAGACACGAGTGTCGTCACTCAGGTTCGCGGCCGTTGAGGTTTGGGGTATATGGATGGTATTCGGTAGGCGCTAATCAGGGGTAAAGATGCGTTCGTAGCTATGGTCAATGATGAGTATATAGGAGCGAGAAGAAGGCAGCGGCGCGCCAGGATGGGGTACAAACGTCTGCGGCACGCGATAGGGAGGAGAGCCGGCGCGTGGGATCGATTCGCTGGGAAGGGTTTGGGAGGATTGGGAGAATGGGGGGTGGTTTGTTTGTGTTTGGGCCCAGTTGTTGGCGGTGCCACCGATAACGATTCGAGGAGGGGGGGGCCGTCGCGGCTCGCTACATGCCTATGTATGTACATACATAGTTGCTGTGGCACAAGATGCATGCATATATAGCTTTTTTATACTGTAGAAATTTGGGTAAAATGTATAAAATTTAAATTGCCAGTCAATTGGCATCGGAACTCTTGCTACCCACTTCCAAAAGATTTTTAGCTATGGTCATTCCTCTTCAGAGACACCACTATTAAGTAGCACAGCTCGAGTCTGTCTGAGACCAAATGACCGCCCAGCACCACTGTCGACAACCACCACAACACAACTCCAACTTGCGTCAATCAACCCTTCTTGAACTGGGAGAGAAAACCTTGTACTTGAATCCATCAAAGTACGCCGTTTCCACTAGCAACATCTATAACCAGGTACAATAACGCTTTCCACACAGCAAGCCACAACAGCGTCGCCCCACGTGACTGACAGCCAACCATGGTGCCCACGTGCCTCACCAGCTCAAAGCGGCCTTGGAGCTTCAGCAGTCACAGAGAGAGCACAAGCTTCGACGATGGACTCCAGCACCACCTAACAGTGGGGCGCGACATGGTTCGACCCTCGTTCTCGGTCGGCCATTCTGCAAAACGTAGACTTTGGTCGACCAAGCCAATTTTTTTCTTCTAAATCCCCTCATCCGTGATCTTGTGCTCTTCTCCTCCGTTGCTTGAGCCATTCTTCTCTTATCAAAGCAACACTACCTACGCCAGCGATTGAATATTGGTATCCGCAGAAAGGTCGTCTGAATTGGATCCAGTGACGACCCCATTATCCAGCAGCTCGATCGACTACTTTCGTCCACCTCTCCGGTTACGCTCCGAACGACCATCTTACGATAACTTCCAAACCACACATATCCCAGCCTCGACCGACTCAATTGGACTTGCTTGACCAATCCTCTTCATCATGTCTTCCCAGCCTCTCCTCCAGACCACGCCCGGTAGGTCCCATTCTCTCCTCGCAGGCCTCCGGCCTCCGAAGCCCCCTCCTCCTCTCTCTCTGCTAATCTCCCGCCTGCAGGCAAGCGCATCGCCCTGCCGACCCGCGTCGAGCCCAAGGTCTTCTTCGCCAACGAGCGCACCTTTCTCTCGTGGCTCAACTTCACCGTCGTCATCGGCGCGCTCGCCATCGGCATGCTCAACTTTGGCGACCGCGTCGCCTTCGTCTCCGCCTTCCTCTTCACCGGCGTCGCCATGCTCACCATGGCCTACGCCCTCGTCACCTACCACTGGCGCGCCCGCTCGATACGCGTCCGTGGCCAGGCGGGCTTCGACGACCGCTTCGGCCCCACGGTCCTGGCCATCATCCTCCTGCTGGCCGTCGTGGTCAACTTCGTCCTGCGCATCCTGGACACCTCCAAGAAGCAAAAGGGTGACAACTAAAGCAGGAGGGAAGAAGTGCGAGGAGTACCGAAAGTCGACGAGCCGGGGATCGGGGAGCCTGGAGGTGAGCTGGCAATATAGACTGATCGAGTGGCTAATGCCGTGGAACGTCAATGCCCGTGGCTGCACATACTACCATGTATATGTCGTTGTTATTTTTTGAGTCGTCTATATGTGGCATCCTTTTGGATATGTTTATGAATGCTTTGTATAAGAATGTAATTCGATAGCGATCAAGACAGCCGAAGCAGTATATAAATAAAAAATCAAAACTCAAATGTTTGGGTATCTAATCCATGATCCAATATATCTATGCCTATTGTCCATATCCAGCGCCAAAAATGCGTTTTCAACTCGAATTCCCCGACCTTAGTCAGCCTGGCTTGCCAGTCCTTCGTCTCACTTCCCACTCGTCTGCACCGTCACGCCGTCTCTACCCTTGAGCTCCGGGATGGGCACCCTCGACAGGAATATCCGCAGCGACTTGGTCGTCCTGTCCGGCGCCGGCGGCAGCACCGCCCTCTCAAACCGCGACTGCATCGTCTCAAACTCGTCATCTTCCTCATCTTCCTCCCCATCCTCTTCGTCCACGTGCAGCACCGTCTCCTCCACCACCTGTTTCCTCCCCCTCCTCTTCCTCGCTCGCTCAGCGTCCCCCAGGGAGAGGTCAAACAGCTGGTTGTACTGGTACCACGCCGCCGCCCCGCCCTCCTTCTCCAGCAGCCGCTTGCACATCTCCGCCACCGTCAGCATCTTGCAGGTCTCCGCCGGGCGCGCGTGCAGCAGCACCACGCGCGGCCCGCGGCCGTCGTCGTCGCCGAGGAGGTGCGTCGTCGCGCGCGCCACGCGCTTGCGGATCGGCGTCGACGAGATGACGGACGCGGGCAGCACGTCGTACTTGGCGGCGAGTTCTTCGAGGACGGCGGCGTGCGGCTTGCCGAGCGGCGTCGACTGGGGTCGCGGCGGCGCGTCGCTGTGTGGCCGCGGCTTCTTGGCGGCTTTGTCGATTGGTGTGGATAGTTTACGCTTTTGGGGCGCGTGACCCGATATGGTGGCGAGCAGGGTGGCCATGGTCCTGGAATTTGACGATGTGTGGTTGAAGACGCGGGTTAAATTGAAGAGGCGAGTTAAATTGAAGAGGCGAGTTAAATCTACGAGATGAACGAACTTGGATGTATGATAAGAATATATCGCGTATCGATATTGGAAAATAAAGTGGGGCGATATGGGTGATGTAGGGTAGGCCAGCAAAAGGTTCGGAAGATTTGAATAGCAGCGGGATGTTTACGATCATGGCTCTGAAGAGGTGCTTTCGAATTGTTTATTTTATTCGGTTTATTTGTTTCGGGTAGTGTTGGGAAATCTTCTCAGTGTTCCGTTCTTATTCACTGCGTGGAGATCCAGCGGGGTTGAATTGCAGCACGTTTGTCGCGTACCAATTGTTACTAGTAACTATCACCAGGCGTCCATTCCAATTGCAAATAAGTTAATCGAATACACGCGGGGCAATATGCTTCTCCCCCCTCTCACTAAAAAAAGTCGGATTCCCCAGCCGCTCTTATCACCAAACCAGGAATCTCTCGAATTTCATGAGTTCTCAATGATGCACCGCCACGGCAATCAGTATATGATGCTGCCTGCATCCTAGTAAGCCGCCAAGTTTCACACCAACTAGCTGCAGCTGGGAAGAAAGATGGCACCATCTGTGGAAGCTGGGAAAAAGCCACCATAGATGCCCATTTTTTCTTTGGCTGGCGTGCCTGCCTCGGCGAATACGGGCGGACTCGATGTGGCATTGACGAGAGAGACTGAGAGCCTGATGAGCTGGGTCGATGTGGATAGTGGCGGCATTGAGCCATGCACCGGCCGCCCAATACAAATCGTGCAACGCTACCCGTACGGAGAGGGGAGTTGATGATGAGTCCGTTACACCAATACAGCTGCAAGCGAGCGCGCATGAATGAAAGCCACGCTTGTCTACTGGTACTATGTACATGTATTATGGGAGATGATGCCTGCGGTGCAAGACTGGACGGCAGATGACAAGTGTTGGTGGTACAAAGCACAGTTTATTCATACCTCACGAGTGGTACGGTAAAGTGATACAGAGGACAAAGAGGCTGATGGTGGTCTCTGAATACCATCACCGGCACTTTTTTCAGTCGTACCAGGACTTGGAAACGAGGTCCTGTCTTGAAGAGACTGTCGTCGAAGCCTGAGCCCGGACAGGGGGGAAGACGGAGTGGGCACTAGCGCTACGCCAATCTTGCAGCCAAGATGGAGCCAGAGTCGCAGGCCGAGTGAGAATGAGGCAAAAAAGCTTTGAAGCTAGTCGTTTGGCGTGGGGAGCTCTCTGGAAGCTAGGATACGAGGGAGTTCAATGGTCACTGAAGCTTTGGTAAGCTCGGGAAGCTATCGAGAGAGGGCAAGAAAAGCGCTCAATCTTGTGGTGGTGGAAGAGAGGCATATCGGGAGGCGCGTAAGGAATCAAAGACGACGTCTCCAGGGCCCATCCGTGTTTGTAATGCGCATGTCTCCGTATCAGCATATCAACATGGAGATGGGGAAGGGAGGAAGAAGACAGGCAAGACAGCCAAGGCAAGGGGGCCGAGAGTTTGGGCGTCGACCAGGGTTGTGGTGGTTGTGGTGGTGGATTGTGTCTGAAACTGCATCTGTCGAAAGCCAGAAAGAAGGGGGGAATAATGAGTTAGTACGGAGTACTCCGTACGGATACTACATTCCGTTAAATTCTGCGCAAGTCTCAAGGGAATCCTGCTAGTAATGGACAGCGAGATTGTTTCATTTCAGCAGTAAGCGCTTCAACTGAAGCTACATGGCCAATTTTTTTTTCGTTGCCTTTATTTTTGTAGGAATACCTACGGAGTACAAGAACGAAAGTAAAAACAAACACTTCTGCTACAGCACCGGGATAGCGTCCCGTCTTGTTCCCGCATGGTCCGCCCGCAGGAGTCATGGTGTTGCCGAAACAGACAGTTATCGTGGGCAAAGTGCCTGCATCATCCGTGGAGAGCGGAGATTTCTTTTTGTGTTGTGCGCCCAGGCGGACATGGATGAGTTGACTTGATGTTAATGTGCTTTGGCGTGTGCTACCTCTTTGTTATTTGCATTCGCGCAGTAATACATCATGGTGTAACTCGGGCATTTGTTGCTGGTTGCCTCCCAGTTGATTTGTAGGTTGTACTGAGTCTGTACCTGGTAGTATGAGGCCTGTAGGAGGCCTGCGACAGACAGCGGGCGCTGTGCGGCAAACATTGTTCTGAGCCCACAAGCACACCAATATATGACAGAAAGTGCAAAGTAGAATTATACAGAAAAAGAAAGAAAACAAAAAGCAAAGAAAAACCAAGTTGTCCTACTGCCACCTTTCCAGGCGCCTCTCAAGTATACCGTACTACTAATTGCAGCATTATCTGTCTACCTGCTAGCGTGGTGCAGGCAACCTGCTAACAGCTGGTAGGGAGTGATGAGTTCAGTGATAGCACCTGTAATTCGTACGGAGGTACTGTCGCCGTCATTGGGCCCATCCTTGACAAACGAAACCCCAATTTTCCGCTGGTGTCGCACTCCGTTTTTCTGGTCCGTATCCTGGTCTAGCTTGAAGCTGTCGCCGGCGATAGGCTGCAGCTCCGCCTCCACGCCCCATAACTATTGCCAGCCGTGCTTGCCTGAGGTTTCGCCAAGGTCTTGCTGCTGATGCCCTGTTTGCCTGCGCGCACCTGCCTGCTGCCAATGTTAGTGGCCACTGGGCTGCCCCCGTAACAACTGCCCCCCAGCCACTGCATCCAACCACTGCATCCAACCACCCAACCATCACTGACAGGCTCCTCTAGGCTCGTCTTGGTCAGTGTTAGCCCGCTGGAGTTGCCCCAGCCTGCCCGCTAACGTACCGGCCCAAGCCCAAACCAAACGAAGGCTCACCACCGCACCAGCACTCCCAGCTCAACACACGCACCTCCTCATCCTCCCTTTCTCCTCGCCTGCCCATCGCCACCCAGCTGCCTTCTCCCTCCCTCATTCTCCTCCCTCTCATCACTCTCACCACCCTCTTGCCCTGCCATCTTCCTCCTAATAATTTATTCTTCTTCGCTTCTTTTTTGTCGCCGGAATTTTTCACTCGAGGCTTTCGTTAGCGCTCGATCTCCTCTACATTTTCCTGCTCACCGTTTCCCTCCTCAACCCGCTGCTCCCTACGTCTGCGCATTCGCGTCCTCCGCGCGCAGCCAGCCTCTCTCTTCTCTCCCATCGTCTCTCCCTTTCTCCTGGGCTTCCCTCTGACTCTTCCCGTCTCCTTGGCCTCCCAGCGAGCCAGCCAGCAGCAAGCGTCCCACCTCCCAGGCAACTCCCACCGTCTGCCTGGCCTGTGCCTCAAAACACGACCTCCACTTCCAAAGGGGAGCCACTTTCACTTAACACCTGCTAACGCACGCCCTTCGCCACCGTCCAATCCTGTTACGCCCTCTCGTTACGTCAGCAACAGGCAGCCTCATATCCACTTTTCCCTGCCTCGTGTCCTGCGCACACCACTCACGCCACGCTTCAACGCCACACTCGAAACACACGCCACTCACTCAATAGCCACGCCCTCCTTGTGGCTGTTGCCTTAGTCATCATCATCAATTTCGCGCGCATCGCGATCCGTCTCACAACCACCAAACCCGACTTTGCGACAAGAGCGGCGCGTTCCGTCCTCCTTGTCGCATTCACCCACAACACGGCGCTTCCATGTTTCGCTTTTGGGGCTCGGATTCTAGGGGCTGTGATCAGTCGATAGATACCTCGCACGGTGCCTACCGCCACGCCCACCAGCATCCGACGCCGTCCCCAACCACCGCTTCCAGCCCGTCCTCGCCTACAACCCATCCTCTGAAAAGGAAGTTGCACGGCTTCGACGACGCCGAGACCCTGTCGCTGGACTCTACCGAACCCCACTCTAAGCGCCTTAAACGCGCCGATGAAGACAACATGCTCTACGCCCGACAGGATCCGCTCGAATGCGCCCGCGACGAAATCCGCCACCAGTTCGGGCTTGAGATTCTGCTCAAGCACGACGAGTTGCGTCTCATCAACCAGGAGCTTGCCAAGTGCCAGATCGCCCTCGAGCAGTTGCGCCGCTGTCACTTAATACCCTATCCCGTCAACTGCCCGACACCGGACCAGATGCTTCAAGTCACCAACGGCAAGGGACCTGCGCTTGCTAACCACCCCGCTGAGCCTGCCCCTAAATGGGCGCCGCCTTTCGGCGTTGTCGACGGTCCCTATGCTCGGCACTACGCTAGGTGGCTCATTCCCGATCCTTCTTTCGACGGGATGCAACCCGAGTTCCAGTTTACACCCGAGTTTGCCGCCGCGCGTGCCTCCTTCGCTGAAGGACGCACAACGCGCAATAGCTTCACTGAGACTACTGTCGGAAAGGGTCGTCCTAACCGTGCTTTGTCCGGCCACCGCTTGCAGTCTCTTTCCAGCGGATACCCTCAGCCAAAGGACAAGGCCGGTCCTTGCATCCTGAAGCGCTCTGACGGACAGACTGTCAAGCTGGTTTGCCTCGACTGCAACCGTGAGAACTTCTCTAGCACCCAGGGCTTCATTAACCACTGTCGCATTGCGCATAAGCGTGACTTCAAGAGCCACGAGGAGGCTGCCGTGCAGAGTGGCCAGCCTATTGATGCTGCTCCTGAGCCGCGCCCCAACAGCATATCCACGCCTGTCGAAGACAAGCCCGCCCCTGTTACCTCGACCTCAGCCTTTGTGCACCCTTTTGTTGCTCGTGACCTCTCCGACCAGGAAGCGTACGCGGCTCTGCGCGCCAGAATCGCCGATGCTCTCAAGCTGTACCCTCAAGCTAAGGCTACTGCTGGTCGTGTCGTCAAGCAGCCAAAGAAGAAGATGAGCAAGTTCAAGGCATCTGCCGATGCTCCCTATCTGTCCAAGTTCATGCAGGGCAAAAAGTTCAACGGCAACCTCGGCGAAATTGTCTCCGACGCCAAGACCAAGATGTCTCTGGACGAGGCTTCCGGTGACGAGTCTGATACTGACAGCTCGCTGCCTCGCCTCGATCCCGCAGCCGTGCGCACGCCTGTTGTGATGCGCATGCCGGCGCACAGCTCTCCTACCCCAATGGCGAGGCCGCCCAGCTCCAAAGGCCGTCCGGCCCACATGGACTTCGTTTCTCCGCCGCACTCATCTTCAGCATCGCACGGCGGCATGTCGGATGACGACATGCCAATGCGTGACGATAATTTCAGCCCTAGCACCCTAGTGAGCAACAATGCGCCATCTCTGGTTAGCGACGACGGAGAGTATGACGACTCGGATGAGGGCTCGTCCGTCTCCGAGGGTAGCGACCACATGGACGCCGACTCGGCCTCTGATGTCGCCGAGATTGCGCTTGATGAGGAGCATGAGCCTCGAGCACTTCGCCGCGGGTCTGGCACCGTCAGACTGCGCAAAGATGACACCAAGCACGTCACCTTTATGGGACCCGTGAAACAAAACAACACCAAGCAACGAAAGGCTCGCCGCGTGTGAGCACCTGTGCTACCACTCTATCTTCTCAACACTCTGTTTTTACTACGATATTCGATTTTAGTCGCTTTTACACTCTACATTATTATTAAATCTGCGCCGAGGCGCGACGCTCAAAAACGCATCTTATGGGGACCATTTTGGAGCGTGGGTTCACGGGCGTTTTTTGGCATTTTCGGAGAGGGATTGGCGTGTTTTAGCTCTTGTTTTATTTTCATGTAGAAATTTCCGACAGAATGGTCCTGTCTCACAGCACGGGAGGTACAAAATTTGGTCGTCAGGCTGCCCGGAGGCACCAGGCGGCAGGTGGAAGGCGTTGTATGATTTGCGTTGGCGTTGACAAGATTCCTCGCTTATGATAGATACCGATTGGATCGGCAATAAGAGCAGCACTTGTTGACAACTATATCTTTCTTGTGATGAATGGTGTCGATGATGTGAAGTCATGAGTTGTATCTAAGTGGGCTCATCACGAATGACTGGAATAGAGCAGCGTCCCTACAACCTCCCTCCATAACAGAACGTATCAAGGCTCAATTGCTTTACGAATTTAAATTGAATGATTCAAATATGAGAATTACAGACATTAATAAAACGCTCACTCCTCCGTGGATGGGCATTACAAAGGCATCTCCAAGCCCAGTTGCGGCACCAAGTTTCAAGCCGAGAGTAGTATAAAGTAAAGCAAGAGAAAAGCAAAAGAATCAACAACAGCAACAAGACACCCAGTTTCCAGCCCCCATCCCCTTCCCTTCTCATATTTCACAGCAAGGCCATGGCGCCGGCGATGCCAGCCACCAGCCCGCGCGCGGCGCGACGCCGCCGGCCGACGGGGTCGCGCTGCCGGAGACGAAGCCGGTGGTGGTCGACGGCGCCGGCGCGTTGAGCTTGGTCGCGATCCCGGCCGAGGAAGAGGAGGCGGCAGCAGCAGCAGAGGTGGCGGCGCTGACGGCGGCGGAGCTGGTGGTGGTGTTGACGTAGCGGCAGTAGGCGCTGACCTGGACCTGAGCGGAAGGGGCTCGGGCATCGTTGGGGCAGTTGTTGTAGCAGCTGCGTGTGTGTTGTCTCGGTGTTTAGTATGGAGTTGGGGTTGGAATGGGGGGAGGGGGGGCTTGGAACGTACGTGGCGACGGCCTGGTAGGCGGCGCAGAGACACTCGAAGTCGGTCTGGACGCAGGCGGTGACCTTGCGATCTTCACGTCAGCTTGGACGGGGCGGGTTGGACCGGGGGAGGGGAGGTTTTCTTTTACCTTGTCGGTCTCGGTCTTGAGGCAGCGGCTGACGATGTACTCGGCCTCGCAGTTGCCGTCCTGCGCGGAGACGCCGGCGGCGGCGACGAGCACGGCGATGGCGGCGACGAACTTCATGTTGGAGTCGGTTTCGGGGTTTTCTGATGGTATTGAAAGAAGAGAAGATATTGTTGCAGGAGGAACGAGTGACTGGAGAGCGGAGAAGAAAAGGAGCGTGGGTGAAGAAGAGGGAGTTGCTGCTGTGACGACTGGAACTTGGGGGACGATGAAAGGGGGCGAGCGCGTGAGACTTATAATAAAGGGTCTGGGGGACAACTAGGGCTGGGGAGCCTGTAGGGCAGGAAAAAGAAAGGAATTAGACACAAGTTAGGGACTTGCAATAGCTTCGAGTCCGGGGAGGAGATGAGAGACATTTCATTCAACTTGCAATCTTTGGCCGTTGGGTACCTATCCCGCGAAAGTATCAATAAGGCAAGTCTCTCCGCCTCTCACGTTGACTTTTCGCACATGCTGAAAATGGAAAAGCAGCGAAAGCGATTTGATATCTTGTCATGGTTCTTCTCGTGCATGTCGAGTACAAGGAAAAGCCACATGGCGACGAACCGCATAGCAAGGGTTGCTGATCCCTGTCGACATCGTTGCTTTTTCCCTGGCGGCAGGTTTGATTACCGTTGTCTTGGGAGGGGAGCCGTGCGGCGAGCGTCGAAATGAGGCGGTCTTTTAGTAGTTGAGACCCTGAAAAAGGGCTGGTTTGGGAACCCGTTGTAATCCTGTACTTTGTTTTGATCTATGGGAGTGTCTGGCGGGTTGTGTATAAAAACCGGTGTTGAGGTGAGTGGTTCAACTGTGATGATTCACCTGCAAAGGCTCAACCATCATTGGCTGCTTGTGAAGAGAAACTGTCACAAAGAAAAATGTTGGAAAAAGCTGCTGGAGAGTAACTGCAAAGCAACTGCCGCAAGATGGATGGCGAATAATTAACCCAACCGAGATTAGAGGTAAAAGGCAACTCCATGACAATAGCTATTATATAAGAGCGAATATGAAATGTAATTTTCAAGGTCAAGGATGGCCGCCAGAAACACAACTCGTCATGAATGCACCATGAATTCATCCAGTGATATCTGGTTCATGGACCAAGCGACCAACGACATGCCCACTTGCTTCCTTTGACTCACAGCCAAGGACGCCCAGTCAACGGACCAACTGTTGGCTCACACTCGGCAACCCAGTGCCAACCATACCATGTTCATGTATTGGTTAAAATCCCATGTCGACGGTACGCAATCATACAAGAGCTGCAGGAGCTCACGCTTTTACATTCAGGCCAGGGTTGAGTTATCCGTATTATTCAGCTCGCTGGCTGTATATAGTGCCGCGACGACGACTCACCACCGCAGGCCGCCTCTGCATCTCTTCCACCATTTTCATGTCCCCTAACCGTCACGCTGAACATATTTTTTTTCAAAACGCCAGCCCCATCCTGCATTGCAAAAGACCCAAGCCAGCCCCCTTGTTCCTCTCCTACAGCGTCCCCCTATCCTAACCAGTCTGTCTAGCACCATCTCGCACTCATGATGCTTAGATGAGGTGCTTGGAGCGAAAGTAGGCGCGCAGGTACATGATCTGCCAGGCCCACAGGCCGACGAGCAGCCAGGTGGTGCCGACGCCAAACCACTTGACGCGCGTGTTGGTGCTCTCGTTGGTGTCGCGCAGCTTCTGCTCGCGCGAGCGCAGGTACTCCATCTCGCGCACCACCTCGCCCGTCATCTCCTCGACGCGGCGCAGCTCCGCCTCGATGGGCTTGAGCTTCTCGTTGGCCTGCACGGCGGACCAATCGCGCGCGTCGGCGCCAATCTCGACGTCGAGCTCGATGTCGCGGATGGAGGGGGAAGGGCGGTGAGCTGCGTGCGGTGGTCAGCAATCTTTGCAACTGGACGACTATCATCTTCCTTGCTGATGATGGGGGGAGGGGGACCATGTTAACATACACCCGGAAAACAGGTTCTCGTAGCAGACGTCAAAGGAGGCGTCGGCGTGGGACGTGAAGACGACGCGGTTCTCGCCGACAACGTCCCGAGGACGGCCGTATTCGTTGCCGAGCGAATCGCGAATCTGCCCAACCAACCCTTGCGTTAGCCCATGCATCATCTCACTCCCCCTCAAACGGGACCGCGGCCACCCACGTGAATGTTGACCACCATGCCGTCGCCCTTGAAGCCGCCCACGGTCGACTTGACGGCCACCATGGTGTCGCGGTTGACAAAGTTGCGGATGCAGCGCTCCTTGCGGTGGCTCTCGCCGCCTGTGTGCGCGGCCAGCTCGAACTTGAGAGCGCTGGCGACGCCGACGAGCGCCAGCAGGGTGCAGAGCCACCGCAGCGGTGACGTGGAAGCGACGGCCATTTTTCTGATTTCTTTGATCTGTCTTCTCTGCCGTGTGTGAAGTCCGCCCTGCGTCTCGTCTCGTCTGTCGTCGTCGTCGTTGGCGTCAATGGATGAAGGATGAAGAGGATCTTGCAAAGGTGTCGCGTTGGCCAAAAACTGACCCCCCTTCAACTGACGAAGCTCCAATGTGGCTTCGCCTGTCAGGGGCTGCTTCGCTGCCGTGCGCTGCGCCAATCACAAGCTTGCACGGCGACTCTAGCTGGGTACTTCCTTTTCACGCCATCTTCCACCAAACGATAAGTACCTCTCCAAATCACGTGTGGGTCGCCGATGGCCCTCGACATTTTGGTGATCTTGTCGCGCGACAAGGCAAGCTTCCAACTCGCCCATCGCAAAAACCCCAGCACAAACCGCCGCAATGCCTAAATGTGAGTGCCCAGCCCTTCCTTCAATCCCAGAATACCGTCCCAGAGCTCTTCCGCTAACACACTGTCCTAGTCTTTTGTAAGCCTGGTCCCCCGCCGTCGATGCGAAATGAACCAACTTTCTAACCAAAAGCTTCACGAACACCTCCAGGTGATTACTGCGACGTCTACCTCACGCACGACTCCATGAGCGTGCGCAAAGCCCACAACTCGGGCCGCAACCATCTCCGCAACGTCGTCGACTACTACCAACGTCCGTTCTCCCCCCCTTCTTTCCTCGCCTTCGGCTCGCACGTCCCGACAACAAAACTGACTTTGTCCGACGGGAGCAGAAATCGGCCACGAAAAGGCACAGTCCGTCATTGACAGCATCACCTCCTCGTACGCCGCCGAGGGCCAGGCCCACGCCAACCCCATGCTGCCGCAGAACCAGCCCGGCGCGCACCACCACCCGCACCACCACCCGGGCGGCTTCCACCCGCCGCCGTTTCCCTTCCCTGGCGGCGGCGGCGCTGGCGCTGGCGCGGCTGGAGGTCCGCCTCCGCCGTTCCCCGGCATGCCTCCTCCCGGCGCCTTTCCTCGTATGTTTCCCCTCCTCATCTCTCCCGCTTGTCTTCGCGCGCGCTAACGGTTTACAAAAAAAAAAAAGCCCCCCCAGGTGCCCGCGGTGCTGGCGGCCCGATGCCGCCGTTCCCTCCCGGGCCCAACGGCCTGCCCATACCGCCCCCCGGCGCGCTTCCATTCCCGCCGCCTGGTGGTCTGCCGTTCCCGCCGCCGGGAGGGCTGCCGCCCAACTTCCAGTTCCCGCCCCCGCCCGGTGGCCTTCCTTTCCCTGCTGGTGGGCCTCCTCCGCCCGGTCAGGATCCTCGCCGGTAGAGAAGCTTGGTAGAGAGAGAGAGAGAGTGAAAGCAGAGGACGGAGGCAAAGAAGAGGGCTGCATGTATCATGGAAAAAGGTTACTGGTGGCGTTGATGACATCTCAGGGTAACAAAACTCGGCGTTTCGGTTCAGCATTCCTCTTTTTAGTTTTTTTTGCGTGTGTACTTGATACCTGCCAACATCACATGGTAGTAAACTTCAAATCGAAAAACCAAAAAACTTTACATTGACGAAAAACTAGACAAGAAATCAATTCATTGCTTCACTTTGAGGAGCCAGCCTTCTTGTGTTGCAAAAATTTCCCTTTCATGTCATGTTCCTCGCAACCGTATATACATCCTTCCCTATGCCAATATAGAGATAAAAGCAGAAACAGCAACCGAAAACAAAGCCACCATGTGCCCTAATTATATCAATGTAAACTCCCCCGTCAGAAAACAGCTACCAAGACCGCATCAGTGGCGCTTCTCAAGCAAAAAGGTAATTCTGCCCTCTTCCTCCCCTCTTCAGAATCGCAAATATCAATCTCTAAAATAAACATGCCCACCGCATCTGCTGCCTTCCGTCTTGGTCAAGACGTGTCTTTTGTTCATTGTATCGTGTAAGTCGTAAGCAATCGTGAGCTGGTATCGATCTTGTGATTGTGGTCTTGTGGTCATGTCAAATGTCATTGCGTCATAATGTATGGTGTTGGTTTGTATGCGTGGTAAGGATGCGTTGCTTCTGGTGCTGGAACGCAAAAATGCAAAATGCAGTGTGTCGACTCAAAAGTCCGAAGGGTTCGCCTTGAATGCCTCCCGATTGCCCCAGTTGTTGCCGCGTCTAATCACCTCACCAACGCCATCGCGAACGTTCGTGGGCCCGCTGATCATCTGACGTAGCTCTTGTGTTCGTTTTTCGCGTCGCTTTTCATTCAGGATCCGTGGAATGTTGGGGATGCCTTCCAGCCCATCACTCAAAGAGAAGCGTCGACCACGTCGACCGCTGGTTCCGGCAGGTGTTGTCTCTACACGGCCGAGGGCACTGAGGCGCCACGATGATCGGGTTTCTGTGCCGGCAGATGGATGCGGCAGCCTCGGCTGCCCACTGAGACGAGGAGACATGGGCAGAGAGTCGAGACTGGCGCGTCGTTGCATCACTCGCAGATTACCGCTGGGGGTCCGACGAATGATTCGACGTTCTGGCCAGCTTGTACTCTCCTCAGCCGAGTACTGCAACTCGTCTCGGACCGGCAAAATCGCAAACGTGTTCTTCATGCGGGCGCTTAGGCTTCTCTTTGGCGGACGGGGCCGGTTATCCACGAGGGGATAGCGATAGACTGTGTCGCGCTTGCTGTGATGAGGGCAGCTCTCGCCGAACTCACACTCTTCGTCGTATTGCGGTCGCCATAGAGGATGAAGCTTCTCTCGCTCTATAGGCTCTCTGCTCGCCTTCCTAGGCGCTACCTCACCATCAAGATCTACTCCAAAGTCCGGACGAGACGGGTCCAGTCCTATTGAGCGCGACAGCGAGAATGTCCGCATCAATTTTCCAGGAAGCTTGGCTGAGCTTGGTGGGTAGTCGAGAGAATTACGGCGACGACGACTGAAAGCCCGCTTTAAGAGAGATTCGCGTCTTGGTGGAGTCGCTTCAAAGATATTTCCCAATCTCTTGGCACTCTCATCGGCTGGCGTAGCTCCAGATGGCGTAGCGGGAATCAAGTTGAGCATTGGAGGATGCGTGGGCGGCTGCGGCGGTGCGCGGGGGTTGCGCAGCGGAGAATCGACATCTTCCGTATTGTTCGACTGTTCAGGGGGTGTCACAGGCGGATCACCCTGGGTATCAGTGGTAGTAATAGTTGGGACCAGCTGAGGCAACGCCTCAGTGCGTGCTGTACCGACTGAGTCTGATGGCCGGGCGAAATGGTTCACCATAAGAACAGAGGAGTTCTGGTGCTGGTACATGTGAACTGCAAGGGCCTCCGCGACTTCGGGCGCAGTTCCAGTGGTGGCAACGGACGTGACGGAGAAGGGGGTATTCCGCGATGAATATTTCTTGGCACTCATCCCATCCTCGATAGGGTCAAGCAGCGGGCTGAGAGGGATCTCACGGCCGAGCTGAGCGTCGGAGAGCTTTCTGCGGGAGGTGGGCGTCAGAGCTGGGCTAAGGACTGGGAATGCTTCGCCCATCTGGCGCTGTGGCTGCAGTGCATTGGTTGACTCGGCAGACTTGGCTTCGTCCTCCTTTCGTTGCAAGGCATTGTGCGCTCGGATGCTCTCCGCTGTGAGAGAATTGGCACGAGAGACGTTTCGGCTGGTCGGGGCAGAAAGCGACGACGAGCGAGGTGGGACTACTGGAGGAAAATCAATGGTTCGTTCATCGCCAAGGCCTCTACCGGAGTTCCGACCGCGGCACAGAGACTCTGATCGTGGGGTATCTAGGGAGCCTCTGGCTCGCTGGGGCGAGCCCACACTGGCAGATCTCTTGGAGCGTCTACTAGAAGTAGAACGCAGTGAGGGCTCGCGGGATTTGCTGCGATTGGAGGAGCGCCTATCGGGCACAACAACGACCGGAATACTCCCGCTGCTCAAAATCTCACGACGTGCCCTGTGATCGCCAATGGCGTGATTCGATGTAACCTGCGTGCTTGGGGGTCGACTGCGGTCGCGGGATCCTGCTCGTTCGTGGGGATTGCGTGGTGGCTGAGGAAGTCGCCTGTGACCATCGGAGATTCCGCCTGATAGTCTATCGGTAACATGCAGAGGCTGTCGCAAAAGAGGCTGTTTCTTGACGTGTCGGAGCGTGGGTCTTCGTTGAGGTGTTTGAACGGGACCATTCATGACGAGGACTTCAACAACGGCGGATGAGCTGGATCGAGCAGACGTGGCGGAGGATCTCCGAGCATCAACACTGGCAGAGGTTTCCGAAATAGAGCGCACAGAGGAGCTAACGGGAGACGCCTCTACTGCACCGTCGCGGACGTGGACATGTCGTGCGGCACGAGTGGCAGCGGTGGGGGTGACGACATGATCCTCAACCACCTCGCGCTTGGCACCAGGCGACGAGGTATCAATGGGCGTCTTGGGATTCGAGCGCTTCCGCTTGTTAACAACAACATGCAGGCGACTGGCATCCTGCTTATGCTCGTGGCGGCGATCGTTTGCCAACTGTTGCGCAGACTCCCATTCGCCGTCGAATTTGCCAAATTCATTCATTGTACGTGGTGTGAGCTGTTGCGCGCCAACGGGGAGGCTCTCTGGGGCGGAAACTAGGGGACGCGCTTGCACGGGGGCGGGTGCAGGGAGGTCTGGAAGGCGCAAGATGGTGGTGCGCGAGGTTTGCGCCGAGGTGGTTCGCGATCTCAACGCGGTGCGCGCATGGTCATCCTCGGAGGAGAATTGTTCTTCCCGAGCCGTCGTGAAGGAGTCGTTGCGCGAGTCGGTCGGGGTAACGGCAGCAGAAGATTGATCCCAGTTGGTTTGGCGGACAGATTTCAATGCATTTTGAGGCTGGGGAGGTGTTACGTCAGGAGTCGGTGGGCTTCTTTGATCGGGTGGCGTGACGGGAGGTTTCCGCAGGGAAAGGGGCGGAGGAGCATGTAGTCTGGCAGGTTCCGCAGTGGTCGGGCACGGCTCTAGCGTGGGGTGGCCGCTGGACGAGGCGCGAGAATGCGCTGGAGGTGTTGGCGGAGGGTCAGGACCAGCAGCAGAGGAAGACGAGGCGAGACGTCGAGACGTCGGCTTGAGAGTGTGGCCGGCGACAGTGGAAGGGGAAGATTGGTTGGCGGAGGAGGCCAGGGCGTAAGAGGCATCGAGGACTAGGCGATAGGTGTCTGCCGTGCCGCGAGAGGAAGCTGCATCCGGGGCCAGATCAATGTCATTTGGCGGTCGAGGTAAGGTCTTGTGCTTCTTGAACTGCCTGGGCGAGGGAACCAAGGGGTCAGAGAGGGCCCGGTACGTGCGCTCAGTCGAGGATCCCATGATGGTTGGCGACGGAGCGAGCGGCGCAGTCGCAAGCATACTCGGCGTGAGCGGAAGTGAAGGGAGCCTAGGGGACCATGGGCACGGGTGAGGTGTTGAGACAGTGAGGTGAGGCGACGAGAGAATTTCAGGGGAGGGAAAGGTCAGGCGAGGACAAAGGATGCTGTTGGCAGGGTCTATGAAGGGCGCTTAGGAAGAACCGAGTGCGGGCGAACGAGGTAAGCGCAGGACTCGGGCGTGCTGGAGGCGAGGGGTTCGTAGAGAGGCGCTGGCAGACAAGAAAAAGAAGTCGGTTGGTTAGGATGACCAAGACTGCGCCTCAGACATGAAAATCAGGATGAGAATTCTGCGGCAACGGCGGAAGAGGTCGAGCCGAGCTGGCGGGAGGCCGGGTGAGACACGGACTGGAGGGGAAGAGAGGACAGTTGACGTCGCGTAACCAGCCCTTTGACCGTTCCGCACTTTGAGAGGAAGTGATGGACGTTGAGTGTTTCGCAAAGTGGCCGAGGTCAGAGGAAATGCATGGCCGACGGTTGGCGAAAAGATTTTTCTGGGCTGCTCGGATGGCTGTTTCGAAGGCGTTGGAGAATTTTGGGGAGAAGGAATAATGAAGGGGCGAGCGAGGAGGCCAGGGTGTGGTGGTGATGAAGCGGTTCGTTATAGCGGAGGCTGATGGGTGATGAGGGGCTGGTTTGAGGGCTTGAGGGCGGCGGGAAGGTGGACAGGTTCAGTGGGTTGGCAGCGGGCTGGCAGCGGGCGCTTTAGTGCTCTCCTGGCTTGGTTGCAGGCTTTTTTAGTGGCTGCAACGCCAGCGAAGGCGCTAGAACAAGAGAAGCCGGGCACTGTGCCAGGGCGCACAGGGGTCTTGCCAGGTGGTTTAAAGTGGTTTTAAGTGCTGGCAGCTAGCAGTGGAGCCGAGCAAACGGGCTGCCAGCTGGCGGATGTTTTAAGCGGGTAATACTGGGTGACACGGAGCAGAAATGGATAGATGTGATGTGATGTGGCTGATAATTTTATACTCTTGAATATGTTAAAAGGGGACGACGGAGTGCTAGGTAGGGATAGAAGAGAATGGAAAAATGAGAAGGAAGAAAAAAAAGTAACCATTGTCCAAATTCCCACTACCGAGAGAGGGGGCTGGGAACCGCTCTACTAGCGAGAATCACCACACGTGTGGGCTGCGGCGAGCGATCTGGCAAGGCAAGCAAACTTGGGTAGCTCGATCGCGAGAACAGGGGGAACTAGGCAAAACGAGCGACGATGCGAGTGAGTGAGAAAGAAAAGGAGAAGATAGGATTTGTCAATGACAGATTTTTCAGAGGCGCACAACACAGGCGGCGACCTGCGTCCGTCATCGGTGATGGACGGCCCAAGCAAAATGGTGCGTCGCAGCCGGTGTCGCATCGTCGTGAGCCAGAGCGCACGGGATGCGTTATACTCGGCTGCACGTAGCCAATAGCAAGCAGATATCGTCACTCTTATAGAAATCTGACAACCTTTGCTTTTATTATGTCAGAGGAAGCAAGGGTAAAAAAAATTCGAACCCAACGTTGACGTTTTCGCCAGGTCGAGTGGGCCTGCACAACTTGTCTCGCGCATTGCATTGCCATATCATCCCCCCTCTGCTCTGCATGTCTGGTTTTCCTCCTTGCGATAGTATTTTCTTCTTACAAAAACCTCGCACGAATGGCCATTATCATCTACCCAGCACTTTGGCTGCGTCAGCCCCTCTCTCATGCATCCAGCCAGTCACGGGTCGAGGTGATTGAAACTAGCGACGCCTTTGCCTTGCATAAGTGTGGGTGGTGGTGGGTGTGCAGAGTGTGTGTGCAGTTCACCTTTCACAGCGGCGAAATGCAGACTGCCGAGAGAGAAGAAAAAAAAGGAGAATCAAGCGTCTGACGAGCCAAGCCTTTTTGTACCAAGTGACTGGGAAAAACCCCCTATATCAGCTCGCATATTATCAACTTCGTACGCACATACATCTCCATGCCTACTTCATACCATCTCGACAGGCTCCGCTGGCGCGAGACGGCTTCGTCCGTGAACCAGCGTTCCGGGCCGTTCCCACGGTCGCGTCCCGCTGTGCGGATTCGGCCTAGTCGGTGGTGCTTTTTCTCTCATACTGTGAACAAGGTTATTCAGCTAGTCGAGCAAGCAGCCAATCTTCGCAACAATGCGGCTTGCTCGTGTCGATACGGCAATAACTAGTTCCAACAGTCAACTACCCAGTACCGCCCTCTCAGATGCGAGGAAAATATGAAGAATAGCATTGGTAGAACCTAAGTTGCTCTTTTACAGAGACTAACTATACCCACAACAAAATCTTGTTGCGTTCAACTATTACTGAGACCAAGTCCGTTGACCAGTGCTCTAAGACAAGCCAACATTGAGAGCCGCAAAGGCCCTTGATTATTTGATTTCAAAAACAAGAAAAACAAAAAAAAAGAGAAACCAAACAAAAGAATAGAAACAAAATACAAAAGAAAACTGTGCATGCGCAGTCTGCGCTAACGTGCCCTTGATTTCTTAATGTCAATGTACGCGCCTTGATATGCCGCCCTGCTTGTGCCGCACAGCATCTATGTATGTAATAGCCGGCGCGCCACCACACCACCCGTCACTGCATAACGCCTCGCCTGCACCAACTTGTGATGAAAAGTAGAGAAGAAAAGGAAGGATAATACCCAGTCAGGGCTGAAATTAAGCAATAATTCTCATCTTATATACGCCGACCTAAATAATCGACCACATGCCGAGCGCTTATGCGCCGTCAACTACAACTACCTTGATTCTCGTTGTGGCTCGAAATAGATTCGCCCGCTTTGGTTGAACGCGATAGTGACTGCGTGCTCGCTCTTCGCCATTCGCTTGAAGTTTTTCCCCGAGCAAGAATCTGATGTCGGCAGGGATGGCGAGAGTGACGACTCGGTTTCGGTCACCTCCACCACGCAGCCCTGCAGAGCCTGTTATCAACGAACAGTCGAACTGCATAGTACTAGAAAGCGAAGCCGGTGCCATCACCCGCATGACATGGTCACGATTCTTGGACGCAAATCGCATTCCTTTACTATGCGAGAAAAAGAGCGCATATATTAAAAAAGCGAACAGTGTCCATGCGGCTGCCACGCCGTCTATGCGAAGCATGCGGGCACGACCCTAGATATTATCACCCACCCGCTGAGCAATACGAGGCCAGCCCCTCGGGTCGCCGCCCACGCGTCCGTCTTTCTCTGGCTTGTATATGCGTCGTGGTAATTGGAGCGCCGCTTTCCGCTGACAAGAGAGACTTTTTTTTCCAGGCTGGGCGACGCAAAGATGACAAGCCACGGGCCATGTGCGCGGTGCGCCATGTGATGCCGTGATGCCGTGCTGCCGTCTACTGCGCATGCCCCTCGCTGGCCCTGTTCCCTTCTTATTGTTTTGATGTGGACGGCAGCTGAGAAACTCGCGGCGACCAACGGCCCTGCAGCGATAATATCAGGCTCCGGGACCAGTGTCCCTCCGTTTAATAACAAGGCTGGTTTCGGATACAAAAAAAGATGGCTTTCGATAGGATCCGCCTTCAGCCGTGACCTATTTACGGCATACGGGAGCACAGAAGAGCAGGAATGCAAGCTCGGCTGGTCCTCAGCCATTGGGGGCCTCGTTCACGGATGTTGTTCAAGGCGGTTGGACAAATACAGGCCCATGTTGATAAAAAATGTGGCCATTTGTCCTTTGTTAACGGAAGTAGGTCGCAGCTCTGCTGACGTGAGGGATCTTCCTTGTTCGCAATTCCCCCGCAACTTGCAATGCATTGACGATGGGCACAGCCACTTAAGATGCGCGCCAGGGGATGGATGGATGGACTTGAACTGTCTCGTCTTGATTAGTAGCTCGGCTCTATCGCGGGAGATCCAGGACGATGGGATGCGTGTGATCAAGGGTCCTAGAAATCTTGGCCGAGACATTCTTGTCATAATTTTTTTAATGGTACTTGTTTCAATGGTTCGTATTGTGTGCGAGCCCAAATTTCTGGGTTTGATCTTTTTCTCATGCCTCTCTTGCTTACCCGGTCTGGGAGACAAGCAACTCGGTATGGTAATTGATGACCCCTGGTGTTGCTCTGAAACGAAAGATGGGTAGGAAGGGAAAAGAAAAGCAGATGCCTATTTGGGAGCCTGCGCGTGCTCATCCCGCTCGGTGGCTGGGGTGACTTGGTAACTTGGGGACAAAGCTTGGATTTTGATTTGTCGACGGCGAGAATGGAGCGCAGAGCATGGATCACGAATGTTACTTTGTAGTTTGCTTTTCGGGCCGGTTGGCCGCAAAGAGTCGCCCATCTCCCTTGGCGATGATGATTTTTTTTGTTTTCTCGTTGATCGCAAAGTGGCAAGGAACGAGCTGTGCCAAGTTTTGGCAATGCAACGGCCACAGGGTACCCAAGGGCCGTGGCAAACAAGAGAGAGATTTCGGAGAAAAAGAATTTCTCCTCAAGCCAAGCCTGCGATGGCAGGTTCGGCCGTCAAACGTTTGGTGCGTTTCGGCGTCCTTGTTGGGCTGCTCGGCGTTGGTGGTGCGATGTGGCTAGCGGCCCTTATGACGACACTGGTGGCAGTCGTCCGTTGGTAGTGTTTCCCATCGTCCAGCATTGATGACCAGCCTCATTCGTCGCTAGAGGCGAGTACATGGCCCAGTAAGATGGGATATCGGTCGGACTAGCGTGGAGGAGTGACGTTACGGCTGGATGTTCATGTTGCCTTGTGCGCAAAACAGGCTTGGGCTGGGCTGTTGTGTTCAAGAATAGCATCAAAACGAGGGCCCCACACGCCCTACCTAGACAGGCTCACCCACATTCTTTCGGCCTTCGTCGAGCACAAGCAAGCGACCTCACTTGCTCACTACTGCTAAGAGGTGGCCAAACGTTGGCCCGCTAGTGGTCTGGTCACGCTGCAACCTCGTAAAAAAGAGCCGACTTTCTCTGATGTTTCTTTCTTTCTGGGGTTGCTACCCTGCCTATTTTCAGACGGCAGGTACATGCTTTATGGTAGCATCGCGGGCCATGGCTCGTGTACCTTGCTTCGCCCTGCGCCTCTCGCATCCCCCAACCATCCGCAATGCTGCATAATCTAGGGTCTGACAAAGGACCACGGCAAAGGCATAAATACATCCCGCCACCTCCCTCCTTACTCTTCCCTTCTCCATCATCAGATCTCTTGGCCTTTTCTATTCCCATTTTCTCTTGTTTTCCTTCAAGTTGATATCTCTCAACAAAGCCACTCGCTTACACCCACAACAAACGAACACCTCCCTCGCTATACAAGCAAACAGCCACACCTCTCACCCTCGCTTTACAAGAACAAACGTCGCCATGAAGACCGCCATCGTCCTTGCCGCTGCCGCCGCTCTCGTCGCCGCCGAGCCGCAGCACGCCATGCCCTCGGGCACCAAGATCAACTGCGCCAAGGCCAACGCCAACTACTGCATGGGCGGCGACATCATCCTCCGCTGCGGGCCCGACGCCACCGGCGAGCCTGCCCGCTGCTCCGCCAACGTCTCCGGCTACCCGCCCGCCGGCGGCATTGCCGAGTGCTGGCAGAGCTCTCGCGACGCCGGCGACGCTGCCTGTCAGAAGAACGTGAGTTGCTCGCCCTCCCCCCTCCCTCCCGGGCCGTGCCTTGTGCGGCGCAGTCTCCCCTCTCTCACGGAACACAAGGGAAACACAGCACACATCACACGACACATCACGCATCCACCTGAGAGACCGTCGTACTAACACCACATCTGCAGTGCGTCGTCTACGCCGAGAAGCCCTTCACCTTGCCTGCCGACCAGTGCACGCCTTCGGCCACCCAGACCGGCCAGCCTACCAGCACCGGCTCCAGCACCGCTCCCACCTCGACCAGCAGTGGAAGCGGCTCTTCTACCTCCTCGACCAGCACCGGAGGCAGCGGCTCCTCCTCGACCAGCGGCAGTAGCAGTAGCAGCAGCGCGACCGGCACTTCCTCGACCGGCTCCCAGAGCTCCTCCACCACCGGCACCACCAGCAGCCACAGCAGCTCCGTCACCACGCTCTCCCCCCCTCCCACTGGCGGTAGCACCATCACCACGCGCACCGGCGGTAACAGCACCGTGACCACCCCGGCTATCCCCGGGTCGAGCAGCGACAGCGGCAGCACCATCACCCTGACCACGACCGCCGGCTCCAAGCCCACCAGCTCTGCCCCTCCCAACTCCAACGACGGCGTGGCCAACAACGCCATGGGTGGCCTCTTGGTTCTGGGCCTGGCTGCGGCTGCTCTCTTCTAAGTGCAAGGGAGAAGATCAGCAACGGAAGAAAATGAAGTTGTGTGATTTTATTAGTTCCGATCCGGGGTCTGCTGCTCGAAAAAATGCATGTACAAAGGCGATGATTTTTTGCTTGCTTTTGCTATTGAAGACTGGATTTATGTAGATATGAGCCACGATGTCATAATACTCATGTTAATAATACGGATACACTGTTTTTCAAAGGCGTTGTTGATATTGTGTGAGTCTCAATGACAGGCAGTCACTACGGATGGCCCTGGTAGATGCAGCAATTGCAGTCAGTGCAGGGTCATGCTAGAGTCGCGGCCGACCGTTCCGTTGGAAAGGCAAACTTGGCTTGGGAGACGAAGTCTATTAATATGCACAGGAAACCCTTATCCCGTATCCGTCGTCTATGCGCAGCGATCCCCTCCTCCGGCTTAACCGCACGACGCCAACCGCGGCCTGGCCAAGACAGACCGCAGCTGAAGCGCACGCCACACCTTTCTCGCATAAAGCGCACTGTCTCTGCGTTTGACGGAGGAGTATTCCCTCAAGCGAGGAAACAATGGGGAAGCTCTACACGGTCCTCCTGCCATGGTAGAAACGCGTCAGCCTCGCACGGACGGGGGCACCTTTTCAGTTTCTTTCTCCCCCTACTCGGGTGCGCGGCTGGGCGTGTTGCCGTCCCCGGTATTGTCGAATTGCTCAAGAAGCGAGAAAAAAAATGTCTTGGAGCCGCATTGACTCATATTGAAGTTTGGATGGCATATGTGCAAATTGATTAGCGAGCGTGACATGGTGTAGATAGATGTGCGCCGGAAGGCGACAAGCATAATGAATCTCGTCAGCCCATTTTCTGTTTCGAAACAACAGCGACTCAGCGAAACAAACCAGACACGGCATGAAATTACCTATTGTGTACAATGCGAAACGAATGCCCAGCCTTTTGCCGGTACTTTTCAAACAGCCTCAAAGTCCACATCTTCTTCAGCGCCCATTGTTCAACCGAACGGGGGGTGGGCCGGGGGAAAAGGAGTTTGAGGCTCCCGGCCCCCGACGTCCGTTCGCCAGGAACCAAAACCAACCCGCCCGGGGACCTTGGAACCAGCCAATCTCAGTGGCTTTATGCGGTGGAGATTGGGGGGGAGGGGGCTATGCTTCAGGTCGGCCGCTTCGACAGTGTGCAGGTTTTCAGCCAAGAACCCTCAGCGGTGGATAGTTAGAGTTTGGCAGTTAGGAGATGCGACGACGTAAGAGACGGAGGCGAACAATGGGGGCCTCGGCGATCTGAATAATCAAGCCGGGACGGGTTACTCTTGATGCATATATATATCGAGAACCCAAACCTGTCCGATCCATCTGGTTCCTAGGTCCATTTTCACCATCAGATCTCCTTTGTCTTCTGTCGTTACCTATCACCACCATCACTTACACCACTTACACAACTTACAAGATGAAGTTCCACGCCGCCGCTCTCCTCCTCGCCGCCACTGCGCGCGCCGCCGCCGTCGAGGCCTCCGACTTCTCCGACCTCGACGCCTTCCTCGCCAACGTGCCCACCTCCGCCCTGCGCGCCGCACAATCCTCCATCGCCGCCGGCGTCCAGCCCACCACCACCGCGCCCACGGCCGCCGACACCTCCGCGGCCGCCGCCCTCGAGGCCGCCGACGACGGCCTCCCCTCCGAGTCCGAGATTGACGCGCTCATCGCCAGCGCGGCCGCCGAGTTCGGCTCCGCCCAGACGCCCAAGAACGTGCCGGGCGCGGTGGCCGCGCGTGACGCGGCCACGGTGACGGTGGACCCAGAGGCCGCAGCTGCGGCTACGGAGGCGCTCAAGGGGCTCGTGGCCGCGGTGGACGCGGTGAAGAGCATGGCCGCGGTGACGGCTGCTTCGGCCGCGACGACGGCGACGGGAGGGTTGGTGGTGGATGGGCGCAACAGCAGCAGCGCCAGCGCGACGCCCACGGCGGTCTTGACGGCGGCCGCGCCGCGCCACGCCGTCAGCGGGCTTGCCATCGCGGGCATGCTTGCCGCCTACCTCCTGTAAAGGAGCAGAGCTTTGGACACCATATTTCGCTTTCCTTCAACAGTTTGCATATTAGACAGGGGGGTTCTTTCTAGAGTGAAACCCAAGGATAATGGAATGTTGTGATATTAGAGATGTAGTATAAAAACCTAACAGGGAAACACTGGATACAGTGTATAAAAATGAACCGAGACGCCCCGCTAGAAGACAGACCATGTTGTTTTGAAGGTGTGAGGCTGTCTCGTCAGAGCTGGTACTTCCACTTTGCCGAGTGCATGACCCAGAGTTGCGGTGCCTCGCCCTCGCCGTCGTAGAAATAGCTCTTGTACAGCGCGTAGCGAAAAAGGGTCTGCCTGAGCGTCTGCTTGTCCACCTCTGCTCGTGCCAGCCTGCGCAGCATCGCCCCCGGGCTAGCATCCTCCTCCTCCTCCTCCACCTCCTCCGGCCCCAACCGACCCCCCTCGCTCCCATCCGAACTGCTCTCGTCCTCGGACGAGTCCACCAGCATCAGCGGCGGCTGTCGCCGTGACCACGCCAACACGGACTGGCCGCCATCGCCGAGGGCCACGCAGGCGGCGCGCAGGAAGCTTCCCGGCAGGGGCAGGCCGTCGGGCACGCTGCACTCGGGGGACCAGAGCGAGCGTGGGCGCGCGGGGAGGTCATGCAGGACGGCGCGGAGGGCGGTGGTGGCGGAGGGCGGGTCGAGCAGGAAGGTGCGCAGGGTGCGGAAGCCGTCCCGGGCGAGGAGGGCGTGGAAAGGCCGGGAGGTGAGGCGGGCGGAGGGG